CGGATGGGGGCTTGTTAGTAAGATATCCTTTGGATTGTGTATTTGTTCCCTGGAGCTGGGAGAAATGGCGTCCGGTCCGGTTCAGTGCCAGGCTCCGCCCCCCGATCGTCTTATATCTTAATGAGTGATGTGGTGTAGATGTATCTAAAGTGGGGTCCAGCACCTGGTTTATATCCTGATATAGATCCAAATATTGATCTTTGTTATATTCTGAGGAAGCCCAAATTATTATTATTTCAAGTGCACTTGGAGGAGCATGAATTCAGACACCAGACACCTGTTGGTATTCAAAATAAGCCTCTGACGTTCATTTTGTCAGTTGTGTTTTTATACATTAAAAAGTAAGTGCTTACATGCAAATACTCATAGGACAGTAGTAGGAAAGGAGTGAAAGGGTGAAAGGAGTACAGATAAGACATAGGGATGAACGTCATGTACATATATCAAATAAGTTCAGGGAAAAAGAAAGAACAGACTGATTTAAAAGAGACAGCTCAGGTGGGGGCTATCTGCTCCTGGAACTAGACATATATGGTCTTAAGTGTGGTTTTAAGCATTAAGCATTATTATCTGAGTTCACGTTAGCCAATTGTAATATAGGATATCTTATATGACATCTATAAGCTTGAGCCTTGGAATCAAGGTAAATTCTTTCACAATCCCCTCTTTTGATCCAAGGATCATCCAAATTTCCAAGGTATTTCCAGGCCTGCTAGCCAAAGCCTGTGGGACTTTCATTTATTTCTTCACCACGGTTGCCTTGGACTGAGAGACCACCAGAATCAGCTGAAGAGAGATCCTTCATTTGTTAGGCGAGTGTCAGGGGTGACGGTCAAGTGACTGGGACCCAGTATGCCTGATCTTGATAGTAGGAGTCACTGTGTGGTAACTGCACACCTCCTGGTGTTGAGCACCAGCGTTTGTGCGGCCACATACCAGGGCCCTGATGCAGTTTCTGCGGATCCCAGGTGCCAGATGACAAGAAGCAGACCTCCCAGGATCTGAATAGGGAGGCTCTGCAGCAGATATGTATTCAGTACAGAAATAAGGTAAGACTAGAACAAGCACCAAAGAAGATAGCAAGACAAGACTAGGAGAACCCAGAACCAAAGCAGGACAGAAAGCAGAACCCAGAACATGTACACAAGACATGAGGGAAACATAAACAGGGCAGGACAAGACTGTACTTGAACTGGGAATACAAGACAAAATAAAACAAGACAAGATAGACAAGACAGATACTAGGCAAAACAAGAGGAGACATAACTAAGTACTATATATGTAAAACATTGGAGATTTAGACATACATAAATGGCCAAGATGTATGCAGCCCACCACTGCGTCAAAGTACTCCAAGTACGGTGGGTTCCTAACTGCCTATATATGCATGACTAAATAAACAATAATAAAACACACACAGCACTTACCTGCAAGAAAAGGGCAGAGGACTTGGAACAACTGCCTGCAGGAACCAACTGAAACAAAAGGATTGATGGAAAAGGAAAGGGTGTGGCAACATAAAAAAAAAAACATATAAAGGAATCCAGGAGACTGGGAATTCCAGGAACGGAATAAAGGAATTAACCCAGAAAACCCAGCATAAAGAAAACCAGACATGGAATAGAAAACCAGAAAAACCAAGAAAAACTAAACAAGAATTGTAAAAAGAGTACTGGATACTAGAAGCAACCAGTGGAGGGCTGGTAATGTTTGGCCTAAAGGGCAAGTACAAACAAATTGCATTTATTTTGTGCCCAAAAACCCACAGATATGAGCATGAATGGTCCTACTCACATGGAACATGCAGTATATACAGATTTGCCAGATGGGGGCTGTTGCAGTTGCCATAATGCATTTCTCTAACCTCCATCAGTATGACCTGCACAATAAAAGGAATATTCACACACTACAAGACACATTCTCTATTTCCACAAACTCTACCGCTACCAAAACCTCCAAAGACATCTTACATACTCAAGGCTGCCATCAACCAAAAAAATACGTGAGAGGTCTGGGCCAGACCACCAGACCAAATAGTTCTTACTAGTATCACTAGTATAGTAATAGCTTGTTGGTCTACTCTTATTTCCTATTTTAGGCTAGAAATAAAAATGTATTTGCAAAAACAAGGTACAGCTATGGGGACCAGGTTTGCCACCATTAATGCTAAAAATTTTATGTCAGATTAGGAAATCACCGCCATTTGGGGTGAACTCACGGATATCAATGTGGATGGTCTTACTCACATGAAACATGCACTAAATATATATTTGGCAGATGAATGCTGTTGCAGTTGCAAGATGTGCCATCATATATTCCTCTAACCTCCATTAGTATGACCTGCACAATAAAAGGAACATTCACATTAATTCTGTGCATGCCTAAAATTCACATACTTTGTTTTCCATAAACTCCACTTCTACCAACACCTTCACATATGGTACATACTCAATGCCATCATCAGGTAGGTACAACCAATACACCTTTAAGGGTCCTGGGCTTGACTACCAGGGAAAAGTTTGGTGCAGCTTGGCCCCTTCAGGAGGCTGTGGTCCTCACACTTAAGGGCCTCTGATGGGCAGAATCTCTGAGGAGCCTAGTTGAGCGCTACAGCACTATATCTGAGCATTGGATAGGGCCCTTTTCACCTTCGCAGTTCCGCTGCGCAGCAGTTGAATTGGGAGGAAGTAATCACACTATACTAATCACGCCAGACTTCACAAGAGCAATACAGCCTCTTTCTCAAAGGATATCAGCACTGTGCTCCAAGTGACTCTGCAGCTGTGGCCTACTAATATGGCACCCACGCGGGCAGACTCAGACACAGAAACGGAGGGAAGCGTACATGATAACACTCCTCATCAATCAAGGTGAAGTCGGGTTATGTCCTACTCCACCGACGTGCTTACCCGTGCACCAGCAAGCAAACTTTACCTCGCTCCCAGAACACTTACCTGCCTGTAAGGCAGACATCCAAAATCTGCTGTAGGAGCTGAAGGCCTTATTTGTGACCAACATAGCACTAGTACACAAAGATATGGGTGCTGACAGACAGGCTGCAGGCATTGGAGGATGACGGCGACATCACCAAAGACACTCAAGAGGATTTAACAGCAGAGATTGACAAGTTGAAATGGGCCAACCTCATCATGGAGGACAAAGTGATGGAGGATTCCAAAAAACAGTGAAACCTGAGGGTTCAGGGCATTTCTGAAGAGATCACAGACACTGAGGTTCCTCACTATCAGCAGGATGCAAAGCTCCATACTCTCATCCTCTAAAGCTAAAGTCATACAACTAGGCTATCATTTTCAGGTCCCTAAGTCACCTAAAACCCTGACTGCTGTCCCATTTTACTTGTTAATATGTTTCCAGTTACTTTGGTGCAAAAACCTGTACAGGCCACTATCCATTATTCGCCTACCTAACATTTTGAAGGCTCCGAACTTTCCTTTTTCAGTGAACTCTCTAGGTCTACCTTGCTTTGGCAACAATCCTTACGACCTGTGACGAAAACATTGAGGAACAAGGGAGTCAAGTATCAATGGAGACCAGGCCGCATATTATCGTGCTTCACTAGGAGAAGTGTATCCAACCCATCTTTCGGATGAAGACTGGTTCCTAAAAGCAGTGGAATTGCGTTTGCCGGAAGACATCCTGAGGCCTGTGTCTAATGCATCACCCAAGACCTAGGCTCCTATGTGGGATTTACACAACATCCAGCCATTCTAGAAGAGTGGTGGAGGTGCTGCCTTTCACAGGCACTCGCTTCCTGTTGGATGCGGTGTGGAGCGGACACCTATTACTATTCTAGTTGCCTAGTTTTATGTATTTTGCCATGGCTCTTCTCTCTCAGCTTGCTCATTGTTTTTTCTGACGATTTTAGCTCATCTAGCCTATACATCCTTCTTAAATATTAGCTGAAATTTACGCTGTTTATTCTCTCATGAAGCTTGTGCTCTCCCAAGTGCAGCAGATTTGGTCAGTGTACGTACTTTTGTTTTTATCCTAAAATTGTGCATTATACCTTTGATAATGGTCGGTTAGACAGATATGCCGTTTCTTGTAGCAATCCATGCTTTTACCTATATCAATGTATTTCTATATGTTACAATAAAAACTATAAATTATAAAAAATATATGTGTATTATCTGACTGTGTGTGTGTGTATAAATGTATCTATGTGTATATTTGACTATGTGTGTGTCACTGTAGGTATAACTGACTGTGTGTGTACACATTTATGTATGTGTCACTGTCTATATATCTATATGCCTGAGTGGTGCATGTCAAAAAGTGTGTATAGCTTGCAGGTCCTGTTTACAGACCAAGGGGGCCGAGGTCTTGAGCTGTGTAAGGGTCCCCAAAATGGCTTATGGCAACCCTGTACATACTTGTTATAGCCTGGTAGCCAGGTCAGCCTCATATACCACAATGCACCTGGAAATATTTCAGGGGCAAGTCCAAGCCTGAAAATCACTGGACACAAACCCATGCAAAATCCCACTTGGAAAGCAAAGGCTCTACAAAATTCCTGCCTACTGTCTCATTCAAGCAGAAATGTACAGACACCACAGCACACTGCCACCATTTTCATAAGAATAGTTGGGGCTGCAACCTACAATCCCCTTGTCAGCAATCCATAACAATGGACGCGGGAGAGGGGGGTTGCTTCTCTTACCCCCTTCCCAGACCTCCAATGCTTGCCAGTCTGATTCTGTATGATAATAATGACACTATTTTACAACTTGGCATTATAAAGAAATTAGCCTAGTGAAAATTGTTCAAACAAGCTAGGCGCCATGTTTACTGACTGAAACTTCCACCATGACAACTAGTGACGTCTTCACACTCCATCCTTGGCCAATGATTGGCTGCTATCTGGTCCTTCCTCCAGTCAGATAGATCTCGTGTCAATTGGTTAACGTTCGTAGGTGTGGCTATCTGTTTTCTGGCCATTCGATTGGTTTGCTGCCGAGGGGCAAGTCCTTAGTGCTGGCGGCGCGGGAGAAGCAGATTGTGTTGACGTTCTGGAATACTGCGGGGTGACAGTATTTATACTGTGGAGGTAAATAGAACGGTGTGGGGTTTGGCGGTTATGCAGTAACTATAGTACAAGGATTAGTGTTTATCACTCTAGCTGGTTTGGACACATCCCGAGCATCCTGGGATCGTAGTAAAGCAGCTAGAGTGATAAAGTTGTTAATAACCGAGAACTATATGATTGAAGCACAGTGTTATATATTTAAAGATACAGACATTGGTTTAGTAACACATTTCTACTACGGCAGAATCTATAGATATTTGTAACTCTGTTATATGTAGAGGATGTGGCTCTGGTATGGCAGTGATTAACTTGATGCCATATCCCAAGACCTTCTTTCTCTAAACAACAACCGGCTTTTATTACCAGAATCAATCCGAGCTTCTCCCATTTCCCGGCTTTGTAGCTCCAAGTATATGACTATGTCTGCTATTACAGACCTGCATAACTTAGCAGTAGGTAGGGGCTAAAATTAAAACAGGCTAAATTTCTTCAGGCAGCATAGAGGGTTTTAGCACCTCACTTTCCAAGTATAGGTATAACATTACATAGAAAAATACAGATACACATTGACAGACATACATACACACACACACACACACACACACACACACACACACTCTCTCTCACCGTGACAGACATCTAGATAGGCAATCACCGTGACAGACAGCTAGATAGGCAATCACCGTGACAGACAGCTAGATAGGCAATCACCGTGACAGACAGCTAGATAGGCAATCACCGTGACAGACAGCTAGATAGGCAATCACCGTGACAGACAGCTAGATAGGCAATCACCGTGACAGACAGCTAGATAGGCAATCACCGTGACAGACAGGCAATCACCGTGACAGACAGCTAGATAGGCAATCACCGTGACAGACAGCTAGATAGGCAATCACCGTGACAGACAGCTAGATAGGCAATCACCGTGACAGACAGCTAGATAGGCAATCACCGTGACAGACAGCTAGATTGGCAATCACACTGACAGACAGCTAGATTGGCAATCACACTGACAGACATACAGATTGGCAATCACACTGACAACATATAGCTATGCAAACACTCTGACAGACATACAAATACACACACACACACACACTGACAGACATACATATGCAGGTCAAAATAAACACTTTTTTAGTCACCCTCCAGTTTCCTACATGTTGGGTGCTGTAGGGTGGATTCCCATATGTCCAGGATGACATTGTAAGGAGTTACAATCTCCTCTGCTCTGTGCTACTGTCTCTCCCCCGATCTGCAGCACCCTCCTCTCTGGCAGACTCCAGTCTCTCTGGGGAGGAAGTGATTGGGCATCACTTCTTTCCATGCTGCCGATAAGCAAGAGACTCGATCCGCTGTTAAAGGTTCTCAGTGCCTGACTGGGCCTCTGCTGACACATGCCCCCGGGTGGCCCTAAGTTCATGGAAGATGCGATGGGCCCACTTAGTGTGCGGCCCATACTTTGCGGGCCTTCCTAAATAGTGGGCCGCATGAATGCAGGTCTGTGCCATTAGGTACCTAGATGAGGAAACCTGAGACACTGCCTAATGTTGAACTGAAAGAACCAGATCCACCTTACAACCTTGTTGAAAACCAAATGTCAGTTCACATTTTACTTCCTGTTCCTCCCATTTTCATTTGAGCTCTCTCTTTTCCTTTTACCCATTTTCTATTTGTTTTGCTATACATGTTCCCCATTCACCTCTTTCTGCGGAGTAACATATAGGAGTAACATATCAACTTTGTTACTCCTATATTCCTCCTCTTAAGTGTATTCATTTCAGTGCACCTCCCCAGCACCCTTCTTGTCTTCTCCACTCAATAACAGCACTCCCACTCCCATTCAAATAGCATTTTTTTTTTTTTTTCCAGTTTTACACTTCACAACATGGTTTACCCTAATGTCTGCAGTAGACCAATTGACCCAATACACAAATGTATTTATTTAACAATTCTTATATAGCATCCTAATCCAGAACACTTAACATTGATTAAAAAATGTAACAATAAGTGAAAATAGCATTGATTTGTAATATACTTGGGTATAATACTTTAAAGGAAAATTCAAGTTACATTAAAAAACAATTTCAGTATTGAACCTACAAGGACAAAAGGGTTTCATAGAATAAATTATAGAACAATAAAAGTTCCACTGAGCTGTAGTATATATTTTCTTAGCAAAACTGATTTGGTTATGGCTAAGGGAGGATCAGGATGAAAGATGCATAGGATGGGAGAAAGGGATACTTGGAAGGAATCCGATAAGGTGAACTGGCAGGACCAAGTGGTCTCTTCCAAATTGTGTTGCAGAAAAGGGAACATGGGCTGCAGAAATGTTAGATCTAAAGAGATTAATCGTCCAATAAGGCTTTTCTTGAAGGAAGGAAATTTTAAGACAACTGTCACAGGGGCAGTGAAGTGATCAGTCTGCTGTTTTAAATACAAGCCACAACAGTCTCCAAGCATTGATGTAGCATTGTCTAGTGCCCGGGCCCCGAAATAGTGGGATTTTGCCATATCTGATAAGCCTAACACATCCCAGAAATCCCGTAAATTGACCTGCAAAATTGGAAGTTATCCAGGGACCCAAAGGAGAGAGAGAGAGAGAAAGGGTGGAAGAAAAATCGGATCAGCTGCAGGCAAATCCAGAAGTATGGCAAGCCAAGGTTGCAACCTTCAAAAGCGAGCAACTACAAGGTGGGTTCTTTCAGTGAGACTCCATGTCTTGGGGCTTCCATAGGACAAAGGATAAAACAAAATCCTTAGCAAGCTACAAAATTTAAAAGAACACTATAGGCAAAAATGTAGGTTAATGAAACCGTTTTAGTATATAGATTATGCCCCTGCAGTCTCACTGCTGAATTCTGTGCCATTTAGGACTTAAATCACTATGTTTATAAAGCCCTAGTCATGCGTCCCTGCATGTAACTTGCACTTTGTGTAAAAATCTTGGTCCAGGTGAAAATGGGCAGGAAATAGACTGGACGTATGGAAGAAATTTTTTTTTATTTGTATTCATTGTAGTGGTGCAATTGATATAGAGAAGCATATATATTTACGTTTAAAAAACAGATTGTTTCATAAAAGACTATAAAGAAGACAGGAGCAATCCTGTTTTGAGATATTATGAACTAAACAAATTGCTTTGTTTTTAAGGAATGGATATGAAGCCGCCAGATTCCGATGCCATAACGTTCCCTTTCCCCTACCAGCCGTATCCCATCCAAGAGCAGTTCATGACCAAGCTATATCGTGTTTTAGAGGCTGGTAAAGTTGGCATTTTCGAGAGCCCAACAGGAACGGTGAGGATATTTAAAAAAAAAAAAAAAAAAAATTATGCTTTGGGTAATAAAGATTGGAATCTTGCCACATGTGCCTGTAGGCAAGGCTGTCTGTTTTAAATCTAATAACACGTCCTCTAGACTAAAGCAATGCTAGATTCTCTGAGTAGGAAAGGGTGGCTTTAGTTCTGCCTATTCCTTGCCTGACAGAGCAAGCATAATATCAGTTACTTCCCATGTTTGCTGCATTCCCTCTCTTCTTTGTCCAAACCCAACACTGGAATACATCATACAGGAGGTGCAGGTTTGGGAAGTATATAGTAGCAAGACCCAGTGAAACTTCTGGTTTGTAATGCTATTTTTTGGAAACATTAAAAAGCACTGAGAAAATTAAGTACAAATATTACTTTTACGATATAAAATATGCAGTTCACGGGGCGGGGCCTGCACGCTGAGCCGGATGGACGTGGGGCGCCTCGGCTCCACGATGAAAGCCCATTAATCAGCCCAAAACTACTATATCTCCCCCTAAAAAACAACTGGCAACTATGAGAAGGCACTGGGGACCTGAGCCACAACACTTGGGGCAGCTGTTGGCCCATACCCTACCGGCAAGGCTGACTGCTGGGCGGATGGTATTGCAGCCCGTCGTGAGGCTCTGGCGGGAGAAACGGCCGATCTCCCGCGCTTAGTCCGGCGGGTCCTCCCGCACGCCGGCAAAGGGCCTCGTTCTCCCCCCCCTGTGGGCCGGGGGGGTTATCCCGGACCCCACCGGGAAGGCGGAGATCCCTTTGGGCAAACAGTGAGGTGAACAGACCACTCAGTGACCGCGTGCAACAACCCAAGATGGCCGCCGCACCCAGTATAAGCCGAAGCATGGAGGCAGCGACAGTCAAGCAACGGCTGAGTACTGTCTGGAAACGGAGGCTGACCTGAAAGTTATGCATCGACAGCGGCTAGTGGAGAACCCTCTCCGCCCATCAGACAACCCTGAAGGGTGCACATTCGTTAAGTAACCATGGCTAACAATCGTTTTACCTGAGGCAACATTTCCTTTGCGGCGGATGGATCTGTGGGGACCATACTGAGACTCTGACCCTGCATTAACATGGAGGAATAAAGGACACTGGACACAAGACTCATTTCCTAGCTGTGACTGATACTCATATATTATTAGGATCCCAGCAGAGCACTAGATACCTTTTTATGTTAACATGCCACTCTGTGTCATTCTCTGTATTATTATGAGTCTATTAAGATTGATCTGGTTCCTGCAGATCCACACAGCACAAATTTGGAAATCATTTAATAATGAATGAGCACACATGTATATGTTAGCCGACTGACCCAACGACTCACTGCCCCCTGGTGGTTAACTTTAATTAACTAGAGAAACCTGTATCTGATGTTATTTTGCATAAGCCTGTAACTAAATAGTTATACAACCACTGTTTAATTAAGCATGCATAGAATAGCTATAAAAGTCTTACTTAACAGCACTATGCTTGTTATATTGTTTTATTCTGCATGATCTATAATTTAAAAATGTGCAACGCATGCGACTGCCATAACCCTGTACATCTTGTTATCTCTCTGTTTGCTGCAGCTGTTGTGGCGCACCAAGCAATGTTACCTCTTTGCACGCAATAAATAAAGAATTAAAAAAAAAAAAAAAAAAAAATATGCAGTTCACCAGTTCTTTAGTTAATGATAATCGGGGGCATTATATGTATGTTAGGTGCCTTCCACGGTGGAACGTCCAGCTATTTTTGATGTGCATTAACTAATAAAATTATGTTATATATTATTTGATCTATCACAGGACTGCCAAATTCCAGGACAGATTACGCAGAATGTTAAATGAAACGCAGGGATAGCTTGCAACTTCCTTGTAGTCAGCATATGGTCTGAGCTGGAAGCACTTTATTTTTTAAAATGTATTTAAACTACATATATTACCTGTTTGGCTTGCACAGTTTGTTGAGAAAATGATTTGCAGTGTGAATCGACTAAACTTTTGCATGTCTTTTAAAACAAGGCTTGAAAACCCATGGTTCTATGTTGCTATGATGACTAGAAACCACTCTTGGTATACCGGTAATATTGTGTACGCAAGAAAAGAACCCCAGACATTCTGCTTTTTCTTACAGCACATAGATGCGGATAGTGGAAGTTCCAATGGGTTTCAAAGTTTTCTTTAATCAGCAGAGGTGGCTTTTAGGATCTCCCTGTATGACAGAGGTTACTTATTGAGTGACTCGGTGTATCTGAACACTTGCTCGCTTGAGATCTGCTCTGTGGAACTGATGAAAATACTGAAAAAATTTAATTTTGTTTGCTGTAAGGCACCATATGAATTAAAGAGTACCTAAGCACTATAGCAAATTTGTATCTCAGCCTCTGCCTATTCTGCCCCTTTACTAACAAAGTTTTACTGTTTCATGCCTAGGAATTCAAAAGCATCATGTTTAGATTGTGTTATTTTAATCTTTTCTCTTTCAACCTTGGTCTGATATTTTATAAAACCGTCTATAGGCAACATCCCATTTGTGAAGAAAGACAATTTTATTGGCACACCACTGGCAGTAAACTTCTTTTTTATTTTTTATTCCTACAATACTTTGAGAGTAACTTGGAAGGGTTATTACTACATGTCATTTAGCTTGGCGTCTTTCTCGTAGAACAGTACCTACCCTATGATGTTATTCAAATCTAGAGGCAAAGGCCACTTGAACTTTAAACTAAAGAACTAAAAGGGCCATCGCATGCAATGACAGCAGTCTGAGATGAATATGGATACATTACTATAGAAGCCGCTACCGTTCTACCATACGTTTGCTGTTATGACTTAAAAACCTGTGTATTGTAGTCCAAATGCAGGCTTGACATTAGGTAGAGGAGCACTGAGGCTCAAAGCAATGTCTGGAGCTTGAAGCGCAATTTATGGTTCAGAGACTGTGTGGTGGATGACTGCAAAAGTATGTGCAACAACAAAAACCACAAGCAGGCAATTGGTTCCTATATGCAGTGCGTCTCTGAAAATTGTGCCTATTTTACAACTGTGTTATTTTTTAAGGGCAAGTCTCTGAGTCTGATCTGTGGCTCCCTGGCTTGGCTCAGAGACTTTGATGAAAAGAAACGACAACAGGAGGCCGAAGTACTGTGTGCTGCTAATGCTGAACAGAATGGGAAGCTGGGAACAAACACACAATCCTCTTCTACAGAGCCTGATTGGATTAGCCAGTTTGTACAAAAGAAAGAGGAGATGGACATGAAAAACAGGATAAAGGTTGGTATTCTTAATGTAAAGGTTTGTTTTATTGAGATATTAGAGACATCTAAAGTGTTTTACATTACTTAATAATCTTTGCGATACTGAAATAAAATTTGCATACCAAGTGCCCAAACCGCAATGCAAACCAACTTTTTTTCCCCCTCAAAGTGCCAACATGGCAATTAAACCTGAATACTGAAGTTTAAGTTTAGAAAAAAAACAACTCCTATAGTTGTCCAAACTAATTAACATCTTTTGTTTTTAAAGAAGAACACAACAGCAGAGTTCAAGGATACAAACTGTTTTTTGTTTTTTTTTTTATTGAAAAAAACATAAATTCTAGTAAATGAAAACACACTGGTGTTCTATGGTGCTTCACCTAACTAAGGACCTATTCCTACCTATCCACCTGCAGCTTGCACGCGTCTTACATCTTGTTTTGGTGCAACGTCAAGCTGCACCATAACTGCATGTAAACTGTACCAAGGATGCGTACAAGGGGATGTTCAACTTGTAATATGATTACATGCCAGACTGAAATTGGATGAGGAAAGCCGTACTTTGGGTCCTTTCTCTGCTTCTACAGGTACAGTAAATGTCAACCTGAATTAGGATGAGCAAGATGAACAAGGAAACTAAACTTGCTTAACACACTTTAAACAACTCCTAACTTTGTGTCTTGGACACAAACACCGCATTAGTAAAAGTTTGCAGTTAGCATATATTTGCACAATTATTATTATTTTTTTTTTCTTTTGCTGCTGTATGCATGCTGAACATTTGTCAAACCTTGGTTCATACTCTGTTAATTTGAGAGCAACACATGCAGCACTCAATTCATCTGTTAGTCTGTTTCTGGTATCCGATTTGATATAATTCAAAGCTGAAAACATCTGCTCACAAGCATAAGATGACCCAAACAATGAAAGAACCACACTTTAAGTGCTCTCATTGACTTAAAATTATTCGGCAGAGAATTCCACACTTTTTAAGGATTCCATTTTCAGAACTACCAACTGTGCTGTCCTTTGTCATCCCTTCCCATTCTATCTTCTCAAGTGTGGCACCCAGGGCATAACATTTACTTTTCCAGATAGAGCTTTCTTGAAATTCTAATAGCATCTTATTTCAGATTTCCTTAATCTAACCAGTGTAAGCAGGGAATATTTCGCTTTTTCTGAAAAAGTAAGAAAATACAGGGTTATCTCCATTGTCATGAATTTCAAGAATCTGCTACTGAAATTCTCCTCAGCAGCTGCTACAATGCTGGAAAGTTCCTTGTGGATTTCCTGATGGCTTGGAGGATTGTCCGTAAATATTGTAGAATTTTCCAAATGTACTTTTAGATTTGGAAAGTAATAGAGCTGCCCACTTTCAAAGTCTCTTTTAAAAATCTGCAGCTTTCTCTCAAATGTTCTTATATCACAAAACATAATTTCTGTTGTTTTCCCTACACCTTGCAATTTGTTGTTCAGTAAAATCTGTAAAAAAACAAACCAAACCAAACCGTGAGGTTAAGCCAGGCCGTATCAGTGAGCTGCGGATATTCTTGCCCCTTTTCATTCATAAACAGCCTAATTTCATCCAAGCAAGTCACAAACCTCTCCAGGACATGTCCTCTGCTCAGCCACTGGACATTATTGTACATAAGTAAAGTATTATACTGTGACTGTACCTCATCAAGAAGTGCTTGAGACTGTTGAAAATGAAGAGCATGAGCCATGATGTAATGCACCATTTTTCTGACATCTTTGAGGATATCTTCTAAGTTTTTGCTGCTGTCCCTGGCACAAAGAGCTTCTTGGTGTATAATACAATGAAGCTGAATGACTGGATGTTTTGCTTCTTTAACAAAGAACTGTATGAAACCAGATGTTGCCCCCACCATGCAAGGTGCTCAGTCACTAGTAATTGAAACCACTTGTTCTGGTCTTATTTCTTGTGCCAAAAAAAGCCTCCATCACAGCATTGTGGATATCTATTCTTTGTGTTCTTGTAGGCAAGGACAACAGTTTCAACAGCTCTTCTCTCATGACGTCACCAACAGCATAACGCAAAATTACTGCTAGCCTTGCATGATTATTTATATCTGTGATTTTATCCAAGCACATGGAGTAACAGGCTGCCTTTTGCAAGTCAGTGGAGATCTGCTGACTAACATCGCTTCCCATGTGCAGAACTCTATCTTTAACCCCATAAAGACACATGACGGAAATATTTTATTCCAGAAGTTGTGTCCTTAAGGGGTTAACAGTATTTCTGTTCACGGGCATCTCAGAGATGCGTTGCATAATTTTATCATTGTTTGGGAAATCATGAAAAAGGGAACCACTCCCAGAGCCAACAGGACCATTTTGTTAAAATCTCCACCATGTTTTACTATGCACAGTGAAATTTGAAAGCTGTCAGATGATTTGATTTAGAAACATAGTTGGAAAAACTTCAATACTGGGAGTGATATTTCCTCAATTTCTCTTTAAACTCTTTCCTCTCAGATTCTCCAAGTTGGGCAACACTTTTAGTGACGTCTAACACTTAATGTGCAGGACACAACACTTTCAGTACACAGAATACATAATGCTTTTCCATTGCACTCAATCACTCCAAATGATTCTGTCCAAGCCTTTTGGAATGATCTTCCACTACCTGTTTTAAGTTTTGCTTTTTTTGCTGTACTTATTTTTTTGTGTGTTTGTGACGTGAGGTCTATAAAAACACAAAAGTTATTTAGAAAAAGACTGTAAGGGTACATATTGCTCACCAGCACAAAGAAACAGTACATATCACTTATTACCACACTACGAATGGAAAGGGTACTTGTCATTTATTACCACACTGCAAGGTTTCACAATCGTAGTGTGCTGGTGAGTGACTTGTACCCTCACAGTGTAGTAATAAGTGGTACATCCCTTTGTGTTTGACGGAGTTAGAGAGGGCACCGGAAGCTTCATTATGGCGGCTGGTACAGGTTAGGAATTTTTTTCTGGTCTGTGATCTTGTCACTAAGGCTGAAAAAATTGACATGTGACAGTAAAAGAACACAATAAATGCTAAAAGCAATTAAGAGTGAAATACCTAGAGCTAGAATTGAAATACAATAACAAGGAGGGTGACTGAAGCGAGTAAAATAATTTAGGAGAGAGAATCATATAGTAAAACAGCTAAATATATTAGATCTAATTTCCTGTCTCTTGGCGGCATCAGCGGAGGGCTCAGAGGAAACAGTGCTGGAACAGCACGTAAGTCAGTGCTCCCTCGCAGCCCATCCCACCCACCAACTATATGAAAGCAGAGTAGGTGCCTGACGTTTTGGGCAGGCAGGTGCCTACTTTGCATTGCCGCCGGGGGGCCTAAGGCTGTAGACTGGCGCCAGCCGCGCCTCCCCAGTGACCTATGGCTGTGTGCCCACAGAGAGGGCTCTGCGTGCCACCTGTGGCACGCGTACCATAGGTTCACCAATGCTGATCTAGGGCAAGCATGTCAAACTCAAAGGCAAACACGGGCCAAATAAACAAGGTTTAAGTTTAAGTTTTTATAAACAGAGGCTTATTTCGAAAAGTACAATATAAAATAAGTTGCCTAACTGACACTGGATGTCCTCATGCTCATAGGGCTTCAAAATAAACAAGTGGACTAATTTCAAGGAGACATGCATTTGCATATAACCAATGTTTAAGTCCAACTACCTTGACATATTAAGAAAAGTTTGGTAATGGGACTGAAATGGTGAATGCATGCAGTTGCACAGCTGTAAAAACAAATGACATTATCTTGTTGATTTTTAAGTGCTATGAGTGTGTTCTTCACTTTGGCTGAGATCATTAAACTTGATCATCTTCGCCAATCCAATGCTTTCCCATAGGAAACCATTGGGAGGCTATTGTGGATGTGGGGCAAAAAGCTGCGCAGCCAGTCATCATCTTCGTGGGGAGTGTTAAGTGCCTTTCATGCAGACCCAATCTAATACACTGCCCCTCCCCCCATTCTAACACACTGCCACAAACCAAATACATTTACCCCAAATCCAATACACTGCCCCCTCCCTCCACTCACATACACTGCCCCCTCCACCCAATCTAATACACTGCCCCTTTATCCAATACACTTCCCTCCCTCCCACCACTCTAATTTAATAAATGTGAATACCGCACTCAAAACAATTCCAGTAAAGTCTAATCTTATATATAATTGCAAAAGCTATTTATTATAATATTAATTTATAAGTTCATAGAGTCAAGCATAGTAGAATACATTTCAATCCTATATACATAGAATATTTACATATATACACAACAAATCCTCCCTATGTTAAATTTCATGAGTAATGTATCTATTTACAATGGTTTATGATCCAAAAAATGAAATGAGGAAGATGATCCCAAAAAATTCAAAAAATAGTAATAAAAATAAAAAAAATAAAAAATAAAAATTGAAAAGAAAAGAGAAAAAAGAAAAAAAAAAAGAAAAAAAGTGAAACTAAAATGCTTCATATCATGGAAGATGGCGTTAAAATAGCTGTTAGTATCTGCAGTAGTTGAAATGGGCGGTCGCTGGAAAGGCCTTAGAACGTTGCTGCGGAAGCCGGATTTCGGTTCCTGTCCTCGATGGCCCCTGTTCAGAGGAGAGGAACAGGGGCCATCGAAGGGACAGGAACGTCCCGAGCGCGCAGCCCATTTCAACCCGTTTCTAGGATTGCCTACTTCCATGGATCATTGAATGACCTGTCATACTGACCAGATCCTGCTAAATGATTGATTGTCTTTCCACCAAACTACAAGCATTTTCACCCTCATCCATTATACACCATCTACAGACTACATCATCCTCCTACTGAGCATACCTTAAAGCTATCTTCAACATTGGTGAGATCTATCCATAGACCTATGAAGCATATAGTGCACTATATTTTGGACTATTAGACAACAGGACTGTATGATAATTATTTTTTCACTTTTTTCTTTTTTCTTTTTTCTCTTTTCTTTTCAATTTTTCATTTTTTAGTTTTTACTATTTTTTATTTTTATTACTATTTTTTGAATTTTTTGGGATCATCTTCCTCATTCATTTTTTGGATCATAAACCATTGTAAATAGATACATTACTCATGAAATTTAACATAGGGAGGATTTGTTGTGTATATATGTAAATATTCTATGTATATAGGATTGAAATGTATTCTACTATGCTTGACTCTATGAACTTATAAATTAATATTATAATAAATAGCTTTTGCAATTATATATAAGATTAGACTTTACTGGAATTGTTTTGAGTGCGGTATTCACATTTGTTTTTGATTTAGATTAGGAGGTTGTTGTGGGGTTAAACCTCGAATACCTGCACCGTGCATAATTGAGTGCCAGCACATATTGTGTTTTTTTTACTCTAATTTAATACACTGACCCCTGTCCCTCCCCCAATTTAATACACTGCCTCCCCCAAATTTAGCACATTGCTTTTTTCCCTCCATTATTATTGTTATGAAGAAGGTACTTGTCCTAATTCCAATGCAGCAAATATAGTATTTTTTTTACCCACTAGGGGTAGCTCTCTTTCTTCATTGTGTATCCTAGCTAGCTAAATTCAATTCTGCGGTAATCTATCTTTTACAAAGAGCATGTTTCATTAAATACATTAGCTGTGTATTGAGGCATCATTTCCCTAAGAGAATTGTGCTTTTCTTTTTGAGTGGATATGAATTTAAGTAAAGAAATATGAAAGTCTTCCATACCACACAATGTGCAAAAACACATAAATTCCAAGCACTGTTTACTGTGAAAATAGCAATGCATTTGTTTTTGATAGGATTATAGCTCCTTAAGCTTTGCTATGGGATCTAATGGGGATATGGAAAACTGGTGAAGGGTCACTTGAATGCAGTGTTTATTTTGGCAACAAATTTCAATTTAGTTTTAGTCTTGGCCTTTTGACTAGTATCCATTTTAGGTTTAGTCGACTAAAATTTGACTAAAATGCTAGTCAACAAAATTAAAACTGCTTGAATAGAAAATGATATGCAATGATACCCTAAGGTAGTTTTTGATCACTATGCGTCCTCCAAAAATGTCCACACAACCTAGTGCCTCGCGCTATGTGACATAAACACTTATAAAATGGGTTTCAAGAGGCATGGTGTGCAGAATGTCCCCCCCTCCACACACACACATTATTAATGTGTCATATAGATAACTATGTGGCCAAACGCTTCTGGGGATGTGGGTCTGCCACGTTAGAGAGGTTTTCTTGCTAAAATCAGGGTCATGCTAAATCTCCCCCAGCTGTTCTCAGTATGCAGGCCCATCTGACAATGCCTCCTCCTTCCAGGCAGATTTCGAACCCTTTGGATGTCAAGCTTCTCCCAGGCAGATATTGTACCTCTGCCGGTGTCTCCTTCCCCATGCAGACATCAAATCCTCTTCAAGTGGCTCCTTCTCCCAGGCAGATATTGTGCCTCCTTCCCGAGGCAGGTATCGACAAGTAATGGAGCATAGAAAGAAGGTCTTAAATGAGGGGCAGACCTCTCGCAGACCAGCTATAGGCTACTTGAATCAGTATGGCCTAATATAAATCCTTTTTCATGGTTTTATGGGATTTTATTTTAGCTAGAGTTTGGGGACTCAGCTATTTATATGATTGTTACATTAACCCCTTCAGGACCGAGGACGGTTCAGGACCGTTATCGGCATTTTTGCGTCGATGACCGGTGACGGTCCTGAACCGTCCTAACGGCCTTATGTACTTACCCGATCGCCGTCGTTCCCCCGGCGGTGATTGGCGTTGCTCCCGTTGTGGGGAGACTGCCTGCAGCCCAGACAGTCTCCCCATGGCAGATTAGGACCCCTGGGGCTCAGCAGAGTAATCACATGGTCACAGTAGGTGTCCATGTGTCTGCCTGCAGGGGGACTGCCTGTGCTGACAGGCAGTCTCCCTGCTAGTGTAAAATCATTTAAAAAAAAAAATAAAGGTACATGTTAATAAAAAAATATAATATGTGTGTGTGTATATATAATATATAGACATATATCTATATAATATGTCTATATATCATATAATGTCATACTAAGTGTATTTTTATATTAATTTGTAAAATACAATTATAAATTTACACACGTGTGTGTGTGTGTGTGTGTGTGTGTGTGTGTGTATATATATATATATATATATATATATATATATATATATATATATATATATATTGTATATAAATATTATAAAATACAAATAAGTAATTTAAATTAAATAAAAACATGTCAAAATAATAAAATTTAAAAAAAATCTATATGAAATTTTATTCTAACTGTATTTTGATAGTAATATATATATATATATATATTTATATCAAAATACACTTAGAATGAAGTTGTGTGTGTGTGTGTGTGTATATATATATATATATATATATATATATATATATATATATATATATATATATATATATGTATATATATATCTCTATGTATATATAAATAAATAAAAATAATACGAAATATACATATGTCCATATACAAAATTACATAAATAATTATATAAATATACACGTAGACTTCAAATATATAAATATGCATATATATTTAAATTCTATGTGCGTATTTATATAATTTTACATAATTAAGTAATTTTATTGATTGCAATTTGAGGGACCTGCCTGCCAACCCAGGCCGAAATTCCAGAGAATTTAATTTGCTAGCACTATATTTTACCCTGTAACTTTCTATGACACCCTAAAACCTGTACATGGGGGGTACTGTTTTACTCAGGAGACTTTGCTGAACACAAATATTAGTGAATCAAAACCGTAAAACATATCACAGCGATGATATTGTCAGTGAAAGTGACCTTTATTTGCATTTTTCACACACAAACAGCACTTTTACTGATGATATAATTGTTGTGATACGTTTTCCTGTTTTAAATCTATGGGTCAAATATTTTGACATTGAAAAAGGCCAGGTTGGTTACGTTGCCTTTGAGAGCATATGGTAGCACAGGAATAAGAATGACCCCCATGATGGCATACCATTTGCAAAAGAAGACAACCCAAAGTATTGCAAATGGGGTATGTCCCGTCTTTTTTAGTAGCCACTTAGTCACAAACACTGGCCAAAATTAGTGTTCAATTTAGTTTTTTACTTTTTTCACAAACAAATATGAATGCTAACTTTGGCCAGTGTTTTCGACTAAGTTGTCTACTTTAAAAAAAATATATACATGTGGGTTGTTATTCAGAGATTTATGACAGATAATAGTGTTACAATGTCACTATTGATAAATTAAAAAAATGTATGTTTTGAAACCGCAATATCCTACTTGTACTTATAGCCCTATAACTTGCAAAAAAAGCATGTAAACACTGGGTATTTTTAAACTCTGGACAAAATTTTGAATCTATTTAGCAGTTTTTTTTTATTCGCTTTTGTAGATGAGTAAAATATTTTTCAAGTAAAAGTCAAAAAACAAATTTTTTTTCAATTTCATCATATTTATTTATTTTAAATTAAATTACATGAAATTATATAAATAATTGTATGTAAAGAAAGCCCCCTTTGTCCTGAAAAAAACAATATATAATTTGTATGGGAACAGTAAATGAGAGAGCGGAAAATTACAGCTAAACACAAACACCACAAAAGTGTTAAAAGAGGCCTGGTCGCAAATGTACAACATCGCAAAAACAGTCCAGTCCTTAAGGGGTTAAACAAACTCTTTACTCTAAAGCTTTGTATTACTCTTTCTTGCTTTTGTCAGTTTGGCTCATGTTAGCCTTACACTGACCCATTAGACTGAGAGCACTAGGCCGTAACACTCCTACAGCACTGGCAATACACCCATACTACTTAAACCTGTCCTTTAAATTGTCACTCAATTAATGCAAAATGTCACAGCATGCAAACAATAAAAAAGGCCATATGTAATTTATCAAAATGTTTCCATGGCAGGCACACACACGCATACAGGTTACAAATTTCAAAGAAAGACTAAACCTGTAGTTTGAAAGCACTCTCATGGCTTAGTCCTTCTCAATCATGCATATACTCCTAATCTTTTTTTGTTCTGTTTTGTACTTATCCACTTTTCCTTTTGTATTCTTTCATCATTTACTAGTACAATAGTGAAATTGCCTCCTATTTGAGTTCTTATTTCAGCTTACCTACAATCATGAAGCATTTGTATATTTTTTTTTTTTAAATCCTTTTAAATGTTGAAGTGATTTATTTCCAACTATTACAGTTTAATTTTGAGTTCTATCTAATTTGTATTCATGTTGTTCTAGCTGTTTGACTTGTATAATTAATATTTCTCATTTTCTGTTGTTAATTTAAAAAAATAAAAATAAAAAAAAAAAAAGCAGCCAAAAATTAAATAGCTGTAAGTGGACATCATTTTGTGTTGCAGTAAAGGTAGCTCTTGTGGTTAATATGTCAGGCGTAATACATGTTAAAACATGGTAATGTCCTATAACATTCAACTCATCATTTCATCCTTCCAGGGTCAGTCCATTTGAAACATTTCAAGAAGTGCGAGAGCTAAGAGAGCTCTCATGATTAGATAGAAGTATATGGAAAGTAGAGTCTTGTAATGTATACTTTTCATTTACATTTTTCTCTATGGATAGGACGAGCAAGTAAAAAGAAAGAAAAGAGAAGAGCGTTTGGAACAGATTCGACATAATGCACACCTGAAATTTGCATCCAAGAGGAAGGTGAGAAATGGTCACTCTCCCAGGCATTGCAAGAAAACATTTTTGAAACCAGCACCACTTAAACCATAATGTTTATAGGTTCTATTTTTTATTTTTTTTTATGTAGTCATTCAAGTTTCATTGAGAAGATAGTAACATAATCTTGGCTGATGTGACTGAAACTCAAACATATAGACAGCTCGAATTCAATAAAAAATACTAAACTTGAGTGGCCAAGAAGAAGCAGTGTGCTACCTGAGGAATATATACTTAATGTGATCAGAAGGAAATACTAAGTAAAAGAGAGGGAAAAAAGGGGGTATGGGAGGGGAAAGCAAGGGTGAAGATGGAGGAGCAATCCAACCGCCACCTAAAGAGATGAGGATAGTTTTATTTATTTTCAAGAATTTTATTAAGCGGTTGACAATTTCAGGTTATAAGACAATAATGTCCTGTCAGAGCACAATGCGATGATAGAATCAGCAAATTATTCTGTTTTCATTAAAATAAACAGCTCATATAATATGCCTTCTGAAAAGGAAAAAACAGGAATTTGATGCTAATGTGCCATTTGTTCCTATAATTCACTGCAGCTAACATCACAATCTATTTTACCCCCTTCCTCATGCACAGTCTTCTGTATTGCATACAACTATTTAGTCTACCTCGATACAAAAAGAAAGCTGCCCGATCCTCCTCCTCCTCCTACAGAGCGCTGCTCTGTGGAACAACCTCCCGCACACTTTAAAATCTTCCGCAATTGTTGCCGCAATTGTGGAACAACCTCCCGCACACGTTAAAATCTTCCCCAGGCCTAAAGTCCTTTAAGAGATCCCTCTCTACATACCTCAAAACAGAAGGCACCTGTCATGGTTGATTATATATTTCCTACCTGTTCTATGTTAAATTTTGTATATATTGTGTATTAATATTGTTTTTGTATTTTATTGTACTATAATGTATCAATGCAATGTTTTGTGGACCCAGGAAATACTTGAAAACGAGAGAAATCTCAATGTATCTTTCCTGGTAAAATATATTATAAATAAATAAATGCATACAACTGAATATGGTGTCATGTTGCATTCCCACAGTCTGGAATAAAGCATGTATGACCACTATGTATAAATGAGGGGTTGGTTGGTGCAAAACACCAGTGATCTGCACCATTGCCTAATTGTATCTCTTGCTTGTTCTTGTGCCAGATTTTATAGGAGACATTTTGCATTTCTTCCATCATTAAAATATCTAGTGTAAGGGCAAATTCTTTCTGTTTCACTGTTGATTGTAACCTTTAATGGTCCACATAAGTTATAATTTCTCTGCTCTGTCTGTCTGCAGAGGGAAGAGGAGGATGAAGCTATGCGCATTCTGCAGCTCAGTAAGCAGATGCTGAGCCCTGAAGGAATGGGAACTGAACCGGCTTTGGAACATGGAGAGGAAGAGGTTCTACTTGCTGACTATGAAAGTGATGAAGACACAAAGAAAAAAGCAGAGTATGACACACTAAGCTGTGACATTGTATTGTTTTTCATAAAGTATGAAGTAGAGATAAAAAATGAATGGCTTAACTTGTTGCTAAAGATGTATTTTAAACTAGACATGTCCATTCAATTTCAGACAAATGGCAAAATTAATGAACATTTTGTTTTTCGTTCATTTTGTTAGAAAACTTGTAACCAATTGTCATATGTATGAACAAACAGGTCCATGATCAATTTTCGTTCGTCATTCGTTCATAAAACTCTTACTACAAGATTGAGAACGTTATGGCATAAGTGTGTATCACTCCACCGCCTTTCTGTTGGCTCACAACTAAAGGTTTAAAGGGTCACCATAGTGTCAGAAACACAAATGTCTGGCCTCACCCCAATCCACCTCCTTGGCTGCTATTATCAGAATTGATGATCACAATGCTTTCCCAAAGGAAAGCATTGGATTGGCTGAGATCGTAAATTCTGCTGATCCCCACCATGGAGGCAGGGCAGGGAGCGGAGCCAATGGGGAAAGTTCAGCATCTTCATGCAGAGCAGTTGAGACGCTGATTGTCAGTGCTGCACACTGCCTCAGGAAGCACCTCAAGTGGCCATTAGAGGTGATCTTAGGCTGTAGAAGAAACATTGCCTTTTCTCTGAAAAGGCAGTGTTTACATTAAAAAGCCTGCAGGGATGGATTATACTCACCAGAACAACTACATTAAGCTGTAGTTGTTCTGGTGACTATAGTGTTCCTTTAAGGTGAGGGAGTTATACTGTGGTAAATCTGTGGGAAAGTTGGGGCTGAGAGGGGCTCAGTAAGCATAGTGCTAATTAAGCCTACACAAGCCTGCGGGTGGGGAGAGAGAACATGCCTAGCAGTAGCTAGCATCTGTGCTAATTAGTAAAAAAAAAAAAATTACTCCTAGCCATACAGGTGCAGCACAGACAAACCCAAAACAACAGTGAAAAGCGAATATGAAGCAAATTAAATGTGACAGCCAGACACCGCTAATGGAGTTACAGTACCCATGTCTAAATATTTTAGCAAAGTGAGGGATAAGTTCCAATCTTCTGAGTAAGTCCTTTAAAAAAAAAAAAAAAAAAAATTAAATATTTGCAACAGGAACATGATAGACGGGGGAGAGCTGCCAACTACATTCTCTCCCTGGAACTCCTTTACCGCTGGGGAGAGATACCAACTGTGCCTTCTCCCTGGACATCACTGTCCGCTGAGGAGAGATGCAGACCACACTGGCTCCCAGATGCACATGCTGTTAAGCCACAGAGGTACCAGCCACACTGCTTTGCTGAGTTTTTGGACTGTTAACAATGCTTATCTAGATGGAGTTGACAAGCCCACTTCATCTCCTCCTGCTGCCAGTTGGTGACTTTAACTGTCATCTGTGTAAATAATCTCCTTGCTAGAATATGGACAATATGCTGCAAGACCTTTTTTATTATCCTCTTAGTGAAGTCACTTGACATTTTGGGTTAGTGTAACTCCAATCACTCGTTCTTCACATAGCTCCTGCTTCCTCTCTGCTTGAGTATATCAGCAGGTCTCTTTTCAAGAGAAGGGTTATCCCAGCGCTAGCCGCCATTTGTAATGGGAACAAGATAGACTGGTCTTAGAACCTGAGGATCAGAGCTCAAGCTGCTACAGTATTTGTTCCTTCTTTCTGTCTGCAAGGGTTCTGTGAGGCAGCCATCAGAAATTATTCTGCCAGTTCCTTTTTATGGCCACAACTGTTAGCCAGTCACTTGAGGAACTATTGAAGATGTCTTTTGCTCTCTCAGATCTACGAATAACAATGTGTGTTTTATTAAATTGGACATCTGTTTATATAAGAAAACACAAGGGGAGGACAAAACATAACCAATAATAGCAACAGAACCTGGGAAAACAACCAGTATAATGTTTAATTATATTACACCCAATCCAGGTGCCAGAGTGTCTGGGCAGCACTAACACATTTAAAGAGGCAGACTGTTCTGATTTAATTACCGTTAAAAACAAACCGCTCCACAGACCTAAACGAAAAAAAACCTGATTTTAATACATAACTTTCCCACAGTATTAATTCCTTATATGTGCATGGGATCTGTTAGTGCCACAAAAGGCCTGTTGTATCTTGGAAGGAGGCTGGCCACTACCCTCCTCCACAAAACATACTGTTTCAATGCATTGGGCAGCCATTTAAAAGTGGGGAAACTTATGTTGAAATCTTGAAATTATTTATCTTCAGAAACCTCTATACAGGGAGTGCAGAATTATTAGGCAAGTTGTATTTTTGAGGATTAATTTTATTATTGAACAACAACCATGTTCTAAATGAACCCAAAAAACTCATTAATATCAAAGCTGAATATTTTTGGAAGTAGTTTTTAGTTTGTTTTTAGTTTTAGCTATGTTAGGGGGATATCTGTGTGTGCAGGTGACTATTACTGTGCATAATTATTAGGCAACTTAACAAAAAACAAATATATACCCATTTCAATTATTTATTATTACCAGTGAAACCAATATAACATCTCAACATTCACAAATATACATTTCTGACATTCAAAAACAAAACAAAAACAAATCAGTGACCAATATAGCCACCTTTCTTTGCAAGGACACTCAAAAGCCTGCCATCCATGGATTCTGTCAGTGTTTTGATCTGTTCACCATCAACATTGTGTGCAGCAGCAACCACAGCCTCCCAGACACTGTTCAGAGAGGTGTACTGTTTTCCCTCCTTGTAAATCTCACATTTGATGATGGACCACAGGTTCTCAATGGGGTTCAGATCAGGTGAACAAGGAGGCCATGTCATTAGATTTTCTTCTTTTATACCCTTTCTTGCCAGCCACGCTGTGGAGTACTTGGACGCGTGTGATGGAGCATTGTCCTGCATGAAAATCATGTTTTTCTTGAAGGATGCAGACTTCTTCCTGTACCACTGCTTGAAGAAGGTGTCTTCCAGGAACTGGCAGTAGGACTGGGAGTTGAGCTTGACTCCATCCTCAACCCGAAAAGGCCCCACAAGCTCATCTTTGATGATACCAGCCCAAACCAGTACTCCACCTCCACCTTGCTGGCGTCTGAGTCGGACTGGAGCTCTCTGCCCTTTACCAATCCAGCCACGGGCCCATCCATCTGGCCCATCAAGACTCACTCTCATTTCATCAGTCCATAAAACCTTAGAAAAATCAGTCTTGAGATATTTCTTGGCCCAGTCTTGACGTTTCAGCTTGTGTGTCTTGTTCAGTGGTGGTCGTCTTTCAGCCTTTCTTACCTTGGCCATGTCTCTGAGTATTGCACACCTTGTGCTTTTGGGCACTCCAGTGATGTTGCAGCTCTGAAATATGGCCAAACTGGTGGCAAGTGGCATCGTGGCAGCTGCACGCTTGACTTTTCTCAGTTCATGGGCAGTTATTTTGCGCCTTGGTTTTTCCACACGCTTCTTGCGACCCTGTTGACTATTTTGAATGAAACGCTTGATTGTTCGATGATCACGCTTCAGAAGCTTTGCAATTTTAAGAGTGCTGCATCCATCTGCAAGATATCTCACTATTTTTTACTTTTCTGAGCCTGTCAAGTCCTTCTTTTGACCCATTTTGCCAAAGGAAAGGAAGTTGCCTAATAATTATGCACACCTGATATAGGGTGTTGATGTCATTAGACCACACCCCTTCTCATTACAGAGATGCACATCACCTAATATGCTTAATTGGTAGTAGGCTTTCGAGCCTATACAGCTTGGAGTAAGACAACATGCATAAAGAGGATGATGTGGTCAAAATACTCATTTGCCTAATAATTCTGCACTCCCTGTAGAATTTAATGGCTATTTTTGTAATTAATAAAAAAAAAAAAATCATAAAAAAAAAAAAAGATTTTTGTAAAAGGCCTGTCATATCAAGACTGGCAATGTCACTGATATTCACATGTCCTAATAAAATGAAAAATGTGTTTATAATGTGCTTGCTGTAATGGAAAAGAAAATTGAAAAGGCAGTAGCAACTCCTACAACAAATTCTAACACCTTGTGAGTAAAAACAAACAAAAAGTATATGCCACGCCTAATTAATAAAACGCCTCTATACGTACAACTTACACAAATACATACATAGATTCCAAGAGTTTTTAAATGGATAAATAAGTAGCTTAAAATGTGCACGCACGCACAAAAATAAAGTATAAAGTGATGTGCAACAAGCCAAGTACCCACTCCGTTTAAAAAAAGAGTTAATCCAAGCTCAGGGGGATGACCGCACACTTGAAAACCCTTTGAATCTATGTATGTATTAATGGATGTTGTACACATAGATGTATTTAAATAATTAGGAGCTGCATATCTTCTTTTTGTTGGGTTTTCATTCTATATTAACCTTTCATGCGGAGGTACTGGGTGCGCTGTTGTAAAAAGTCACAGTGTGTGTCGTACATGAAATCTAAATTTTCTATTGAGGGAAAAACTAAGTTTTAATTTTAAAAATAACAACAAAAAAAGAGAAAAAAATACTATATTAACATGCAATTAGTGGTTCCAATTATTATTCACTGTAATACCTCTAAAATGAATGTTACTAAATATAATTTGCTAACCAGCAATAAAATGTAATAAAACCAGTTATTTTTAAAGCCTGTAATGGGAAAAGTGTCCCCAAGCAGGGCAAATCAACGAAGATTGCGGGAGGTGCGCAGATGGACCGATAGTGGTTGTTACAGAAGTGTGACATCCTACTCTGTAATTAAATTCTGGTGGGGGACTGGAGGGTCAGCTAATGCATGACCGTTTCCATTTAATCCATCAATGCTGGAGACCAAGACTGAACAGAGATTAAGCAGAAATCTAATGTTATTACATTAGTGATTTAATTTAAATTTTATTTCTGACTCTGCTCTCAGGTTGGAGGACGATGATGATGACCTTGAAGAAGAGCATGTAACCAAGGTTGGTAACTTTTAAAATGTAAGGGGTGAGTGTTGTGTTCCTGGTTTAGGATGGAAAGCAAAATGGCACATTTTTATTTTTATATATATATATATATATATATATATATAAATATATATTTTTTTTGTCATTCTACACATAAAGTAATAAAAACATAATAAACACAATTCTAACAATATTGGATTTGAAATGTGAGTACATGTTTATATTATTGCATATAAGTCAAGTTAAAAAGTCTGTTAAGAATGGCTCTATTATTAAACAAATGTGATTTATTTTATAATTGATAAAGGCAAGTCAATCTAAAATGAAAACTATTTTTTTTAAATTCTAATTATTCTTTTTTCACAGATTTATTACTGCAGTAGAACTCACTCGCAGCTCTCACAATTTGTCCATGAAGTCCAAAAGAGCCCTTTCTGTAAGCAGATTAGGCTAGTATCTCTGGGATCACGGCAGGTACATATATCACATGAATTTACTTTCTTACTGACACTTTTTATTAACACAGTCTTCTTACTTCTGGCAAAAGGCTGAATTCTGTCCATGTAAGCATCTCTTGCTTTCAATATATCTGTCTCTCTATCTTTCTTACAAAAAATATACCTTTAATGTGTTGCTTTTACTGTAATTTATCAGTACTTACATCTTCTGCTATGAGCTCTCCCCAGATCAGAAATTTACTGATACCTCTCCAGTCCCTCTCAAAAAGAGTGCTGACCATTTACATAAACGTCCGGCCAACTGGGGTTTGTGAGATATGCATTTTAGTACAAGTCCTATGTTTTATTCATAATAGAGCTAGGTCAGTTAGCTTGTCAGAAGTACATGGTACTAGTCAGACATAGAATTGTTTGTGGGGGCAGTGGGAAACATAGCTTACATGGAAGCTTTTAGTAACATGAGGGAATTGGTTATTGTGTTTTGATTATCCATTGCTGCTCCATTTATTTAGTTAGCTAAATAAACAAGACAAGCCTGATTATGTTTGACTTTCATCCCTGTATATCTACTTTGTTCATGTCTTTACTCTGTGACGTATTCTTACTGCGTCCTTCTATTTAACTTCCATAGAGGGGGTGAATGTGAACATGATTGCAAGGGCTCAAAATTTGAAGTACTACAATTCTAGACAGGCCTAAAAGTTACTCGCCACTGCAGGACTGAAAGGTCTATGTCACTGTCACCACCTGTGAAATTCTACTCGCCAGAGGTGAATTTTCTCTCCGTAGTGGGGGAGTGGAAATTTTGAGCTTTGATCATCACTTTGCATTTTTCTGAGGACTTGGTGCTGAACAAAGCCATCAAAGGGTTTGTAGGGTAAATGTACTCCTTGCCTCCCAGGAAACAGGCTTGAGGGAGCCGAATGTCACCTTGTTGGTAAGGAATAATTGTACCTTAAACACTGTCTGAGTGCCTGGTCCATTTTTGAACAGAACAAGTCGGCTACGTGCAGTAATCCTTTTTGGCAGTTATTTCTCATAAAGAAACTTTTAAAGTGCTGAGAAGTCTCTCCTTGTAAAGAGGGTAAAACAGCAATCAGGTTCACGTACTTATCCAGAGGCCAAGTGCATTTTAATTCAATGATCCCTTTATAGAGATGATTGATAGAAGAATGCAAAGGAACATAATATTCTTTCAAGAGAACACTCATTTGGCATCTCTGCTACTGCTGTAGATATACTGTAATGGTTATTACACATCTGTACTCTGTACCACTGTAAATAGCTTTTAACTCTCTCTCATAGACCTTTGCAGTGTTTTACGCAATACTCTGGTACTTGCGCAGATACAGTTTGAGATACAATTGTTCTGTAATCCTGCACTTATAAAGTATATTTTTCTTGTTTTTTTTTTTGTTTTTTTTCTCTCTCTCATAGCTGTTGATTACTTGGCAAGGATGCAGGTTGCCAATCTTTAAAGGTAGTCTGTACTCCATTATCCAGCCTCCTAAGAATCTAGACTAATAGATTGTATAGTGCCAAATAAGCCCCTTAAATGATTAGCATGTATAAGAGAGATAATGGCAATAGGGGACATTTAACATTTCGTAAATACATGATTGTATGTAACATATGCATGTTTTACTGATAGATCATGACTGCAATTTAAAAAGGTACACCACCTTCTTTATGTGAATTTCCTGTGATAGTCTCTGTGGTTTTACCATCTTTCGTGCTGGAGACAATTTAAAATCAACCACCAAATTATTAAAATGATAAAAAGTGATCTTCAACAAGGTCTTATGAAAGTCATTGTCCCCTCTTTATGGTATTATTTGAAAACAACATAAGCAATCTTAGGCTATTGATTATTGTGCTGTTGCTTATTTGCAAATCTAATGCACTTTTTTGAAAAGGATCCCCCCTACCCCAAAGGCCCATTGGGTCAAATTGATTTTAATCCAATGAAGAATGTGTTTGTGTATACATACAGGGAGTGCAGAATTATTAGGCAAATGAGTATTTTGACCACATCATCCTCTTTATGCATGTTGTCTTACTCCAAGCTGTATAGGCTCGAAAGCCTACTACCAATTAAGCATATTAGGTGATGTGCATCTCTGTAATGAGAAGGGGTGTGGTCTAATGACATCAACACCCTATATCAGGTGTGCATAATTATTAGGCAACTTCCTTTCCTTTGGCAAAATGGGTCAAAAGAAGGACTTGACAGGCTCAGAAAAGTCAAAAATAGTGAGATATCTTGCAGAGGGATGCAGCACTCTTAAAATTGCAAAGCTTCTGAAGCGTGATCATCGAACAATCAAGCGTTTCATTCAAAATAGTCAACAGGGTCGCAAGAAGCGTGTGGAAAAACCAAGGCGCAAAATAACTGCCCATGAACTGAGAAAAGTCAAGCGTGCAGCTGCCACGATGCCACTTGCCACCAGTTTGGCCATATTTCAGAGCTGCAACATCACTGGAGTGCCCAAAAGCACAAGGTGTGCAATACTCAGAGACATGGCCAAGGTAAGAAAGGCTGAAAGACGACCACCACTGAACAAGACACACAAGCTGAAACGTCAAGACTGGGCCAAGAAATATCTCAAGACTGATTTTTCTAAGGTTTTATGGACTGATGAAATGAGAGTGAGTCTTGATGGGCCAGATGGATGGGCCCGTGGCTGGATTGGTAAAGGGCAGAGAGCTCCAGTCCGACTCAGACGCCAGCAAGGTGGAGGTGGAGTACTGGTTTGGGCTGGTATCATCAAAGATGAGCTTGTGGGGCCTTTTCGGGTTGAGGATGGAGTCAAGCTCAACTCCCAGTCCTACTGCCAGTTCCTGGAAGACACCTTCTTCAAGCAGTGGTACAGGAATAAGTCTGCATCCTTCAAGAAAAACATGATTTTCATGCAGGACAATGCTCCATCACACGCGTCCAAGTACTCCACAGCGTGGCTGGCAAGAAAGGGTATAAAAGAAGAAAATCTAATGACATGGCCTCCTTGTTCACCTGATCTGAATCCCATTGAGAACCTGTGGTCCATCATCAAATGTGAGATTTACAAGGAGGGAAAACAGTACACCTCTCTGAACAGTGTCTGGGAGGCTGTGGTTGCTGCTGCACGCAATGTTGATGGTGAACAGATCAAAACACTGACAGAATCCATGGATGGCAGGCTTTTGAGTGTCCTTGCAAAGAAAGGTGGCTATATTGGTCACTGATTTGTTTTTGTTTTGTTTTTGAATGTCAGAAATGTATATTTGTGAATGTTGAGATGTTATATTGGTTTCACTGGTAATAATAAATAATTGAAATGGGTATATATTTGTTTTTTGTTAAGTTGCCTAATAATTATGCACAGTAATAGTCACATGCACACACAGATATCCCCCTAACATAGCTAAAACTAAAAACAAACTAAAACTACTTCCAAAAATATTCAGCTTTGATATTAATGAGTTTTTTGGGTTCATTGAGAACATGGTTGTTGTTCAATAATAAAATTAATCCTCAAAAATACAACTTGCCTAATAATTCTGCACTCCCTGTATGTAGTCATAGATATGTAACTTATAGATTCTTCTTCTTCATCATGCTTTCAGAACATGTGTGTGAATGAGGATGTTCGCCGTTTAGGGACAGTGCAGCTAATCAATGACCGATGCATGGAGATGCAGAAGAACAAGCACGGTGAGCTCATTCTCATTTACGATTACAACAACTGAGTGGATGTTAGTGTATGGAAGGAGATTTTAAGAGATGCTACGATGTTACTGTTATACTGTTATGTTATTTTTCTAACTAACTGCAAAGTTGTTGGCTTCCATATAGCAATTACAAAGTAAGTGGCATAAAGATTTATAAAGAAAAAAAAAAGTCTTTATGTCATAAGTCTTATATGTTACATGTAAAAAATTGGCAAGGTGTAAACAGGAGAAGGCATGTCAAGCTGAAAATGCTAATGAACTCCCATGAGGCTCAAAATGCATCGGCATTTTAAAGCTTGGTGTGCCTTCCCCTGTTTACCGATTTTTGCAACATTTCTTTTTTAACCGCTATTCTGAACTTTGTCTGTATTTCCTATATGGGAACTGGCAGCTCTGCAGTTAATTGTTTACACAGGACGAGTGCCTGACTCAGAATACTGGAGTGGACCAGATGAGATACAACTCAGTTTCATTGGTTTTCCATAGTTATTTTTCTAGCCTTTGTGATCCTTGTCTGCAGGTAGCACGGTCCTCTAGGGTAAACAACAGACACAGTCCTTTAATTTTCATATAATCCAGGCACTTTATTTGTAAGTCCACACAGGAGACAGCAGCAAATGAAAACATAAATATAACACAAATCCCTATAAACAAAAACCTAGCTCGTCTGAGCACTTACTAACATCAGGTTCCCTATCTCTCAGGGGTTAAACTAGAACAAAACAATATTGGTTTCACCAACCTAGTGTCTTTGTCAGCTGTTGCTTTCCTTTCTACACTCCCAGTGCTCCAAGCCAGCCTTAACTGCTTTCCTTTCTGCACTCCCAGTGCTCCAAGCCAGCCTTAACTGCTTTCCTTTCTGCACTCCCAGTGCTCCAAGCCAGCCTTAACTGCTTTCCTTTCTGCACTCCCAGTGCTCCAAGCCAGCCTTGACTGCTTACTTCTGCACTCCTAGTGCTCCAAGCCAGCCTTGACTGCTTTCCTTTTGCACTCCCAGTGCTCAGTCTCCTTGACTCTCTCTCACTGGAGAGAACAGCCTCTCTCCTACCTGCTTCCAGGGAGGAAGCCAGCAATCTCCCTTTACCTGCCTAGCAGGGAGCGGTTTATTCCCACTGCTGCAGCTGAGCAGTGGGTTGGAGACAGTTCCAAAAAACTCTGGCCTGGACCTTATTTCTCTCAGTTGTGTATAAACTGAGGAGTGGAGTATTGGCCCACCCTGCTCTCCAAATGCTCCACCCCAGGGGCCCATAACTAAACATAGCTTTGTGTTGCACACCACACATACAACACGTACTTCCCCTTGGGTTAAGTGTTAAAGGCCTCTCTGCCTTCACTTTGTCACACCTTGTACAAGCAAAGGGAGTTTGCTTGTCCATGCAGCCGATAGCTGAAAAAGAGACATTTGAAATTCTTGACTTCTCCATCCCCAATTAAGTGAAAACCATTTAGGAAACATATGCACATATATATAGTATTTATTTCATTTTTTTAAATGTATCCTTGATATCCTATCATGTTGGCATGAGGTATTTTGTGGCTGAATTTAAGGTACAAATTTAGGTTTATTCACTTCTGACTCTCGGCATCTTCATTATTGCATTGCAACCGAATTATACTAGCTTACAATGGTACCACCCCAACACTTTTACTGCGTGTTTACACTTTCATCCAATATACCAGTGCACAACCACCAATAATAGTGCCTCTTGATAGCTGTCTCTCAATAGCTGTCACTCTTGCAGTAAGATAAATGTAATTACATGCAAAAGCTATCTAGTTTAGAAATCTTCATTCATGTCTGAGTGAGAGAGAGATCCTTACTTGCTGGAACAGTAAGAGAAAAATCACAGACGTGTACACTAGTAAGCTCTTTACCTATGTTTTTAAATTGAGAGTGGCAACAAAGTGGTAAAGGTATTCTCTAAATATCCTGCTGGTGCTTTGAAATCATGTTTGCTTTAATCAGTTCAAAAATATATTTGGGGAAGTGACCCCCAACATAGGACACTAATATTACATTTTATAATTTTTCATGTTAGTGGCACTATGTGGTTATGTACCATGCTCTTGCAGTAAGATAAATGTAATTACATGCAAAAGCTATCTAGTTTAGAAATCTTCATTCATGTCTGAGTGAGAGAGAGATCCTTACTTGCTGGAACAATAAGAGAAAAATCACAGACGTGTACACTAGTAAGCTGTTTACCTATGTTTTTAAATTGAGAGTGGCAACAAAGTGGTAAAGGTATTCTCTAAATATCCTGCTGGTGCTTGGAAATCATGTTTGCTTTAATCAGTGGAAAAATATATTTGGGGAAGTGACCCCCAACATAGGAAACTAATATTACATTTTATAATTTTTCATGTTAGTGGCACTATGTGGTTATGTACCAGGCTAGACCATAGATATACTTACCAAAAAAAATCAAGCACCCAAGCATTGTAAAAAAAAAAAACATGAAAGGGGTAAAGTACAATAAACCAGTGATATTTCTCTCCCCAGCAGTAGCCCTTTATTAAAAAAAAAGTCCGTCCCAGTCAACTAACATCCTATATCTCTACTCCCCCTTGTTTCCAAGCTACTGTACAACAGCCTATTTCACATTCTCACATCTTGCTCCCTGGTCGATCCAATGCAGTCTGCCTCCCTTCTTCCAAGATTAGTGTGAAACCGGGCTTACCAAAATAACAAGTGGACTTCTTACAGTCAAATGAAATATCTCTTCTTTCTACTCTTCCTCCTTGATATTTTTTCACGCTTTGCTGTCCATCCTTGTGCAAATATTTCACTCTTTTAAAAAAAAATGTTATTTATTTTTTGGCACCTGCACCCTGAAATTACATTGTTCCGTGTCTGTCTCATGCACCTGCTCCTCTCCACTAGCGCCCTCACGATTGCTCTATGTTATTTTTTTCTCAGCTCTATGTACACATCTCATATTGGTAAAGTAATTGATTCTGATGATTTTAACACACTCCTTTACCTCTCCTCTCCTCTCCTGATCTGTAATTGTTTCTGCTATCAATTATCAGTTACTATATTATCAATAAGAGGGTAGTGAGATTCATAAACAAACCCTCTGTCAAATTCTCCCCTATAATCTGTCGCTTTAAACATGCATCTGAATGAACATTCTTCAATTTAGAGAAACTTACTATTTTCCTCCATACTAATCTCACATAAAGATTCTAGACTTACCAAGTCTCTTGTTTGTATTTGCCTGAATGAGAATGCCCAACCATAAACTGTCCCTTAAAATCCTACTTTTCTCTTATGGACTCCGACCTCCTAGATTATTAGTCTGCAAGAGCAGGACTCTCAGTCCTTCTGTACCCATCTTATGCAATGTACATTATGGTAAGCTTTTATGTAACATTTGTGAAACATTGTCTTGCCTGTAAGCACGTTAAATTGTACAGGGATTCCGAATCTGCTAGTGCTCTATAAAACAATAAATAAGACAAATGTGGAAATACAAAACAACAGAGCTTGTTTTCGCATTGTAGATAAAAAAAATGAAGATACAGACGGAAAGAAGAGGCGTGTTAGCCGACTTGTGTGTCCCTTCTATTCTTACGAACAAATGCAGTTCCTGCGTGATGAAATCCTAGTTGAGGTGAAAGACATTGAGCAGCTGGTATCAATGGCCCGGGAGGCAAAAGCTTGTCCATACTATGCCACTCGCTATGCTATACCTGCTGCCCAGGTAAGAACGGGGGAGTGGTGAAATAATGAGTAGGGCTTGCTATGTTACCTTCTGTATGTTAATTGCTTGTCAAATATCCCTATTTTACAATTGAAAAGAATATATTGGCGCTATTTAAATGCTAATAAGAACAATGGAGAGCAGGGTTTGAGTGATAATGGCAAGATACTGTAAACAACACAAACTTAAGTATCCCTCCACTGAAAATTTTGCTCCCGATAAAAAGGTAATGAGTACTTATATTAAATTCTGTGAGGTTTGTTTAAAGCATGCGCACGAGTGCAGCATTAACTCCTTAAGGACCAAACTTCTGGAATAAAAGGGAATCATGACATGTCAAATATGTCATGTGTCCTTAAGGGATTAAGGTCTACATATGATCCCATGTTTTTGTGGTATCTCCCATTCATACAGCCAATTTCCATGCAGCGGTCACTGGTGATGGCTAGGTGATTGACACTTTTTGACAGCAGTAGCCCTGCCCAATGTCAAGAAGTCTCAGGCATAGGAAAAATACTGAGACAAAGTAGTTTCCATGTTAGCTATTTATAGTGTGAAAGGAGGGATAATTTTTTTTTGGAAAAAAAATACAAATATTTGCCATGTTATTAATCTCAGAGGACTCACAGTTGGTGTGAGACCTGTGCCCTCTTCATGCCACCTTTAGCATCATATTCAGGCAGATTTTTGCTATTTAATTGTATCTCTGTTGATGAATGTCATGTTAATATTATCTTGGGAATTCTTTCAGTTGGTGGTATTGCCATATCAGATGCTTCTACATGAGTCAACAAGACAGGCATCAGGAATTAAACTGAAGGACCAAGTCATCATTATTGATGAAGCCCATAACTTAATCGACACTATTACCTGCATGTACAGCTCTCAGGTATCTGGGTCCCAGGTAAGTCGTCCAAGCTGTTTGGGGGAACTGGCTTTATATAACGACCTGTTGCAAATTTGCTTAGTTAGAGGTTGTGCGTCAGAAGGTGATCTCTTGTTGCAAAAGTGCTATTCAAACGAAATACTTTACTGAAGTTAATTAAAGCCTGGCACAGATAGTGTTCTTATTATTGCCATTTATACAGTGCCAACAGATTCCCTCGTGCTTTACAATATGATAAGAGGGGGGTTAACTATAAATAGGACAATGACAAGAAAACTTACAGAAATGATAGGTTGAAGAGGACCCTGATCAAACGAGCTTACAGTCTATAGGAGGTGGGGTATAAAACACATTAGGACAGGAAATGGCAATCAAATAAGGTGAGAGTGAAGCTGGAGGAGAGAGTAGAGCGCTGCCGTTTAGGAGACCGCAAGAGACAGGTATGTGAGGTAGCAGTTACTCTGGGAGGCCATATGCTTCCCTAAAGAGATGGGTTTTGAAGCACTTTTTAAATTATTGAAGACTAGGGGAGAGCTTAATGGTCAAAAGCAGGCTATTCCAAAGGAAAGGAGCCACCCGCTAGAAGTCCTGCAAGCGTGAGTTGGTTGTACAGGTGCAGGCAGCGGACAGGAGAAGGGGCAAAGCAGAGAGACCGAGAAGGGGCATACCTATGGATCTGTAAAGAGATATGAGGGGCTAAAATTGTTCAGTGCTTTGACTCCTATAGGATACAGGAAGCCAATGTAGGGACTGACAGAGGGGTGTGGTGTGCGAGGACCAACTGGAGAGGAAAATCAGTCTGGCGGCAGCATTCATTACAAACTGTAGCAGGGCAACACGGCTTTTAGGAAGACTAATTAGGAGAGGCTTACAATAATCCATGCAAGAAATTACTAGAGCATGGACAAGCTCCTTAGTAGCATCTTGCATAAGAAAGGGGCGGATGCGGGCTATGTTTTTAAGATGGAATCTACAGGATTTGGTAACATACTGGATGTGAGGCTCAAAGGTGAGGCCAGAATCAAGTATGACACCAAGACAGTGCGTTTGCAAGGATGGACTGATGTGGATACCACGAACTTGAAGAGAGAGCAAGAGAGGAGGATAAGTATTAGGAGGAAAGACAAGGAGCTCAGTTTTAGAGAGATTGAGTTTCAGAGAGTGGGAGGGCATCCAGTCAGAGATGGAAGAAAGGCAAGTAGTCGCACGTTGCAGGACGGCAGGGGAGAGATATATCTGGGTGTCAGCAGCGTACAGGTGGTAGTGGAATGCAAAATCTGTTGTGTGACTTTTCAAAAGACATCTGGTATGTATCGAGTAATGATATTAGATGTAACATTTGGTAGGATATCCTTAGCGAGGAAGGGTTCTTCAGATTTTATATGCCCTAGCTTCCAACTAAATAGAAAGGCAGATTTTAAGCATAAATTGTAAATGTGAAAGATACAAGATGCTGCTTTGATAATATATGTTCTCTGTGTAAAAGATGGCATATAGTCTTGATAATATATTGGGCTCATCTAGGTTGTGAATCACTATATCTGGCGTAGATGACAGTGTGAATATGTATGAATAAATCTCAGCTTTTAAAGGAGCTCTCTAAGCATCATAACTCTCCACTTAAGATTGCCATCCAAAGTTAATATCTGTATTAGCCGATCTGCAGGCAAGGTGCCAGACTGTTGGTGCTTGGAGAGCCTATTTTTTGTCAAACTGCTCAAATATGGTTTAACTCAAACTGACTCTTTGCACCATAACAAATACAGTGAGCAGTAGATGCTATGGTGCTCAGAGTGCATTGTTAAACTTGACCCTGACACATTAAGTCTATTTTAATGAAAGCGTTTAAACCAATATATCTAACCATGTCATTGTAAATGTAACTGTATAGATTGTGTGCAATTTCTTTTATTGTCGACATTTCCCATCTGGAACTGAATTACAGCTTTTAAACATCCAGTGCCTACTGATAATAATACTGCAATATGAACTGCCAAACCAGTAGTTTTCACAGCTTAACTGTTTACCTCTGGGTAACCTGGTACCATTGTATAGTGTTAAACTGCTTGAAAATGATTTAACACTGAATGGAAGGACAGTGCTGGTCAGGTGCTATAACCAATTCAGTGAAATTAAATGTTTTAGTGCCTTCATTGTCCCTTTAAAGGGAACCTGTCATCACATTTCATCCACACATTGTGCTAGCAGTTTAGCAAAAATAGATCTTTCTCATAGCTGTCAATTATTTGTTTGCAATTAAATAGGATGGTGCACACACGTCACAGAGAGTGTACTTCCACCAGGGTGCTCCAGAAAGGAAGGGTCGAGTTCCACATAAATCGAATTGTAGTAAATACAAGTTTCCGGGCAAAACTGATGGTTTCTTTTTAAAAGGCAGTCTTTATTTGAAACACAGAAATGGAGACAATGTTTCAGCTCCTACTTGAGTCTAACAAAGGCTCATGAAGGAGCCAAAATGTTGCCTCCATTTCCGTGTTTCAAATAAAGACTGCCTTTTAAAAAGAAACCATTTATCAATTATTTGGAATAGACTCAATGCTGAAGTATTAATTGACGGGGAGAGCTGTAGAGACCTCCCGGAGGTGGCGCTTCTGCTCTCCGTTCGTAGCAACCACAACACATGCACTGTGGTTGCTATGGAAATTCCCTATCTGACGTTGCTAGCACTGGCAAAGGAGTATTGGCACAGAGTGGCTGACGTCAGTCTGTTCAGATGCTGGCAGTGAAGCCAGTGAGTTAGCGTCATTGAGGACACTTGTCTTGTTTCGGGAAGTGAGCCCTGACGGAGCAAATCAACGAAGAGAGCAGGACATGCGAGGTGAACACACACTTCTGTAAGCAGGAGTAGTAAATCATGACAGGTTGCCTTTAATGGTTGTTTGAACCATTTAGAATGCCCACTGTGCCCATAGTAAGCCCATTGTTTACCTGCTATTTCATTCACTAAGAGAATTAATTGAATTCTGCCATACGTAAGACACACATTGCATTTTTAATTGCCTTTTAGTTTGACATCAGATAAATTAAACCTACCAAAAGCTGGTGAATAAAAAATTTATCATTTCATTAAAATAATTTGTGGCAGATAATAAATATGTCTAATTACTTTTTGAAATAACAAATACATACTAAATAACTGAAATGAAAGCAGCTACCATAACATTTATTTCAGTCATTTGTTTTAAGTTAAACTTTTGGAGTAATGACTCTATTAACAATTCTAGGTCATATATTTGATAGTGACCCAATCAAAGAAGCCAATAGGATGTTCCTGCTCTTTGTGCTGACGTGTTCTTTATTCATATGTTTTACCCTAGGCAGTTTTTCACTTTTTTTTTTTTTCTTTCTCGCACAGGAAATATTCTTTATTGTCACTTAACCTAATTTCATTCTTAAATAATACATTGGTTTCTGTACTGAAAGATCTAAACTCTCCAGAAACTATTCTGGAAAGCAATATATTTCTACTGAAGATGTAATATTTTCTGGCTGAATGAACAAATTGTTTCATTCTTCTTGACCAATTGTGTTTTTGTTTTAGCATATCAAAGCAGCAGCTTGGAACCGATCACATTTCTAGGTTAATTTGCAATTTTATAAAATTTTCGCAGAAAACTAAAACAAATAAATAAGCTTTCATGTCTGAACGTGTTGCAGATACTATTTAGAGCAGAACTGTTTATTTCTGCATCTACTTCAATCATGATCGTGATAACAGATGATTATTATTTTTTTATTATAAATGAAAAATAATTTTGGATTAAAGAAACTGGTTACAACTTTCAATAAAATAATTTCCAAGCAGGGGATGTTATTTTTTGCCATCGATTTATTTATTTCATTCAAAGTTTATTAAGTGAAAAGGTAGACGCATCAGAGTATAGACATTGATATTTGAGTAGCATTATGAACTGAAGATCAATAATAAGAATAACATGGTGTAAAATAAGATATTATACATGAGTGACAGTGCTGAGAATGTCGTTTTAGATAGAGGTATTATGGGGTGGGCTGGAATTCAGCTCAACAAGCAGAATGGCTCAGAAGAGAGACTATTGGGGGGAGGTGAAATAGTAGAGAGGGAGGGAAACATTTATTTGCCCTTTCTCCTCGTGCCCCCCTTCTTTTTACATCAACTTATATTCCTACATGAATTGCAGGTGTGCGTCAAAGTGCATTCCCCCAAGTCAGGGGGGTTGAGCTGGTGACCTTAAGGATAGTACTAGCTCATCTACAGTCCGGATATTCTTAGCTTTTTTAATCCAATCTGTTAAGGCCAAGAGGTACCTGGTGTCCAGTGTTCCCATATTAAGCCAGACCCCCCCACCTGCCACCTGTTCAGTGGAAAATCCGAACCACTGAACCGATCTGAGTGATTTCTGAATATGTTGGTCACTCAGATCGGGGCTATCCGAGGATGTGGCTCTTATGGGGTTTCCATTGATTTTGGGGGTTCTTTTGGGGTCTTGTGAAATTGTGTGTTTTTCTGTACCTGGATATAATCAAGTTGTACAGTTCCTGACTCCATTATCTCTCATGCACAGAGGAGGAGTATGTTGAATGTATTGCTTGTATGTGCCTCTCCACCTCCCCCTTTTTCCTGTCCTTCCCCCCCACCCCCAGGGTCACTGCCAGACCAGCTTAAACTAGCTGCTTTGGCCCTCCTCAATCTCCCATCCGCCCTTGCTATTGTCTGACCCCACCCTTCCTTGTACTATAGTGCTCTATGTACCCTATTGTATGTAAATAAGGCAGTTGGGGGTTTAAATGTGTGTAGAAGTTGTGAGTGTTTGCCTGGATTAAACAGTCTACTCCCCAGCATTATGCCTCAGCTCATGTGTGGGGGAACAGCTATACCTGCTATACTTTCTGGAGGAGAGGTCTACCCACTGGGAGCTGTATCCAAGCTGCGGCGGCTAGGGGCTGGAAGGGCTTATGGTGTCCCGGTGCAGTGATTATGGTACTTGGTGATTACTAAGAAGCGTGAATTGGCAGAGGTACCAGGCGATCCTCCACAATTCCAATATCCCTTGCCCTCCCCCCAGTAAACAGTGGTTAGTGACCACCATTTGCAAAAAAACAAACAAAAAACACAATTTTTTTGTTTTTGTTTTTATGAACATCTGTAGGATCAGTGTTTTAACCAAAACTTGCTAAATTATCGTGCACCCACAGATGTTTGCATTGAGTTCTCACCTACCTGTGTGTGCACGGCCTGCAACATAGACTTATGTCTGACATGAAGGCCTCCCATCACGACAATAAATTAAGGAGCTGGAAGGGAGGCATTTTCCTCAGTCTGCTCCTCTTCAGCACCTGGAGTCAATGTCCCTGCTGTACTCTCGCACATGCACGAGAGTACAGAATTGAGGTCTATGGAGGATCCCGTGAGAATGCAGTATCCTTCATAGAAAGAACATATTCCCTGTAGCTGTCACTAGTGACGCTTGTCGGGATTGACTCTGGAGCAGCACCCAGAGACTAAAAAAGTCTGTTCCTACTTTGTCTCTGTATATCTCTTGACTGGTTGGAATCTCAGTGAAATTGCAACACAATCAAAATGAGTATTTCATAATGGGTGACTGTGCTGCTATAAAGCATAATATCAAATGTTTCACAGTGTTTTGAGTGAAACATTTGATATTATTGAAGCGCCTCCTCTTTTTGTATAAAGTAATGTAAGATAAGAGGAACCATCAAACTTACCTGCCAATCATGAATTACATTTCCCTTTATTAATATTGACACCCTCAACAATCAATATTGAACAAAGAAGGCTGTGAAAAAATGTCTTTATTGTTTAACCTTTTGATCATTTGTTTAAAAAATACACAAATATACTTTCCTCTCTTGGATATCAAACAATAGCAAACACTGGTTTAAAAAAATAAAATAAAATAAAAAAATTTAATTCTTTGTTTTATATATACATATCTGGCACAATTATTGGCATGCTTTTAGTCAATACTTTATGCTACCTCCCTTTGCAAGATAACCACTCTTCTCCTATAATGCCTGATGAGGTTAGAGAATACATGGCAAGGAAGAGACCATTCCTCAATACAGAATATCTCCAGAGGTTGACACTGGTGGACTCTCCTCTACATTTCACCCCACAGATTTTATATGGGGTTCAAATAAAGGGACTGGAATGGCCATGGCATAACCTTGATTTTGTGGTCAGGGATACGAAGCAAGCCCTTAATCGACTCTCGAGTCTTAAATTTTCTCCCACTGTTAAATTATGTAGTCTGGATGTAGAATCACTATTCTTCTATTCCCCATGATAGAGGAATTGAACATGTGGAATTTTTTCTTGATCAAAGAAGCTGCAGGGATGATTCACACACACCTTTTTTTTATGCCTTCTTTGGTTTATTTTGTCGCACAATTATTGTTTGATCAATAGTAAAGTGTACCACTAGGTGTACCTAGTGTACCACTAGGTATGGGGTACTGCTATGGGGACGCCTTGTGCCCCCTCATATGCGAACCTTCACCTGGGATGGTGGGAACACCAGATTTGTGCTTCTGATGTTCTGGCAGAATACCTACCTAAGATCTTATGGTGGGGTCACTACATCGATGACATCCTGATTGTGTGGCAGGGAACCCCCCATGAATTTTTTGATTTGGTGACATTACTTAATCAGAACGATGAAAACCTTTGGTTTACATCGGAATATGGAGGACGCTCCATTAATTTCTTAGATGTGACTATTAGCATTAAAGAGGATGGTACATTTCAATCTACTCTTTTTAGTAAACCGACAGCCACCAATTCCCTTCTACATTGGGGGAGTCACCACACGCGACCCCTGAAGGAGGGTATTCCGGTTGGTCAGTACCTACGCCTTTGGAGAAATTGTAGTGACATTGAAGACTTTAAAATGAAAGCAAGACAGCTTAGGATACACTTTAAAGAGAGAGGCCTCAAGAAGGCGTACAAAAGAGCACTCCAAACTGAGAGATCTGAATTGTTATGTGATCATCCAGCAAAGAAAGAAAATAGGGAGACAGGAACCATTCGCATGATTGCGACATTTGACGTAGGTTGGTCAGAAGTACGGAAGTCTCTTGATAGATTTTGGCCTATCCTGTTAAATGATGTACATCTCAAAGAGGTCCTAGGCCCACAGGTTAATATTACAGCCAGACGTGGACGTAATATCCGAGATTTGCTTGTACCGAGTCATTTCACCACTAAACCACAGCCACGTCCCACCTGGTTGGGAACCCCTCCTTGTGGCACGTATGGCTGTGGCAGATGCGTAGCCTGCAAGTATATTTCTAAAGGCTCTAAGACAGTTAGTGACAGTACAGGACAAGGTACTTTCAAGATTAAGAGTTTTTTTAATTGTAATACTAAGGGCCTTGTATACCTGCTGTCGTGCTCATGTGGACAAAAATACGTGGGTATAACCTTTAGAGATAGAATTATGGAACATGTAAGGTCCCCCAGGAACCGGCTTGAGACACCTATCTCTAGACACCTTAAAGAATACCATCATGGTGACCCTAATAATCTTCGATTCTGTGGACTAGAATTGGTGAAGAGAAACCCGAGACGTGGAGATTTTGATAAGATTTTAAGACAGGGGGAGTCTAGGTGGATATATGAATTAAAGGACCACTCCAGGCACCCAGACCACTTCAGCTTAATTAAGTGGTCTAGGGTTAACCCATTGTTTTATAAACATAGCAGTTTCAGAGAAAGCCTTCCCCCAAAGCCTAGAGGCGCTTGCGTGCTTCTCACTGTGAAAATCACAGTGAGAGCACGCAAGCGTCCATAGGAAAGCATTATGAATGCTTTCATATGCGACCGGCTGAATGCGCGCGCAGCTCATGCCGTGCGTGCGCATTCAGCTGACGGGGCAGATGGGAGGAGGAGAGCTCCCCGCCCAGCGCTGGAAAAAGGTAAGTTTTAACCCTTTCACCTTTCCAGAGCCGGACGGGAGGGGTCCCTGAGGGTGGGGGCACCCTCAGGGCACTATAGTGCCAGGAAAACGAGTATGTTTTCCTGGCACTATAGTGGTCCTTTAAAGACACTTCAACCTCTGGGTTTGAACGAAGGCTTCTCTTTTGCCCCGTTCATTTAACCATTGGCAATAAGGTCTTCTTACATATGTATCTTTACACTTGGATCCCTCTCTTGATTTCTTACATGTGTATCTTTACACTTGGATCCCTCTGATTGATTTATTTATTTATCTAATTAACTATTTATCTATTTGTTTATTTATTTAGCCTGCCAGCTGAAGTTTATTATATGTTGACCACTTGTTTTCTTCGGCTTATTTATTATGTTGTAGCGTATTTATATTGAAAATTAAATTAAATTATCTTTGTTTCTCCCCCCCCCGCCCCCCCCCCCCCCTCCCCGTATATATCTTTCATGGACCGTTTGGTATATGGCTCTATGGATTTATGCCACTTTTATATATATATATATATATATATATATATATATATATATATATATATATATATATATATATATATATATATATATATATATATACTAACCAACACTTGCCCTTTAAATTAATTGACAGCTATTCGATAACACTCTGGCTGGCCTGTATTTAACACGGTATTTCCAGTGTAGATTGATTTCTCTATCAATCTCTAAGTAGGTTAACTTATTTTATTTGTCGAGCTAAATTAGTGAGACTTTAAATCCTCACACATGTGCCTGGACTTTGGCGTGTTTTCTTTAATTCATGCACATTTACATATGCTACCAAAGATTAAATTTACGTAATCGGACAGATTTAGCTTTTTACCCTGTATGGGCAGGTATTATTATTATTATTCTGTTCCGATTAGGCACAACATTCTATTTATATGTACTTGTGCATTTTTTCACGAAGTCCTCGCGCATGCGCCAATATTTTGATATGGACCTACACACTGACCGTAGTATACTCCCCACTAGACTCGGGGATTGATAGACAGAGCCTATTGGTAGAACTGCTATAGTGACGGCCCATGATCTATAGGTGGGAGGAGTTATGAGTTATTTAATGGGTGAGAGAGAGCAGGGGATTCCTTAATTCATTGTGTGCCCTTGAGAAAGGCAGTTAGGCCGCTGAAACGCACGTCGGGCTATTCCGATGCTGTTACTTTTGTTTTTAGCATCATACTGGAGTATTGTCTGTAATCTTGTGCTGTGCCTACATGAGACCCTTGCCGGCCGGTCTCCTTACCAGTTGGGGCATTTGATTTTCTTTATAAGAGGTATCTACAGTGGAGGTGTCCTTTCCTCTTTTTGCTCTGGACCCCCCTGTTGATTACCTTTCTCCCTCTCTATTTTTCCCTATACACATCTTTCTATCCTTTCCATTTCCTACCTCTCAACAGATAGGACAGTTTTATATGGATAGTTCAGACTATCTAGATAATGTTTTGATTTATAGGGCGGATTTCTTATGTCTTTGCCCTCTGGTTTATGTATTGGAGCACAGCACACTGCTTTTTTGGCATCTATTCATACATCTGCAGATCATTATTCTGTGAGTGTACATTGCAACAGTGTTTCTACTAAGTATCACTATGTTACAAATAGGTTTGCTACAACAGTGGTAACCTTTTTATGCTATCACAGATTAACCTAGCAGTGATTAATAGCCAATACAGTATCTAGTTTTTCTTTTGTTTTGGGTTTTTTATTCTCACTTTTTGGGAATTATGTGTATTTTGAATTTTCATTAAAGTTTATTTTAGTTATACATATCCTTTTTTTTTCTACAAGCCTGTAAATATGTTTTTCTAGGGGTGGTGCTGGTAGGAGGATTCCCCTCGTCTTTGTATGAGAGGGTTTCTTCCTATTTTTCTCTCTAATTTGATTTTGACGTATGTTTTGGAATATTGTCCTGCTGGAAGATCCCACCACAGCCCATTTTAAGCTTTCTGGCGGAAGCAGTCAAGTGTTCATTTAATGTCTGTTGGTATTTTATAGAGTCCATGATGCCATGTATCCTAACAAAATGTCCAGGTCCACTGGCAGAAAAACAGCTTCAAAACATTAAAGAGCCACTACCATATTCAACCATAGGGATGTGGTACTTTTTAAAATGGCTACCTGGTATTTTTTCATATGGTGCTCTGTGTGCGCCACACCCATGTCTGGTGTCTATTGCCAAAAAGTTCCATGTTGGTTTAATCTGACCATAAAACCCGATTCCATTTAAAGTTTCAGCAGCGTCTGGCAAACTGAAGACGCTTGAGATTGTTTTTTGAGGAGCGTTCAAACAACTTCTGGTGACAAAGGTGATGTCGGATTGTAGTTTTGGAGACTTTCTAACCCCAAGATGCAACTAACTTCTCCAATGCTCCAGCTGTGATCCTTGGAGATTTGTTATGACCACTCGAATCCTCCATTTCATAGTGTTGAGACAACGTAGACACATCCTCTTCCTGGTTGATTCTTAACATTTCCAGTTGACTGAAACTTCTTAATGATTGCCCTTATGGTGGAAATTGGCATTTTCAATGCTGTTTCTGTATTCTTATGTTCCCATTTTGTGAAGCTCAACAACCTTTTGAAGAACATATAATTTGGCCTATGTTATCTCATATTTATACCCCTGTGAAGCAGGAAGTCATGGTTGAACAATGTCCTGTTCCTAATCCCCCAGGTGTACTAAAATATGTAAAATAGCAATGGCAATATTTATTTTCTCATATGAATTTGTAGGTGTAACAATAATTGTGCGACACACATATTTAACAAATATTGTTTTATATTTGCAATTGTGTTTGCAATTGTTTGATATGAGCGTAGAGTATTTTTGTGTATTTTTTGAACATAAGATCAAATAGTTAATTACATTTTTTTCTCAGGTGCCTTTGCTCATATTTAACAAGGGTGCAAATATAGGTGAAGGGTATTGTATCCTTTCTATGGTAGTGTGGTGAACAGAGGAAAAAAAACAAAGTTTATTGAGCGTAAGGTTAAAGTGTTGCTTTCTATGAACAATACATATGAGTGTTAAAATCACAGGGTTGGCTAAAAACCACATGTGAAGTTTGGGTAGCGCAAACCTTTATGGCAGTTCCTAAGAGGTAGAAAAAGATGTGCCTGTTCTACTCCAGGCAGCACGTCGATAGAAGCTCTGTGACTTCGGAAGATATATATATATTTTTTGGTTTTGATATATATTTCCGGGCTTGAGAAATCCCACAGCGACTAGGAATTTTGTCCTGGCGTCTGCGATATGTCTGCTCGAGGCGACGAGGGAGAATGCAGGGCTGGCTGTGGGAGAACAGAGGCAGGCCGGCCAGCTGTGGGAGAGCAAAGGAGGCAGCCAGCTGTGTGGAATTGTGGTGGGCTGGTGTGGAAGAGATGAGGTGGTTGGCTGGCTGTATGGAATGAAGCCGTGCAGTAAGGGAGCTGTTATCTCACTGCTCTACTCCCTGCACACCCTGCAATGATGCCGGGAGCCGGAATATGATATCCTTCCGGGCCTGGCATACTAAACAGTGCGCAACAGGGAGCAGAACAGTGAGATGACAGCAGCCCCACTGGACCCCAGGGAAAGCCACTCCATCTCTCCAAAGGAAGGAAGGCTGGTGGATTTCAATAAAAAAAATTTTTATATTTTAAATTATAACTTCTGAGTGCGTGTGTAAATGTGTGTCTGTCTGTCAGTGAGTATGTGTATGTCTGAGTGTGTATCTCTGTCTGTGAGTTTGAGTGTGTGTGTTTGTATGTCTGTCAGTGAGTATGTGTGTCTGACTGCAAGTTTTTATGCATCTCTAGAAATAAACAATTTCCTACATGACGTGCATCTTTCACTGCCCAACAAGCTCAATCCTTAGATGCCCCATTCAAGGAAGACGAAATTAGATCTGCAATCCGCACACTTCCAAAGCATAAGGCACTGGGGCCAGATGGCCTGTCTAACTATTATTATATAAAGATCACATACTAACGCCACATCTCACAAGACTTTTTAATGACATTAGGTTGCGTGGCACTATACCTCCAGACTTGTTGGAGGCACATGTAGTAACTTTACCAAAACCAAACAAGCCTATCTAACTTTACCAAAACCAAACAAGCCTATGCGCCAATCTACGCCCTATATCGCTGCTCAATGCAGACCTTAAGCTATACGCCAAAAACTCCTTGCATCCCGAATCAAACCACTACTCCTGCAGCTAGTCTCGGCTGAGCAAGCAGGGTTTGTCCCGATTGGCATTGGACCCCTGATAGAATGGGCGAACAATTTCCCTTACTAATGGGACACAACAAGGTTGCCCTTTATCCCTGGTTCTCTTTGTTTTGTCAATGGAACCCTTGGCCGAACTAATCAGAAGGACCCCAGAAATTGAAGGCATTAGTATTAAAGGATCCACCAATAACATTGGTCTATTCGCCGATGATGTTATACTAGCGCTTAAAAATCCACCCAAAAACCCTGACATTTCTTAAAGAAATCCTACTCCAATTTTGGGATGTATCCTACTATAAATTGAATGAATCCAAAACCCAGGCCCTCCCACTTCATATGAATAAATCCGATATAGTCACCCTAAAGTCAGTCTATCCATTTGATTGGAGAAGTGAAAATTTAGAGTATCTAGGCATTAACCTATGTAAAATCTTGTCTAATATGCATGCCCAAAACGTCAAGAAAGCATGGCCGGACTTACAAAGAGAGATGGTGAGGGATGGAACTCTCATGGCTAGGGAGAATTGCTTCTAGTAAAATGTCCATTCTTCCTAAAATGTTATACTACTTTAGGACTATACCTCTATCCATCCCATTATCCTTTTTTAATAAAATGCATTCAGTTATGTTAAAGTTCATCTGGAATAACAAGTCCAGCAGAATCAAGCTCACATCCCTGCAGCACCATAAATCCCATGGAGGTATTGGAGTGCTAAATATCCGTAAATACTATTTTGCCACAAATGCTGCAGTGGTAGTTTGCTTCAATAGTCAAGTAAATAGGCCACGATGGATGGAAATAGAGGAAGCTAAAATTCTCCCATTCCAACTTAAAGAATTACCTTGGTTGAGTCCTGAAAGAAGGCCTGGAGTTGCTAAATTTTTCTATCGACAAAAGCTACCCTTAAAGCCTGGGATATAGCGTTTAAAAACAATCGCCACTCAGTGAAACTGTTAAACTTTAGAACTTCGGCAACTTCGGAACTCTGGCATTTCGGGACTTCTCTTGCAGCCGCTTGGTAGATAACTCCCTAATTCCCACGGTATTAGGGAGATATCTACCAAAAGTAAAGATTACTTAGTATTAGTAAATTTTGCCCCTACTTGCTATACCGCGAGTAGGGGCATGTCTATTAAACAGTGAGCAGCCAAAAAACTTTCCCACGCTGTGTAAAATGACACAGAGCACTCTGATTGGTGGATTGGTGGATCCTGAAGAACCCCCCCATGTGCCTTCGTGGGCACCAGGAACTAACGCTCGCTAAAACTAGCCCAAATGAGACATCAGACGAAAAGAAAATACAGAATAATGGAAAAGTATGATAAGTAAATGGCGATAGAATAGCGCCAGGAATCCCCTGACGCGCGCGTTTCGCCTAAACTCATCAGAGGGGAACTGGGTGTCGCCAACTCGAACGTTTAAATATGTAAGCTCAAATACTGATTGGCCAAGCATAATACTTCTAATTGGATATTCATGGAGTGATGTCATCAAATGGGGGGAGTGTGCCAACGGCTGTGTTCCCCTATTATACAGTTATCTAGTAATTTCTGTCTATTTAGCATTTATATATATTTTTTACATCAGTTAGCTATTTATATGTATAGGCACATAGACTTGGATTAGTTTAATATCACTTGAGTTATCATATAATCATTTTAGGCTTTCTCCCCTCCGCCCCTTTCTTTTCACCCTGCACAGACGTGTGCAGTGTGTTATATTGATGTAATCTGAGACATCAGAAATTTACCTTTCGCATTATGGGGTATTATCTTGGTTGATTTTAATCATCTTATTCGTGTTCTATTCTTTATATTTATACTTTCTATATATTCCATTTTTTAATAACGTACATTTAATAAAGTTATTTTTTATTTTTATTTCATTAGTGATTAAACTGTGCTCCACCTGCACATTTCTCACGTAGTGATAGTTCCTTTTCTTCCCTCGTTCTGTTCTGTTAGGTACTCTCTCTATTTATTTTTATATTAATCGTCACATTGGATGGATTTCCCCTTCCCTCTTCCAAGTTTCCCTCCCCTTCCCAACCCGTATTACAATGATTTTATAATTTGTTGTAATCTTACAAAAAAAAAAACTATTTGAAAAGAATGGGCGAACAACAGCTCTCAGATGGACTTTCTTTGGCTTTGGACACGGAGATGGCCTTTGACCGCTTAAACTGGTCCTATATGGATGCCACGCTCTCCTGGTTGGGCTTTTCCTTTGCCTTTGTCCGGAGCATTAAGGTACTCTATTCCAACCCCATGGCAAAGGTCTTTAATACTGGCTTCCTGTCATCTGCATTCCAAATCTCCAATGGCACGCGGCAAGGTTGCCCTCTCTCACCCCTTATATTTATTCTTTGCATAGAACCTATAATCCATAGCATTAAATCCACTACAGCAATTAAAGGCCTTTTGACCCCGGTTTGGGAAAAAAAGCTAGCATTATTTGCGGATGACATTTTGATATTTTTGTGCGACCCACTTAACTCCCTACCACCACTAATGCGCCAGCTTTCCCTAAAGGGTCAAATTTCATATTATAAAAATAATACGTCCAAAACACAGGCGCTACCCATTAATTTACCCAAACAACTTAAGCAAATCTTACAAACCAAGTACGATTTTGATTGGCGAGTTAAATCATTGACATATTTGGGTATAAAACTTACGAATAAGCTCCAACACACAATCAGGGAAAACCACATACCCCTCCTAGCTAAACTGGAGAATCAAATGGAGAAATGGGGGCTCTGGAGGTGTCGTGGCCCCCATTTCTCCATTTGTGGCTGGGCAGAATAAATGCCATCAAGATGATGGTCGTCCCTCACATCCTATACCTTTTCAGGACAGTCCCACTACTCCTACCTAAGAATATCACAAGACGTATGCAAAAGCTTATAAACTCTCATGTCTGGAAAAAGAAACCCCCAAGGGTGGCGCAACATATGTCATGGTTTCTACTTAGTGCAGAAAACCTGGGAATCCCCTGTGTCCACAACTATTGCAGAGCTTCGGTATTGTCACAGGGTGTTGACCTTTTAGCAAAACATACGAACCCGGTGTGGCTTGAACTAGAGAATGCATGCATTTCACCTGCTACTTTAGCGAGTCTGCTATGGACCAACTCTGACTCTACCCCCCATGTAGGGCTATCTAGCACAAAGTTCCTACTTACGACGTGGAAACAATGGAGCAATAAGCTTATTGACTCAGCAACGTTAATGAAGTATGCCCCAATTCAGGCCCTTCAGGCAATATCACCTGACCTCCCAGTGGGATCTTGGAGCAAAGGGGACATAGCAAAAGTCTCTGATTTGTACGATTTACGAGGAATTAAACAATTCCCGGACTTGCGAAATGAATTCTCATTAGCTCATCGGGAACTATTTACATACATTCGCATCACTATTTACATACATTCGACAAATGGAACTCCAGACACAATTAGCCCCGCATAGGTTGTTTAATCTCCTTGCAAAGGGAGCAACAAATTTAAAATCCCTGTCCCTATGTTACTCTGCTCTTGGTGAACCGGAGGAAGAACAAAAGCTACCCTATATGCGCAGCTGGGAAAAAGAACTTGGTAAGACATTCCAACTCTCACAATGGCGGGAGGCTATCAGATGCATTAAGGCAGCCTCCAAAAGCATGTGGGAAGTGCATGCCAAATTACGGATGAGGTGTTATTTGGTGCCCCTCAGACTTTCACAAATCTATAAGGATGCTAATCCTACCTGTTGGAGATGTCAAACCGCCATAGGCTCTTAGCCATGTATTTTGGGAATGCTTAGAGTTAAAGCAGTTCTGGAATTCAATATCAGCGTTGATAAATACTATGTCTGGAATCAGTTTCCCCAGATTGCCCGAATATTACTTGCTCCATATGATCTCTAACCTTATAACTGTGCCAAATAGAACAATTACTTTAAATCTCATTGTAGCTGCAAAAATTTACGTTGCTCATCACTGGAAAAGCACCATAGCCCCACCAATAATGGAAACGATCCAAAGAGTGGATTCCATATGCTCATATGAAAAAATGTCCTTTACCCTGCAGGGTAAACATTCCCATCATCAACGAAGGTGGGGAGCTTGGGATGGGATAAGGGATCAATTCCTCTTAGGACAGTGGTGAGAGCTGGGGGTCCCTGAGTCGGGCGTACCACTTTTAACCCATATATGAGGGGCACTCTCCGTCTTAGCGGTCAAACAACCAAGGGTACTGATGACGTCGCCTTAGGAGAAGGGTGACAACCAGTGGCGTACATACCAGGGTGGCAGGGGTCGCGGCTGCGACCGGGCCCGGCCAACCTCTTCCCCTGGGGGGCCCAGGAGCCGGCCACCTCAGGGCCCCCCGAGGCTGGCCCTGCTGACACCCCACGGCTGGTCCTGCGGGCGCGCGAGGGAGCACTCTCCCCTGAGTGCTTCCTCTTCAGCTCCCTCGCGCGCAGTGTACTGATACCGGAGCCGGAAGATGACATCATCTTCCGGTGCCGGCATCCCTAGGCAGCGCGCAAGGGATCTGAAGAGGAAGCACTCAGGGGAGAGTGCTGCCTGCCCACCAGGTGACTGGCCGCCCAGCAGCACCACTGGACCCCAGGGAATCCCCCCAGCACCCCAAAAGGTAAGGAGGCTGTGGGATTACCATTATTAAAAACAAAAAAAAAAAAAACTAGTGTTGGTGTGTGAGTGTTAGTGTGTGTGTCTGCTAGTGAGTGTCAGTGGGTGTGTCTGTTGAGTGTGTGTCTGCTAGTGAGTGTGTTACTGTATGTGTGTTACTGAGTGTGTTTGTGTGTCTGTTAGTGAGTCTGTTTGATGTCTGTTAGTGAGTGTGTATTTGTCAATGAGAGTATATGTTTTGTAAGTGAGTGTGTATGTATGTCGCTGTGTGTCTCTGTCAGTAAATGTGTGTGTCTGTTAGCTAATGTGTGTGTGTCTTCAGCACTTACCTTTCTCCAGCGCCGGACTCCCTTGGCGCTGGGATCCCTTTGCTTCTCAGCTCCGAATGCGAATGCGCAGCAAGAGCCGCGCGCGCATTCAGACCACCTGTAGGAAAGCATTACTCAATGCTTTCCTATGGACGTTCAGTGTCTTAGAATTGCGGAAGCTCATTGAGACAGCCACTAGAGTATGGATTAACCCTCAGTGAAACATAGCAGTTTCTCTGAAACTGCTAAGTTTTCAGCTGCAGGGTTTAAACTAGAGGGACCTGACAACCAGACCACTTCATTGAGTTGATGTGATCTGGGTGTCTGTAGTGGTCCTTTAAGTGTGTGTGCATCTGCATGCACTGGCGTACATAGCGTGGTCGCAGGGGTTGCAGCCCTGCGACCAGGTGCCCGCCGCCATGTGTTGCAGCCCCGGCCCGCGCAGAATAAGCGTGGGGGGGAGGGGGGCCCACGGATCAATTTTCGCACCGGGGCCCCATGGGTCATGTGTACGCCACTGGTGACAACAAAGCGACAAAACCTCCTTCCGGTATAACCTCTGCGTTGCAGTATTAATCGATGCTAAACCCATAACGTAGCCCTACCCGATGTACCTTCTACATGTATAATGATCATGCAATATAACGTATTTCTATGCAAGTTATTCATGCAACTAGAACTACAAGTTGTACTACGTCATATCATGCACCTGTACCATGTTAACATTTGAGCATCCTGGCACCAGGGTGTATGATGCCTGGCACATGTGATGCTTACTAATAGGCCCTTTGCTTTTCTGTAACCGCTATGCTTAATTTACCCACCCAGGGCTGGGGACGGACAGAGGGGGCACAGGGGAATCTGACCCAAAGCAGTCATTTTAGTCCTCTTAATTAGGTTAGTTAAAGATATGCAAGATGCAAAATAAGTTCACAGTTTCAAGTGAGTCCCTGGAGTGAAACCAACCCATCCCTCCCCTTCATATAACCTTTTGTTCTGTTAAACCTTTCTATCTTAGCGATTAACCAGAGTTGAGGTACAAATTACACCTCCTTAGGAGAAGGACGAAAGCAGCGTTGTGCAGGCCTTTCGTGGCACAAATCCTAAAATTGTAGTACTAAATGGAGCTACACTTAAAACTCAGCTTTACCTGATATACCTACTGTAACCGCTCACCTGGCACCCCGACTGGGTACCTTAGTTGAAGGATGCTCCTAGCGCTTCCTGAGGACTCCAAGCACTGCAGCAGACACCACAACCACCGAACCGGAGAAGCATATGAATGCTCTAAAGCATATGAATGCTGTAAGCAGCTGAACAGGAAAAGCATACAATCAGTTTACACTCCTGACAATCAGCATACAATCCAATTCCCCCAATAACGAGACGACACTTCGTTTTGAGGTCAAGCAGAACTGACTGTACTGGCACATACAGCCTCTTTTATTCAACCAATCAATCTGTACAATACACACAGACACTCCGACACAAAATCCTCCCCTCTGCCTGTGATATGATTACTGAACACATTGGTTAATATAATTATCACAGGCAGAGAAATACAGTATTATAAAACATATCACAGGGACCCCAAAACATGCAATACCCCCATAAAAAATACCCCCCACATCCTCAGAACCAGGGGATCTGGGTGAACCACATATCCAAAATTTGGTTTGGAAGATACAGTTTAATGCAGATTCTGCAGAACATATACAAGCTATATGAAAAATAATTACTGTATAATGTGTCCCCTGTTGTATAGTTTAAAACTACTGCACAATGTCTTTGTGCACCAAATACCGGCGAGATGGCACCGTGTAGAAAAGTCCAAACAGTGTCTATGAGTTAAAATTGGCCGCCATCCATTGTTCTCACCATGTGCCTCTGATACATGAAATGGTGGCCACCCAGTAACTCCACAGTATGTCCCCAGATGGCTTAAAGGGCCAGCAGCAGCACAACACAAATCCATTATGCCCAAATCATGTCTTAAAAGGGCAATACATCCCAGGGGCCATAGTCACATGGCAGGAGGCTGGCAATCAGTCTTCTCCAATGCCCAGTGGCGAGGTCGGTTTCGCCACACCTACTACACGCACAATGACCACACACTGTAAAGTAATAACACATAAGCTAACTACGCAACGTGTACCACAGATTGTACTCTGCCATAACCTGCAACCATTGTTGTACCTTTACCATGTTAAATATTGTACATGCTGGTATCAAATGTGTACGTTGCCTAGCATATGTGATACTTGCCAACATGTACCTTGCTTTTCTGTAACCTCTATGTTCATTTCAACAAATAATTCAATAAAAAAATTATAAAGTAAAAAAAATCAATGCATCTCTATGGGGAATATTTAGCACCTCCATGCAGAGCGTGGAGACACTGAACATAGGTGCTGCACACTGTGGAAAACACCCCTAGTGACTGGAAAACACCCCTAGTGGCCGTTTGAGTTTAGTTTTTTTTTCAGAAAAGGCTGTGTTTACATTGAAAATCCTGAAGGTACAGGCTATAGACTCCAGAACCACTACATTAAGTTGCATTGGTTCTAGTGAATTGCAATTTTGTCACTAAAAATGAAGCTTTGTTAGTTTTAAAAAAAAACAAAAAAACTGTCTCTGAAATTCCAAGCAAAAATTGTCAAGCCCTGATATATATATATATACACGCACGCACACACACACGCACTCTACTGTTTGTGTACCATGTATTTCTGTTGTGAGAATTTAATAAAGAGCTGCACATGCACTTTCTATTATTTTTAAGAAGCTTGTTTTACATTGTTTTTTATTTATTGATATTTAAGTGTCTCTGTCCAACTACCAGATATTACAAAGTAATTTATTTGTCCAGTAAGCACCCCCAGACCCCACTAAACTATTGAAATTACAATCCCCCTATTGACATGCATTTTCCTACTGATCACAATCATCATCCAGAATTAATCATGTTCTCTTGTGAAAGTATTCACTAAAATATTAATATTAGAGAACTAAATCCAAACAGCAAAACTGAGACAAAAATAACTGATTTGGAAAAATCAGTTGACTTCCTCCAAGTCAACGGTGCTACCATCAGCTCCACCACGCAGGCTCGCTGCCTAGGTGTTCTCTTTGACGCCGACCTCTCCTTCAAGCCTCATGTTCAATCTATCGCCAAATCCTGTCATTTCCATCTCAAAAACATTGCGCGCATCCGCCCCTACTTAACGCCAGATGCGACTAAGGTGTTGGTCCATTCCACTGTCCTCTCTCGCCTTGACTACTGTAATCCACTTCACAGTGGTCTTACGTGCTCCCAACTTGCGCCGTTACAGTCCATAATGAATGCGGCGGCGAGGCTCATCTTCCTGTCCGCACGCACCTCCCATGCCTCACCCTTCTGTCAGTCCCTACATTGGCTTCCTATAAAATATAGAGCTCAATTTAGAATTCTGGTTTTTGCTTTCAAATCTCTACATAATGCTGCTCCCACCTATATACCCTCCCTTATACACAAGTATGTCCCATCTAGGCCCTTACGATCTGCTGAAGACTTGCGTCTATCTTCTGTCCGTACTCCCACCTCTGATGCTCGCCTTTAAGACTTTTCCAGGGCTGCACCATTCCTGTAGAACTCGCTTCCCTCCTCCGTTAGATGCTCACTCAGTCTCCACTCCTTCAAAAAAATCTTTAAAAACCCACTTCTTCATAAAAGTGTATCAATTAAACTGTTAATAGCTCCTGACTGATTCCTCTTCTGCAACTGTCACTAGTCTAATACTATCCTTACCTTTTTGTGTCACATTACCCCACTCCCTCTAGCATGTAAGCTCATTGAGCAGGGCCCTCAACCCCTCTGTTCCTGTGTGTCCAACTTGTATGGTTACACTTACATGTCTGTTCGTCCACCCATTGTAAAGCGCTGCGGAATTTGACGGCGCTCTATAAATATCATAATAATAATAATTAGCTATAGTCATACCAATGCTGTTTAGTGAAATACCCAAGATGTTACTAATGTGTAAGCTACATTTACCGAGTTGCATTTCACTGGTGGCCGGGATGCTGGTATTTCTTTTAATGTGCACATATCATCCCGGGTGCTTGCAAATACATACTTAATATTATTCGCAGAATAATTTGAGCTCTACATTTCTAAAGAAAAAAATGTAGAGAACTCTATAAGAACATAACATTTTCTCTATTTGTATGTTTTTGTTAATTAGGTTTAATCAAATTACAGAAAGAGTAGACAACTATAAAGTTAAATCGTTATATTTATTTTCAGTGTTCCTCCTCATGTTTAGAATACTGGACCCCTACTTATTATAAAATATAGAGTAAAGAAAACAAAACCCTCCGAACCTATCTGTAATTCCAGCACCTGTATGAACTCTGCTAGGCAGCTCCTACTCTTTCAATGAGATCAAGAGTGATAACCTTTATTTATTTATTTATTTATTTTATTATTTTTTCATTTTGACAATATAAAATGTACAAACATTAAAAGACGACACATGTAGCAAAAGATAAATCAAGTCAAATAAAAAGGGGGGACTTAAGAGATGTTTTTTGGCAAAAAACTCCAAAGTCTCTCAAACACTTCTATTTGTATGTGGAACTCAGTACAGGAGGAGCATAGTAAATTTGGCATGTGGTATAGGTATTTAAAACAACCCGTAAAAGTTAACACTTACTAGGGCCCCTAAAACGAAATCGATAAAGGGACAAGGGAGGAAAAAAATAGTTATCTGATGGTTAGTTTTTTGACCCACTCATCCCATAACATTTATCGGGAACTCACTGAGAAATAAACTTCAAGGTAAGGCGCAATCCATTTTGCACTGCCTGGCAATTCAAGAGTGATAATTTTGGTCTAATCTCTATGAAGTATTGTGCAGCATTGTCGCACTGTGCGTAATGATGTAGATATAGAGCAGAAAGACTTTGAAAAGTCTTTGAAAAGTCAATGGTCTTAAGGAGGAAGCCTCTCTAATGGCCAGGCAAAAAAAATGTAGTGTCCCTGAATATCCCTTAATATTATTAGTAATACAATTAAAAAGGAGAAGATGATGGAAACCAAGTGTGCATGTTTTCATCCACTCATAGAGATATACACTAAAGTATGAATTCAAAGTGATTTTCAAATTTAAGGCCAAAGTTGCCGAACCCAAAGCATAGATGACTTAGAAAATTTCTCCAATTCAGCTATTTTGCCCTTTAATTTGACATTCACTTTGAATTCTCTAAATATTTCGATTTGTTTAGCAAGTCCCGTTAAATCTAGAAATATTTTTCTAATCTTTAGAAAAAATAACCTCTATAAAGATCTGGCACTCGGCTGCATCATTTTTCAAAGGTAGTGTCTTTAAAAGCAAGGGACGTTGCAAGAAGCGCATAATAAAAAAATTGGTAAGAGCAAGTGCTGTCAGTGAGGGAGGGAATCGAGAAAAACTCGATGAATTATATATACAAAATATGCATGTCTGTAGTTTTGTAGCTTTTAAACCGCCATACAAAAATCAGGAAAGTTAGATTTCTGGAATAAATGTGATGCATTTTCATTGTGGGTGTGATGCAATTAGTTCTCTTAGCTGTTTGCGAATGCAAGGAGTAGAACTAGCTTAAAACGGTGTAAGTGGTAGCGGGAGGCAGTCAGAGAGGATGTGCACCACTGGGTCTGTGCTTTTAGATTCTCTCTAGAGACATCAGCCTTTTAGGAGCATAATACCATAATATTTTTTATTTATAATATATTTTTTTTTCAACCTACTTTTGCACCGTTTTTTTTTTTTTGTTGTTAACCCAAAACGCATAGAGTTTTTTTTTATGTTTATTCTATTTTTACATTAGGTTATTTAGAATGATGACAATGTTTTTATATGTTTGCATTCATTATTGCTACTCACAAGCAGTTTGTCATGCTCCCATCCGGCACACCAGGTGGTGTAGAATCTGGAATGCAACTAGGCAACAAAACACTCAAGCATATGGTGTGTATTTCTGTAAAAAGTAGCAATGTACGTGACACTTTTTTATCGTGGTCTGCTTTTGGCCAGTTCAAAGAGGTGAATGTCCATTAGTTTTCAGTGCTTGTGCATATGTATCCGCATGAGCAAACAGTTCTTCAGGAACCCAATTTGCTTTTTTGCCCATATATCAACTAATGGGCTATGGAGGAAAGAAATGGGCACATTTAGTTTTAAAGGGCAGCACCTTTGATCGGTGACCTGAACTATTCCCTACCAGCCAATGCCTTGACAAAGTCTGCAAAGTTAACAGGGCTGAAAGATTAGAGGTAGAGTAGAGGTCGTTCATATATGTATGTGTATAATAATTTTAAAGGGAGAGAGATTCACAATTAAGTGTCATGTTTAGGCAGATTTTCAGCTTTTACTGCATATTTTTTTAGGAACTAGAAACCTACATTTTAGTAATAGAAATATCTCCCATTTCCTTTAGCAAGTGTGAAAATAATGAGGTTGAAGAAAACAGTAGTAAGAGGTTCCATAAAATTGGCACCTAAGCAAGTGGTTAATGAGACTGTGTTTTTTAAATGATAAAATATGAGATAAAACAGGAAATTAAACAAATTGCGTCCTATGCCCATGATAAGACAGGTACGTATTAGAAAAAACAAAACAAAACAGGAATGAGCAAGGTGCAAAAGATTCCTCCATTGGCAGTGGATATAAGAAAGAGGTGCAAACCTCACGGAAAGCTATGAAGGCTAATTACCCCACTCAAATGGTAATAAAATAATATATGTAGCCAAGCTGTAGATTAGTGGGGAGATTTCTGAGCCAGTGGGACCTGAAGTGATCATCATGTCAAATAGACCATTCTATAGTGGAGCGAAATCTCAGCATGCGTGAGAGTATAGCACATTTCGAGTTACACTTTATATTTTCATACCCTGGACTCATTTGTAAACTATTATAACAATTGCAAATTAAATGTGTTTATTGCAAACAAATATATTGCAGCCCATACAGCAGAGCCGGTGCTACCATTATAGTGCTGGTCCTGCTGTGCCCTTCAGCAGCTGCATGGACTAATGGGGGAGTTCATTAGATGTCACTGCTCCCTGCCCAGCCCGGAACTGTTTTCAGTAAATGTCTGCACCACTGCCTGTGTGCAGCTGTCTTCCGATCCTCCCTCCTGATTAGAGACCGGAAGAGAGCATTCAGAAGTGCAGTGGCAGACCACCCGATCACTAGGGAAACCACCAAACTGCCACAAACACTCCAATCCCAATAGATAAGGCTTTGAGGGGCAACACTAAAATAAAATTGTACTACAGTGTGTTGGGAAGCCAGACTCTGTTACCCCCCCCCCCAACCACCCTACATACTCACGCCACACTCACTTCCACAGTCACCCATACAACCCTATTATACTCACCCCCAATACTGTCACTCTCAGAACCCTACCCCTGTCACAGTGACGACGGTTATCATCATACACGCGCAATCTCTCCACACATAAAACACAGCCTTGCCATAAACACAAAAACCACAAGAACCACTCCCCCAAAATACTCCATACACTGTAAGCAGCTCCCAGACACACATTTACACACAAAGATACTTATTATCAGTTGCACACTCTCTGGCACATACAGCGTTACACAATGCCAATATAATTAATTTGCTGAATATCAAAATACTATTATCTTAAATATGACCCTGGATCATTAAAGAATAATAACAGAGCCAGCAACTAAAATATGAAAGTTTTTAAAAAAAGCAGATTTCTGTGGCATGAAGTGTCATTGAAATTCCAAGAATTGCGATCAAAACATGTTCCTAATTTCTACATTTTGCCATGCATCATGTAGAAAGTAAGTTACCATTTTCATGTGTGTATTGTATTTTTGGCCTAGCTCTGCTCCCTGTTTGAGTCATGAGACTAAGTGTTCTTTCTCTCTGTCCTTATTACAGCTCTGTCAGGCTCACTCCCAACTGGCACAGTACATGGAGAGATACAGGTACTTATTGTAATGACACTGTAATTGACGGTGTAATTTCTTTTCTGTAACACGCTCATTTCTCGTTCCCTAGTTATTTTTCCTCCATTACTAGATTTGACAGCTCTGCTTTCTTACTCCTGCTGTGTCAGATTTTTAATTTTGTTTTTAATGTTTCCAAGCATGTTTGTTTCTTTTCACGCTCTGCAGAATAAAGTGTTGCTTTTTTAAATGCACAACCAAACAGCATTATTTTTTTTATACACTTTATATATCAGACAATGTATATTTACACCACACGGTTTTTCTACAAAGTTGTATCAAAAATCTCTGACTTGACTTAGAAGGGGTTAATTATAAAAATAAATGCTTCAGGGGCAAAAAGTGAAGTAATGTTTTTATTTTTGATGTCTTTTAGTGTATTCATCCAGTTAAACACTATTGATGATGTACATGATTATATGAAAGAGCACGTTGACGTTTTGTGTGTATTGGGTAACTTTCCCACTTTTCTTTATTTTTAATAACCTCTTTTTGGACATTGAAGGCTTCTGTAGCTTTAGATGGGTTATTGCCCCACTGTTGGATGCTAGCGGGACACATACTCACATTCGGATGCCTGCCATTTATTGTTTTTTATCTGTGTATAAAAGGCCATCTTTTTGTTGTCAGATACAGTATGTTCCCTAGATGCGTCAATCAAATGTTTTTTTAATTGGGTTAAGTTTCTGTTTGCTAATTCGTACATTATTGTATATTGTGAGGTGGAAAGGTTCTAAATCAAGAATGAGCGATTGCTTGCTGGTTGCCTCCCACTGAAACGGTGGGAAGTTTGAATGTGGTAGGACTAATTAATTGGGTATTTAAACTGGATAGAATGAACACACGATACTTGGAATCTGGACTGCAACAGTAGAAAGGACAAGGATGTTCTATGCCAGGGGGCCATAACACATGCCTTGCGCTTTTGAAGCTAAGCACATTTGTACATGTGTTTGATTTATTTTAAGCTGTATTACTCTATAATCTTTTATTTATTTATTTGAATATTGGAATTTACCAGTTGGATCTGCCTTCACTGGGAAGTTGCCACAGTGCCAATCTATTGGCTTTATATTGGGTATGCTTTCCAATGTATGTCCACTATTTACTGGGATGTTTCGGTGACTGACTTGAATCTGCACACACCTCTTTACAAGTAATAGCTACATTTATTTGCTGTATTAAAAAAAAAAACCCTCTTTTCTAAATGCGATAGATGCTCTTTAATAATCTTGGGACAAAGGGATGTTGCGGATCTATGAATGCTCAGGGCAGAATAATGTGATGTTGAGATTGGAAAATAAACAGCAGGAGTCTCTCAAACAAGCTGGCAACCTTTTCTTTTTAGTGGCTTTTGATGTTAATGCTTGAGGAGTACAGCATGAAAAATATGGTAAATCAGTAGCATTTAACTATCTGTTAAACAACACATTATCTGATGTTGTGTTAAAGGAGCAGTAAAGCATTCCAAATAAACATGTTATTAAGGATTGTGTAGGTTTTGTTTTACCTTGGCTTGCTAAGAATTGTTCATCCCTCTGCCTTGTCACAAAACCCTCTTGTGCCAGTAAGCTGCACCCTTCATATCTAAGTCACCCTCTCTAGTTAATGCTGTGGCTCCCCCATTTTTCAGTATAGTGTAAACAGTTTGCCATACTGGTAGCAGTGAATGGTGTATGCAGAATACATGTCATGTTGCTGACCTGGCCTTGATTTGAGCACCTCTCAACATGTACTCAAGGTCTCTGTGTCAACAGTGGTTGTTAGTGAAATGGCAAACCATCAGGGCCTGGATTCATTCCAGATAATCTGGTGCAGTTTATATTCATGTAAATCTATTCTGCCTTATGGGTCAGCAATAGGCATATTTAAAGGGACACTGTAGGCATCAGAAAAGCTCTAGCTTAATTAAGCAGTTTTGGTGTATAGATTGTGCCCCTGCAGTCTCACTGCTCAATTCTCTGCCATTTAAGAGTTGAACAACTTTTGTTTCTGTTTATGCAGCCCTAGCCTCACCTCTCCTGGCTGTGACTGACAGTGCCTGCATACATTTTTTTTTTTCATTTTCAGTAAGATGTTAACCTGCTTTAGACATTTTTATCCCATGCTATATAAATTGAACTTTAAATAAAGGTGGCACCTGCAGGGTCTAGAAGGCTATTAACAGTGCAGGAAATGCTAAATTAAACAGACTATCAAGTAGTGGAAGTTTAAAAAATTAGATCTCTCTTTACAGGAAGTTTTTAGGAAGGCAGTGTAGGTCTCAATTTATTTTACTGTGCGTAATACAATACCCTATGAATTACAACCATGGAATTAAAACAGACTTCTCATTCTCTGAGTTCTAATAGATGTCAAAATAGAGATGGTTCACAATTTGCTTTCTTGTGTCAAAAATGGACATTGGCTTCATCTTAACTTGAAAAGACAAGCAAATGATTGCGTCTGTTTCATTAATCTGGTAAACCCACATCACTGCAAATAATTTGCAGGGTCTCGGGGAGGAGGGGGAAATAAAACGCTGATTTATTCATTGATGTGGTGAAGTGAAGCCAGTCCTGCTGCATCTTACTGGTGGTGGAAGTCTAGCAAAGAGCACCAACACAGTCGATCAATTATATGGATACAAATTCAGGGGGAAAGAAACGTGATTTTCAGCAGTCATCCTAAAAGGAAATATATGTTGTGGTGTTTGGCTGAACACTACAGAGTTGTAAATCTCAAATTTAGAGCTGCAAGTTGGCAGCAACTGGAATAAAAAATAAATAAAAATTGCTTAATCTAGACTTGCATGCCTCACAACATGCTTAAAGGGACGCTATAGTCACCAAAACAACTTTAGCTTAATGAAGCAATTATTGTGTATATATCATTCAACTGAAGTTAAACTTCTCAATTCTCTGTTATTTAGGCATTAACAAACTTTTGTTTCTTTTTATGCAGTCCAAGACACACCTCCCCTGGCTGTGACTGACACAGCCTGCATGAAAAAAAATGTTTTCACTTTCAGCTGTAACTTACTTTAAAAGTATTTATCTCCTGCTCTGTAAATATAACTTTAATGACACACAGGAGGTTCCTGTAGGGTCTAGCAAGCCATTTATAAAGCAGGAGATTTAAAAAACAACAACAAAAAATAGAATTTGTAATAAAGGAAGTGTAAACATTAGATGATCTTTACAGGAAGTGTTTAGGGAGACTGTGTCAGTCGCATGAAGGGAGGTGTGACTAGGGCTGCATAAGCAAAGTGATTTATTTAACTCCTTAATGGCACAGAGATTTAGCAGTGAGATTGCAGGGGCATGCTCTATATGCCAAAACTGCTTCATTATGCTAAAATTGTTTTGGTGACTACAGTATCCCTTTGACTTCTTTTTATTCTTCTCTCCTTATGTCTTTTAATTACAGCACTTTCTTCTGTTTAGAAAGCCCAGTAAAAGTATGTGCTTACGTTTTCAAGTACGTTTGCATACAAAATATTACTATACAAATAGCAGTGGAGTACAGAATATTTCTCCTAATAATTTTGCTTTGTATTGCTTGCTGTGTTGTGTTGTGCAGCCTTCATAGAACCTCTTAACATCTTTACTTTTAATTTTTTTTTTTCAATCTTCCTTTCTCAGGAGTCGTTTGAAAGCTAAAAATTTGATGTATACGAAGCAAATTCTCTACCTGCTGGAAAAGTTTGTGGGGGTATTAGGAGGTAAGATTCATATGTATGTATGTATGTATGTATATAAATAAAATAGTATTTGTATAATTGTATTAATGCATATTGTCACTTTAAATGATGTTTCTAGATGTATGATTTCCAAATCTCTTTTACTGCCTCTCGGGTTGCAGTTCCTATTAAGGAATCAATATGTCAATGTTAAAAGGCATGATGATCCATACGGTTTTTACACAACAATGGTCTTTTTACCATATGGCAATAGTGAGCTAATTAGAAAATTATGTAATTCTGGTTATGATAAAAATCTAAAAACATTTTGTTCACAGCTAATCGTTTGACTGGAACTTGCGTTGCCAGTAAATGTCTGGCAAGAACAACTCTGAGCCCTCGTCGGCAGCAGGGAGAGCAGTAGTATAGACTCTGAAATCCTCTGATTATTTCAGCTGGGGTGGAGGAGGATTTTGCCAACACACATTCAGCTCATCCATGACAGATGGTGCATTTTCAAAGGTTTCTGCCTATAAATCTAAGTAGATGGTTTTTGTTTCTGAAGGGAAAACACATAGAAACAACGGCAAGAGAGCCTGTGCTCCAGAGTTTATGCTTTGATTGATAGAAATTGTGAAATGTATTGCTTCGTAAAATTGTATTACACACAGTAAAGTAAATTGTTCTTTCTGCATTCTGAACACAGGAAACCATTGTGAACAGCATTATCTACATTATTTATAGGCAGCTTAAAAGAAAATGCATTTTCTTTTCTTCCTACATTTGATGCTATCTGTACATCTGTCTATCTGTGTCTCTATCAATCTCCATGAAAAGGACAAGCACATGGAAGGCATAGAGGCACAAGAATACAGAGGGTTCTTTGGAGCTGGTTCTGGGAAATAATAGAGTCCTCGTGTACACAGGAAACCCAGTTGTTTTACCCAGTTGTTATTGCCAGATGAAGAGTGAACCCATATCATTTTGATGTGATAACAGAGTTAGTGTAGCATGTGTCACTTCAATGCAATCCGCTTATTAATCTGCATACATACATACATATACACACACACACACAAAATAGTCTAAAATGGTGTAGATAAAGGAAATGAATCAGGGGTGGAAGGAGAGCCCCACACAGTTGCAACCCTGCAGTTGTTTGTCCGAACCTTGTGAGTCCCACGCTACCCATACAACCTGCTGGAATCGGCTGAAACTGGCACCGTTCTGATGCCTGAGAGTACACATGTTCAAGTCAGATGCCGTTATTACCACTCACACTACCAGTCTTGTTTATTTTACTGTTTTTGTTTACGTTTTCTGTGTGCTTTGGGGAGTGCTGTGGGGTGTAGGTGACTACGGGTACAGTGGTTTATTCTCATGTTCATTAAGTCATGTAATATCATCTTTGGACATGATGCCCATCCTTAAACTGAGGTATTGATTCTCAGCCTAGACTATCTCTCTTTAAAGTTATCTCAATCTCAGGAAGCAATTCATCATTATGCCTCATGTTTATGATAGTATGATAATAGTACTACCCTCTTGTACCTGAAACTCACCTATTTGGTTAGATATGTATGCTAAGCTTGAATATATTAACAAAGTTTTGAAGTGCCTTACTATTATTATCATTATGCTCTGTTTTTGAATACACTTGCTCTTGCTGTTGGGGCATTGCAAGCATGTCTGTCTTTATCTGCACAATAAAAATAAAGAAATAAAAAAAAAGATAAAGGAAATGAACAAGCCCAGCTATTTTGGAAAACAAACTTTCCTGTCAATGGAGTAAATATCACTTCACCTCTCTGTATAGTAAATTAAACTCTGAGTCTTGAAACAAATACAAGCATTGATGTTCCGTTTGCAATAATCCTTAATATTATAAGATACTTTTTAAAGACACATCACAAGACCAAATTGAAGTAATATTGTATTGGTTTCCACAGGTAATGTTAAGCAGAATCCCAACTTTCAGACTGTTTCCCAGGAAGGTAAGAAAAACTTTACAATCTCTTTCACATCCTGTTTTACAGTGGGGCCAGCACTAGAACTGTGAAGTTGTAGGGTCTAATTAGATTTCAGTTTGTAATGAATGCAGGGACAGCCTTCATATCTGTAGCTTGGGCTAAGGTGTTTCATGCATATTACGCACTGTATAATTGAAACTTTAAAAAAAAAAAATTAAATACCAACTTTTTTTACACAAAAGTTGTACTTTGAAGTGAAAGATCTAGGATTCAATCTCTTACATAGTTTTAATAATTGCAATTTTTGTTTCATTCTGTTCATCACAAAAAGAGCAACAAAATATCCCAGACCTCTAAACAAAAACATGTTTCCTATGGAACTATGCAATAAGTCTGTAGTTATTGTGGGATGGCAAATGCATCTGTTGCAACTATTTAATCTGGCTGTATCATCAAAGATTTTCCTTTTGTATCATCTTATAGCACTTTAAAAATCTTCCTCTACCTTGGTTGAGGATTTTTACATTTCTACAGATGTCTTTTTCCTAATAAATAACACGTGTCCAACTATGTTAGGGTTGAAAAAAATGCGATGAAATCTAAAGATGTCTTCTTCCATTCTGAAAAAGATTATGACGTTTATTATTATTATTATGATATTCATAGAGCGCTGTCAAAATTCCGCAGCGCTTTACAATGGGTGGATGAACAGACATGTAGTTGTAACCAGACAAGTTGGACACACAGGAACAGAGGGGTTGAGGGCCCTGCTCAATGAGCTTACATGCTAGAGGAAGTGGGGTAAAATGACACAAAAAAGTAAGGATAATATTAGACTAATGATAGTTGCAGAAGAGGAATCAGTCAGGAGCTAGTAACAGTTTAATGGATACGCTTTTATGAAGAAGTGGGTTTTTAACGATTTTTTGAAGGAGTGGAGACTGGGTGAGCATCTAACGGAGGAGGGAAGCGAGTTCTACAGGAACGGTGCAGCCCTCGAGAAATCTTGAAGGCGAGCATCAGAGGTGGGAGTACGGACAGAAGATAGACGTAAGTCTTCAGCAGATCGTAAGGGCCTAGATGGGACATACTTGTGTATAAGGGAGGATAGATAGGTGGGAGCAGCATTATGTAGAGATTTGAAAGCAAGAACCAGAATTTTAAATTGAGATCTATATTTTATAGGAAGCCAATGTAGGGATTGACAGAAGGGTGAGGCATGGGAAGTGCGTGCGGACAGGAAGATGAGCCTTGCCGCCGCATTCATTATGGACTGTAACGGCGCTAGTTGGGAGCACGTAAGACCACTGAGAAGTGGATTACAGTAGTCAAGGCGAGAAAGGACAGTGGAATGGACCAACACCTTAGTCGCATCTGGCGTTAAGTAGGGGCGGATGCGCGCAATGTTTTTTAGATGGAAATGACAGGATTTGGCGATAGATTGAACATGAGGCTTGAAGGAGAGGGCGGAGTCAAAGAGAACACCTAGGCAGCGAGCCTGCATGGTGGAGCTGATGGTAGCACCGTTGACCTGGAGGGAGCCAGACACAGGAGTAACAACACTTGAGGGAGGAAAGACCAGAATTTCAGTTTTGGTCAAGTTTAGTTTAAGGAAGTGGGCAGCCATCCAGTTACAAACAGCAGAGAGGCAGTCAGAGACACTAGTCAAGAGGGACGGCGAGAGATCAGGAGAGGACAGGTAGATTTGGGTGTCATCTGCATAGAAATGATATTGGAAGCCAAAGGAGCTAATGAGTTTACCAAGGGAGGCAGTATAGATGGAGAACAGTAGGGGACCAAGGACTGAACCTTGGGGGACACCAACAGAGAGGAGTTGGGGAGAAGAAGCAGAGCCAGAGAAAGAAACACTGAAAGAGCGCTGGGAGAGGTAGGAGGAGCACCAGGAGAGAGCAATATCTTGTAGACCGATATTGCGGAGGATGAGAAGAAGCTGTTGATGATCAACAGTGTCAAAAGCCGCAGACAGGTCAAGGAGAATTAGGATAGAGTAGTGACCACGAGATTTTGCAGCAGATTGGATACTTTGGTCAGTGCCGTTTCCACAGAGTGCTTAGCGCGGAAACCAGACTGAAGCGGGTCTAGCAGAGAGTTGGACTCGAGGAAGTCTGTCAATCTCGCATACACAATTTTTTCAAGGATCTTGGATGCAAAAGGCAGTAGCGAGATAGGACGATAGTTGGATGGGGAGTTAGGGTCAAGATTAGGCTTCTTTAGAATTGGGGTTACAGTTGCATGTTTGAAGGACAATGGAAATATACCAGAGGAGAGAGAGAGTTTGAGAATTTTAGTGAGAGGTGGAGAAAGAGAAGAAGACAGAGTACGGATGAGATGCGATGGAATTGGATCTAGGGAGCAGGTGGTGGGGCGGGAGGACTGGAGCAGAGCAGAAACTTCTTCCAATGTAGCGGGTGCGAATGAACATAGAACAGCAGAGGAAGTGAAGTTAGGGGAAGTATTGTAAGAGGAAGAAGAAAGATGAGATATCTCTTCTCTGATTGTAGAGATCTTGTCAGTGAAGTGAGTTGCAAAGTCTGAGGCGGTCAAGTTAGTAGGTGGAGGAAGAACAGCAGGGCGAAGAAGAGAGTTAAATGTGTGAAATAGTCGTTTGGGTTCGCGGAAGAGCGTGGTTATGAGGGTATTGAAATAATTAACTTTTGCATAGGAAAGAGACAAGCTGTATGAGCTCAGCATAAATTTATAGTGGAGAAAGTCAGATTGCACAGTGAGACTTTCTCCAACAGCGTTCAGCAGTTCTGGAGCATTTTTGGAGGTATCGAGTGAGCTTGGTGTGCCAGGGTTGTTGTTGGGGGGGCCTGCGGCGTTTAAATGTACAAAGTGCCATGATGTCTAGTTGAGAGGAGAGGGTGGAATTGTAGAAGGAGGTTGCAGAACTAGGACAGGTGAGGTTTGAGATAGGTAAAAGGAGAGTTTGGAGATTAGTGGAGAAATGCTCTAGGTCAAGACATTGGAGGTTTCTGTGAGAGTGATGTTCAGGCGGTGGTGTCAATTGGGTCTTAGGTATGCCAATGTCAATTGGCATAGAGAATATTGGAGAGATTAGAGGCAGTACAGAGGTTGGTGAAGGCAAGATCAAGAGTGTTTCCTGCTGTATGGGTTGCTAGGTTGGACCATTGCGCAAGGCCAAAGGAGAAGGTTACAGAGAGCAGACGAGAGGCATCAGTGCAATTGGGTTTATTGATTGGGATATTGAAATCCCCAAGTATAAGGGAAAGAGTGCTAGATGAGAGGAAGTGGGGAAGCCAGGAAGAAAAGTGCTCAATGAATAGTCTAGGATAACCAGGGGGGCGGTAGATGATAGCGATTCTTAAAGGAGTGGGTTTAAATAGGCGGACAGTGTGAACTTCAAAAGAAGAAAAGGATAGGGCAGGGGGAGTTATGATTGGTTGAAAGGTACATTGAGGGGAGAGAAGGACGTTTAAATGATATTAACTGATACATTTACTCTAATTTAACATATTTTACTGGGAATATTGTAAAGAAACTTTCAGTTGATTTAAGACAATTTTCCCTATTTTTTTCCTCCTTTTTCTCTTTACATTTTTTTTTTAAATTTTTTTATGAAACATGCTGATGTGTGCATGTTCTAATCAGGTCTCATAATATTTATTATAGGTGTCAAAAATGTAAAATTTTGTGCACTGTTGGGGTATCTTGTTTTTTCCAGGTACCACTTTGAAATCTATCAATGACTTTCTGTTTCATGGCCAAATAGACAACATTAATCTATTTAAGGTGAGTTTCCCCCGTGACTTCCACTTAACAAATCAAGGCAAGGTACTTGAAAAAAATGATGTTTCACTTTAATTAAACATGTGTCTACTCTTGTCTCAAGAATCCTTCACTGCTGTTACACTTCTTACCTCCGCTGTCCTCGTTAATTTGCTCTCTCAAGAAATCCATATCCTGGGTACTTTTTTTCGTAATTAAATTATTTATAGAGGTTTTTTTATTTTGCTTAACATGTGAAAAATACAGCATTTTAAAGAAAACCTCTCCCAGCAGAGAGGATCGTCAACAAATAATAAAAAAAAAATACTCCTGCACAAGAACTTGTTACTATAGTGCTCTGGTATTTCTAAGAAGGATAGAAATAGCAAGATAAGAGGTGTAGAGGATGGAGGGAAGCAAGGGGATTAGGGGTAATGCGTCTCCTTACGAGGTGACATATCCTTTACTTTTAAGGGATTATAAAATTGTGTAAGTAGAGGAGTCAGTAAACATTTGCATATATTAAATACTTTTGAATGTACTGTTAACTATTACAGGTAGATAGAAACGATACAGCATTTATCAGTAAAGTATAAATCATACGTGTTATGAAATTTCCCACAGGTGAAAATTGGATAGGGTCCCCCACTAAAGGGGACACTAAAAAAATAGACATTTCATCATGGAAACCCTGGGGGAGTTACATTTAGTAAGGAAGAAAAAAAAAAAACGCCAAATTCACCAACATCCAAACTTTCCAGAATGGTCCTTTATGTATTGTTCCAAATGATTGCAAACATCATTCCCTGCAGCTATTTGCTCCTTATATTAATCTTCGTTATTAGCTGAGGCTAGCTCTGAAGAATGTAATATTCTTTGAGCTCTGATCATATCGTGGGTGTCAGTGTGTGTACTGTTAACTATATTAGGAGTGTAATATTGATTTATCTTTTATTAAAATCCACATTGGAAAGTTAGTGTATCTTAAGACAATGCAATTTTTTGATCCAGGTATACTGAGCATCACTTCCATACAATGTGGAGAATGACATTCTCAAATCAAATAGTATTTTCTTCTAATTTGATGGTTTCCCAACACGCTGCAGTATAAGGAGAGGCGCATACCCATTATGTGTCACTCTTTGATGCCTAGATCCCTGTCCCTTATCTAGGACCTATATTTACGTATAAATGTATAACAAAAGTCCTATAAAATTTATAATTAATGGTTATGTATATCCGTGCATCAATGAGATTTGTGGCTATAAGATTTACCCATAGACCAACTAGCCCTGAACTTATAGTGGCTGGTTCATGTGTTCTTTCTTTCTAGAGTAGCAATGGAATGTTGTATTTACAGTGGAAAGTTAACAGGTAAAATTAAAATGCAGAATAGCCTAATGTTCTATTTTCCTGTGCAGGTCCAGAGATATTTTATGAAGAGCATGATCAGTAGGAAGGTGAGATCTAAGAGTATTAAAAACTCATACTGAAAATTACTTTCAGTTTGTGAAATAGCTCTGTTATTTCATCAACAATAAAACCTGTTTGAACTTTAGCAATGCAAGATCTGTTCTAGGTAGCCCATCTTTCTGAGGCTAAAAAGAAATGTGTACCAGTGAGCTAGGTAGGAATGAAATCTATACTTAGGCCACACTTGAAAAACTAAGTAATGCATACTTCCTATTAAAATCCTTTAGTAGTTTTTGTTGTTTTGCTGCTAAATGTTTAATAAAAACTAATTTGCTACACATTTGTTTGCCTATCTACCCTACAAGGTTCTTGTTAAAACTGTTAGCTTTCCATACCATTGTACCTTGGTTGGTGAAAACAAATGAAACCAAATAAAACACGATTTCCCTTTACACCTTTATATAAATGACTATAGCTAGCAATACCATACAAATAAATGTTTAAATAATTAATAAACTCTTGAAGGAACCTTTTAAACACTACTCACTGTTAAATGGACTGTGATCCCCAAGTTCTGCTGTCCTCACTCATGTGCTGAAGGATAAGAGTCCCATTTCTGAAAAAAATGACAGTATTGTAACTTTTAATGTTGTTTTCTCTTTGTGTTTATCTTTATTCTACATTTATGTTATTCTGAGTTATCAAAATGGGGGAAAGGAAGTTGTTACAAGACCATGGTATATAATTAAATGTGTTCCATGTGTCTTATTTTCAAAGCTGTTCGGCTTTATGGAAAAATTTAGAGGGGCAGAGAGTCTCCCCAGCCAAGAGAGCCAAAAACCGAGAGGACTTCAACAATACCTGCAAGATCTACACCAAAAGACACATAAAGGAGGTGTGTGAATGGTGGATATGATGATGTAGATAGTGAACAAAAATAGTGCATCTGAAATAGTTCTACCCACATTTAGCAACAATAGCTCTTTTAAAAACACTGTTATGACATTTTTAGGTTACTGCCAAAGTACTAATAGAACAAGACAATTCAACACTGTGCTGTGTAGGGATATTTATGGGATGATCATATTATACAGTTGAGAATTGCCCACTATTTCAATTCTCTTAGATCTTAGAGATCGTTATCATGTAAGTGAAATGTATTCCATACAAATAAAATCACAATATGTTATAAAAATAGATATAATTTATTGTGACAAATAAAATAAAAATAATATTAGGTAGCATGCATGATAATAATCAGTGAATATTTAGTATAACATAAGTATGCAATACAATGGCAATGGTAAAACAATCCAATGGCTAACAGCATCAACTGTCAAAACATTACAAGATTTATGAGGGTACTTCACAGACACAGAAAGCTAAACTTCCAGCGAAAAGCCATAAAACCTTGGCTAACCATAAAACATTGGCTAACCGTTAGATCAACTGAGTAACCCTTTCAATGCTGGCTAGATCCCCCTAGGCATATAATATCCTATTCTCATGTAATTTTCAATTAAAATAACATTCAAACCAGCTCATTAATCATTTCCTGGAACCATCCAATAAGAGTAATCTACCAGATTTTTACAAAAGCCGAATTTAACTCTACTTAAGATATATTATCTTATTTTAGAGCAAATCAATACACATGGATAAAAACAGCGGTATGCTAACACGTGGTAAGATACCAGTACATATGTAATTATCTGACTCCACCTGCAGAATGGAGTGTTATAACCACATATTCTTTAGTTAACTAAGATTTCTCAATTATTGAAATCTGACTATTAGTAAATTTTTAATTAATTTAAATTAATTAAATAAAACCAGCATAATTACCAGTTATGTAGATGTTCTCATCAGATGAGTAGTAGTCCCAGGAACTTGAATGCGAGTATGTTTGGTTGTATGGAGGTGTGTAAGTAATAGAGAAAAGTGATGTTGGTTAGAAAGTATTAGTAAAATTCTAAGTGTCAAGGAGTGTTTCTTGAGTTGTGTCCAAGAGAGTTTGAGAGTTAGTCCCAGGAACTTGAATATCTGTCCTGGATCTTTCTGAATGTCCGAATCTAAATGCCCAAACTAACCTACTCTCTTCCCTTTGTCCTTTTAAAGGGCCAGACTCTCTGTACGTCATTAGTTGATTAGGTCCAGTAGGATACTGAAGGTGTGGTCAACCTGCAGATCACAATTTAGATATTTGATCCATAGAGGGTGTAACGGAACGTTTTGCCCATAAGAGTTTAAAAACCGTTTAGGCGATATTCCCCTTTTTCAGCTGCACAGACAGCTACTGCAAGCACCAATCTCCCGAACTGCAAACCCACGAATTCACCAACTCCCGAACTGCAACCAAGGGAATACTCGAAACTCCCGAACTGCATACCAAGTAGCACTCCAAACTCCCGAACTGGAGACACACGAATAGCTGCTAGCAGACGAACAGGAAAAGCCCCCAAGCGGCTTACACTCCTGGCAATCAGTCTCTAACAGCATACAGTAAATCCTCCCCCCAATAATGAGACGACACCTCACTTTGAGGGTTAGGCAGGAACTGCACTCTAATGGCCACACACTGGCTTTTATGCAAGTCCCCATGCAAGGGGATATCCCACAGGGTGGGACACAGTACAATCAATCGTTTACAGGAGAATCATAAAACACCCACAATTAATTCACAATCCCTCCTCTCTGTCCTAGAGATAATTGTGAAGTAATCCAATTATCTCCCAGGACAGAGGCAAGACTCCATTAACCACATGGCAGTAACAATACAATAAACTACATAAAATGACATACAGTTACATTTATTCCATAAAACATAGACATTCTACATATCCCCAGATAGATCTGAGTGCCCATCACTACCGAATGGTGCTCAGATCACATACATACAGTTCAATCGTTATGGAGCCAAAGTCTTTCATACAGTCTTTCAGTATACGGCTGGGCTCCATGGCATAGCTATCTGGGGTAGCATGGCTTTAACAGTCCGCAGAAAGGCACGAATAAACCTTTCTACCGGTAAAATAAAAGTTTAAAATGCAGGACCATAGTCTAAAGGGAGCAGGCGAGCAACCAGGCTTCTCCAGTGTACAGTGGCGAGGTTGGATTTGCCACACTTCTCCCCTTTACCAATCAGACTAACAGGGTATCTGACCTCATGCCGGTCAGTGCCCTTGTTAGTCCAGCAGCCCACCCACAAAACACAATCAGTAATACAGCCCACCCACAAGAACTGGTTACTACACCTGGGTAGAGGAGAACGTTGTCCATGTCCAGACGCCTCACCATGGCTGTGTGGGTGACTGGTAAGCGGACTGGGTGGGTTGCTGAGTGGGCAGAGACCAGTGGTACTCTGTCCTGGTGCCAGCACTACCACGGGAGTAGTCTGGTTGGAGCCTGGTTGCTGGAGGGGGAGACCGACTGTCTCCCCTTTGGCTAAACAGCCCTGTCGCTGGGGGCCAGAACCGACCTTCCCTACCCCCTGTGCTGTAAGTGCAGAGACCACGGTCCCATCTGCACGGTTGTGGGGCTTCTCATCTCCCCTTGGTGGAATAGGCCGCCGCTGGGAAGTATTCTCCCCTCCTGGTAGAATACTCTGCCGCTGGGGAGCCGGACCGGCTGTCCGTACTCCCTGTAGCTTGGGCGCCGAGACCACGGTCCCATCGGCGCTGGTGGGGAGCTTAATGTCTCTCCTTGGTGGGCTATGCTGCCGCTGTGGAGAAGGGGCAACAAGCTCTTCTCCCTGACACTCTCCCTGCTGGAGGAGAGGGGGACCGACTGTCTCCCCTTTCAATATATTGTCCTGCTGCTGGGGAGGAAGGATGGTACCTTTGGCTCCCTGGGACTCACTTGACTGCTGAGGAGAGGGACCAATTGTCTCCTCTCCTAAGAACACACACTGCCGCTGGGGAGGAAGGACGGCACCTTCAGCTCCCTGGGACACACTCTGCCACTGGGGAGGAAGGACGACACCTTCAGCTCCCTGGGACACACACTGCCGCTGGGGAGGAAGGCCGATACCTTCAGCTTCCTGGGACACACACTGCCGCTGGGGAGGAAGGACAACACCTTCAGCTCCCTGGGACGCACACTGCCGCTGGGGAGGAAGGGCGGCACCTTCAGCTCCCTGGGACACACACTGCCGCTGGGAGGAAGGGCGACACCTTCAGCTCCCTGGGACACCAACTGCGCTGGGGAGGAAGGGCGACACCTTCAGCTCCCTGGGACACCAACTGGGGAGGAACACACTGCCGATGGGGAGGAAGGACGACACCTTCAGCTCCCTGGGACACACACTGCCGTTGGGGAGGAAGGATGACACCTTCAGCTCCCTGGGACACCAACTGCCGCTGGGGAGGATGGCCGATACCTTCAGCTCCCTGGGACACACACTGCCGCTGGGGAGGAAGGAGGACACTTTCAGCTCCCTGGGACACACACTGCCGCTGGGGAGTAAGGACGACACCTACAGCTCCATGGGACACACACTGCCGCTGGGGAGGAAGGACGATACCTTCAGCTCCCTGGGACACACACTGCCGCTGGGGAGGAAGGACGACACCTTCAGCTCCCTGTGACACACACTGCCACTGGGGAGGAAGAACGGCACCTTCAGCTCCCTGGGGGACACACTGCCGCTGGGGAGGAAGGACGACACCTTCCGCTCCCTGGGGGACACACTGCCGCTGGGGAGGAAGGGCGGCACCTTCAGCTCCCTGGGACACACACTGCGCTGGGGAGGAAGGATGACACCTTCAGCTCCCTGGGACACCACTGCCGCTGGGGAGGAAGGACGACCTTCAGCTCCCTGGGACACACACTGCGCAGGGACACTTTCCCTGGGACACTGGGAGGACACCTTCAGCTCCCTGAGACACACAGCTGGGGAGGAAGGAGGACACTTTCAGCTCCCTGGGACACACACTGCCGCTGGGGATGAAGGACGACACCTACAGCTCCCTGGGACACACACTGCCGCTGGGGAGGAAGGACGATACATTCAGCTCCCTGGGACACACACTGCCGCTGGGGAGGAAGGACGACACCTTCAGCTCCCTGTAATACACACTGCCGCTGGGGAGGAAGGACGGCACCTTCAGCTCCCTGGGACACACACTGCCGCTGGGGAGGAAGGACGACACGCTTCTCTCTCTGTAACTTGCTCGGCCACTGGGGTCTCTCCCAACCTGACAACTCACGTGTCCACCCTGCTCCGACCTGCAGGTACTCTTCTACTTGTCTCCTCACGAACTGCATGTATTTCTCCGGGGGTTTGGGTCCAAGGAAAGCCAGCCGCATGGTAAACTCTCTGTCATACTGCTCCTGAGTGTAGCTGGGTGCCATGCTTGCGCTGCTGAAGTTGGTTCTTTTGTACATAGGGTCGCTGTACGGGTACTGGCGTTGCCCTCAATTTGTAATCCAGGAACTGGTGTTGTCTTGTAGCTGTCCTTCTGGGCTGTGGAAATGATCCCGTCGCTTGCCACCAATTGTAACGGACCATTTTGCCCAAAAGAGTTTAAAAAACGTTTAGGCGATATTCCCCTTTTTCAGCTGCATAGACAGCTACTGCAAGCACCAATCTCCCGAACTGCAACCAAGGGAATACTCGAAACTCCTGAACTGCATACCAAGTAGCACTCCAAACTCCCGAACTGGAGACACACGAATAGCTGCCAGCAGACGAACAGGAAAAGCCCCCAAGCGGCTTACACTCGCACTCCAAACTCCCGAACTGGAGACACACGAATAGCTGCTAGCAGACCAACAGGAAAAGCCCCCAAGCGGCTTACATTCCTGGCAATCAGTCTCTAACAGCATACAGTAAATCCTCCCCCCAATAATGAGATGACACTTCACTTTGAGGGTTAAGCAGGAACTGCACTGTAATGGCCACACACTGGCTTTTATGCAAGTCCCCATGCAAGGGGACATCCCACAGGGTGGGACACAGTACAACCAATCGTTTACAGGAGAATCATAAAACACACCCACAATTACATCACAATCCCTCCTCTCTGTCCTAGAGATAATTGTGAAGTAATCCAATTATCTCCCAGGACAGAGGCAAGACTCCATTAACCACATGGCAGTAACAATACAATAAACTACATAAAATGACATACAGTTACATTTATTCCATAAAACATAGACATTCTACATATCCCCAGATAGATCTGAGTGCACATTACTACCGAATGGTGCTCAGATCACATACATACAGTTCAATCGCCATGGAGCCAAAGTCTTTCATACGGTCTTTCAGTATACGGCTGGGCTCCATGGCATAGCTATCTGGGGTAGCATGGCTTTAACAGTCCGCAGAAAGGCATGAATAAACCTTTCTGCTGGTAAAATAAAAGTTTAAAATGCAGGACCATAGTCTAAAGGGAGCAGGCGAGCAACCAGGCTTCTCTAGTGTACAGTGGCGAGGTTGGTTTCGCCACAGAGGGCAGTCTCGCCTCACTAAACCTTCCTATCCAGGAAAGAGTTAACTTTTCCTGATGACGATTTTGACGTCATTTGGCTGATTTAAAATGACTACCATAACTTAAATTTGCTGTCAGTTCAAAGCGTTTGCCTCAGTCTTTGTGGCAACGACTTTGATCGTAATTTCTAAAATTGACCGTTCTAAACTCAATTTCACACCTTACTTAAAATGGGACTTTGTAAAATTTAGAGAGTAAAATGAATTACGTAGTCTACTCTGTCACTAGGGTCTGTGTTTAAAATTATTTCTATTCCATTAACATTTAAACAGAGCATTCCATCCCTCTGCTTCATTGCTTATCATTTGGCCTGTTTACATAATGCATTCCGTTGCTCAGGCTAGTGGCTAGTTACAGAAAGGAAATAAATTTTGTGTCTGTCTTGCCTGAAATCTAAAATGGAGTCCGCTCTGTTCTGAGTGACTCTGGCAATATACACATTGAATTTCTATCTTAGCACAAAATGTCTGCCGATATAAATATCCTGACAGCTGGTCAGTGGTTACTTAGGTTAGCCCAATCTGGAATTTCTCTCCATATGTAAAAAATATATAATTTGAAAACGTAACAAATGTTTAGTCTTTTTCACTCTAACAGCCACAAGTGTCCCAGAGCTCCATCAGGAAGGTGGTGAGAATGGACAAATTCGTACTGCATCTCCACTCATGCAGATTGAAGGCTTCCTGTCTGCACTAACAAATGCCAACCAAGATGGTAGAGTCATCATTCAGCAACAAGGTGTGATTTCAAAGCAGACCTGTAAACAGAAAATTCTTTTACATTAACCAGCAGAATATAAACAGCCGTGTGCATATTGTGATCTATTGTTGATCTATTAAAATTTTTGATCTATTAAAACTAAGAAAGTAAAATTCCATAACGTGTCTTAGAACTTATGTAGAGATCAGAAAACAGGATATGTCTTGGTTAAGTACCCCAAATGCTTCTGGCATAATGAGCACAGCGGCACATCCAAAACTGAGCCAAATAACAACACACTTCATTATATAGCATTCTCAACTATTGTAAAAATGGAATCAGAAACAAATTTTTATTTTAAGTTCTGTTGATTAAAATAAAGGGGTTTTTAGGTTTTCCATACATCTTAATTTTGATTACTACCTGGTGGTCTTTCTAGTATTTGTACAGGTAATACAGTTTGAAGATACATTTATATTAACTAGAAAGGATACCTCTGATGGCCCCATTACCATTATCTCCTTGTACCCAGCATTTTAAATTTGTGTGATATCTGTATCAGTTACTGGATACTGGACTCCTCATTCTCCAGATGGTTATTAAAGTTATATTCAAATTTCCAAAGTATGGCTGAGAATAATTGCAGTCTAACATTAATTGTATAACCTAAGTCTCACTGAAATCTCTGATTCTAGTTCTCATAGGCCTAGCATTTAGGCTCTAACTCGCATAACCTTGAATAGCCCTAATATCCCAACAGAGCTTCACTATTTTGACTGCTGCATTTTCAGCCTTACTAAAAGTGTTGGGTGTGAGCAAGTTATCTGGTGTTACCTGGATAACAACATTATTGTAGATGCTGTGGATGACTACAACTACAATCATACTCAGCCATGCTCTGCATTATAATAAACATAATTGAAGGAGTAATTTTGCCACTCATTATTGGGATTTCAACATTTAAGATTACTTGAATTAATGTTGTGCGCCACTTTTGGCCATTAATATATCTGGGGACATTGGTGGGTCAGTTTTGCAATAGCCTTTCTTCTGATTGAAGGGATATCTTCGCAGAGAAGAAAATAGCTGATTGTGCTTACAAGCATTGTACTCAAAATAATGGACCCAAATACTGCTCCCTGAAACCAGTGAAGAATATTTTGATGCAGAGTGCTGGAAATGAGGTTGCAGACCTATAGCTGTCAGGATGGTCACATGACTACTGCGAGACCATGTGGCCTGCTCACCATACTAAAACCTGGTTAGCAATGATTTTATTTTTCTAAGTTATACTGCTTGGAACAGATTTAAGCTTCTGTTTGAACTGGGCATGTTTCCCATTGTTGGTGACCATGCTAAATTCATTTGGATTAAATTTGACTATTTTTCTGTTTTGTTTCTATCTGTGATGTGTTTAGATGTGTAAATTGTAGTGGGTATTTTGTGAACCGTTCTGAAATGCTGTTTCTCTGTCTTTGCAGGTACGGTGGCCCAGAGCACTCTTAAATTTCTTATGCTTAATCCAGCGGTGCACTTTGCAGAGGTTCTGAAGGAGTGTCGGTCTGTTATCATTGCTGGAGGGACAATGCAGCCAGTAAGTAGCCACTATCATGTGGAGGTGATTTGGGATTTTTTCTTACAGCCATAACTTTAGCATGAAATAACTAATCTTGCTGAAATTTGGCAGATTTCCTTGGATGGATAGTTGCTACAAAATTGAAAAATTTAAGTGAATTGATAAGGTTTTTATTTTTTTATTTTATAAGAATGAAAAAACAGGGTTTTGCATTTAAAATCTCTTAGGCTTAACATTGGAGGTTTAGCCAGGTCTACAAACAGCTGCACAGATGTAAAGGCTAGTGGCTTTTGCGTAGGTGCAAAAGTTATTTGCAAAAAAACAAAACTATGATGTTCTTTAGAACCATAACAATGGTGGTGCACATACTTAGCGGAGACATATTAGGAGTTTACCTTTCTTCCTGTTCACAAATGGCAACCATGTTCTCATTCCTCAGAGCTTCATCTCAGAAGATTTAGACACCAGGGGAACTCTCTGGTGATCTGTGTCTGACAGGTAGGGTAGAGCTGGTCAGGAGATATCTCTTCTGACTGTCCTGATATGGGAAGTTCAGATGGTGACACCTCAAAGACTTTGTATAGTATGCTCTCCCTGTATTCCGGTCCCATGCTGTGTAGATCTGTCGTAACCTTAGTGTGCCTTCTTATACGCCTAGTGTGCCTTTCTATACCAGTCTGCGTTCTCCCTTATACCAGTTTGCTCTGTTATACTCCCTGATGTGCCCTCTTATGAATTTCCATTGTGTCCTGTTATACTCCCAGTGTGCCCTGTTATCCCCCAGTATATTGGTATTCTCTTGTTCCAGGCATTGTGTCCTGTTATAATCCCCCAGTATGCCCTTTTAAACCACCGAGTGTACTCTTATACCATTCCCAGTGTTTCCTTTTATACCACCTAGTGTGTCCATTTAAACCCTCTCCACTGTGCCATACTATAGTCTCCTTAATGCCCCAGTTCATACCCCTGGGTTCTATACCCTTCCCAGTGTGACCTCTTATTCTCTCCCTAGTGTGCTTGCTTCTTTAGTAGGCCCCCTTAACCCCTCCATTTCCTTCTCCATTGGGCCAATTGTTGTCTCCAATACACTCCCCACTGTGTCCACTTAGACCACCTTGTGTGCTCTCTTATACCATATAGTGTGTCCTTGTGTACCCTCTCCACGGTGCTGTCATGGTCTCCCCAAGTGTGGCTTCTTATATTCTCCACAGCGCAAATCTAGTTCCTCATTGTGCAACTTGTGTGCCACATATGTGTCACTGGTGGCTCACAGTAAGCCACATTAAACACACATGATCATACTATTGGTGGCATGCTGTCCTGCACGAGAGTTGTGAAGTAGTTATACTCCACACCTGTATCCTAACTTTGCACTACCCCATACTTTAGTGCAGCTGAGCAGCACCAAGACAGAAGGTATTCAATCTCCCAGAGAGTCAGATTTGTGCATCAAGCCTGCACTGTGAGGATAGGAAGTAGGAACTTGACATCATCTCCACTGAACACTGCAAACCATGCAGAGGATATTAAATCCACTCTCTCGGTACTGCCTGGTTTACTTACAAAGAGGGTAGGTAAGAGAGGATAGGATGTGTATAGAAGGACACACAACGGAGGGAACAAATAGAATGAGGAGTGAGCAGAGCATGTGTTTAGACATACAAAATCTCAAATAATAAACTTTGAATACAATAAATTATGGTTAGGGAAGGAACCACAAGGGCTATATGGGCAGAGGACACAAGTAAAATAAGGGGGAGATATGTGAAGGGGACGCCAGGTGGGATATGACAAAAAGGGGACAAAAGTAGGGTAAGGGGGGTTTTCTGATTAGGAGGATATGTACAGGAGATACAAGTAAGGTCCCTCACTGTACCTACTTGCTTCACTAACTCAGAACAGGCCGTAACACTGTGGTAACTATATACAAGTAGCTTCTACTTCTTCCAATGTAAAATGGTGATATTAACCGTAAACCATACTTGCCAGGGAATCTGATATTCCAAGTATAATGCTTGAAAACAGTAATTGGAGGGAGCCTGTGGTGCTGTGGCATAGACTTAAATTAATTGACTAATTCATTTTTATATATTTTTTTTATATATATTCTTTATTTTATATTGGCAAGACAGCACATGCCAAATGGCACATTGCGCTGCCGTATACAAATGATTTGTCAAGTCTATACAGGAAAGATTAGGTGTCACAGCACCCATACAATAACGAGTAGGGTATTGCATAGCATCATTATATAAAATCAGTCGGGAAAAACACTTTTCATGTTGTAGATAGTTCATACCGTTATACTGTAACTAATTTGCCAGTAGAATGTAACCGATTTGCTGATTGGGTCATCCGTCAATAAATTTTGTTTAAATTGAACATAGAGTCATACATCTAAGGCAAAGATAAAGACAAGGTGCAACCGCCTTTGTAGTTGTGGCCGATGTATGAAACAAGGATCTAGCTAATGAGTCACCTACTGGAGGTGTGTCGCGTTGTATCATGCTTTAATAAAAAACTGTGACTTGCATGACTTTGTGGAGACAGTAGATATCAGTATTTACAGGAAGAGAGAAGCAGGACAGAACGAGTAAAGAAAGATAGGTAAAAAGAGAGGTGGGGTAAAAAGAGAGGCAGAGGGCTCCTGGCCCCAGCGGGAGCCCAGGCTGCGCAACCCTTTACCCGCTCTCTGTCCCCTTGGTCCATTCTAACAAGGGGGGGAGCAGCTGGTTCCGCCAGTGTGGGTGGGGGGGACTTCAGGGCGGAGGTGTGGCTCCACATGCCCACCAAATCATCCACTCAAGTCGCTTATGTCACTTTGCAACCAGGGCTCCCAGATTTTTTTGAACTTTTTAAAAGAACCTCGGGTAATAGCAGTCAATTTGTCCAAAAGGCAGGTATCTTTTATTTTTTTGGATAACTAGGGACGTAGGGGAATGTCTTGTGTGAGCCAATTTTGCACTAAGGCTTGTCTGGCAGCCAGAGTCCGTTTATGTAGCAGTTTATGTAGCCAGTCGGTGCCCTTTAGAGTCTCCCTCAAGTCGTTTTCCCATTGCTCTACATATGTCAGTTTGCCCCATTGTGTAGTATTGGATGCTGTGTGTGTGTTTGTGTGTTTGTGTGTGTGTATATGAGGAGGAGATCAAACCCCCGTGCATCAACTCCTGGAGGCACATGCGTTCAAGCCCCGTCATGCGTATTTTGGAGATTTCTTTTATGTGAGTTTGGTTGACAAAATCTTTGATCTGGAGATATTGGAAGATATATCTCCTGGTCTAAGGGTTGTCCTCCCTAAAAGTTCGTCAAACGTAACTATTTTGTCCCGGCGGTCATGTGGCACAGTTTCTGAAGGCTCCAAATTTTTGAAGTCCCGGGCTCTCATTCCCAGAGGGAAGTCCCTGTTCCTGAATAAGGGAAGAATTAGGGAGGGTGTGTTTGTTAAGCCATGTTTCATGCATATTTATCCCATATTCGGATGGAATTCAGAATTGCCAGGCATTCCATGCGCAGCAGAGCCCTGTGTTCCTTGGGCAGCCATATATAGTATTGGGATAGGTCTGACCCCATGAACAATCCACCCATTTCCTCTCGCCTGGCATTTCCACATCGCTACCTGTGAATGTTGCCTGGCTAGGTAGTAATAACAGAGGTTTGGTAGTCCCAAACCCCCAGCAGTGGCTTTGCTACAATATAGTATGTTGTTTCGTGATACTCTGTGGCGTTTTTATGCCACATGAAGTTCCCAATTGTCTTTTGCAGTGGCGCAAGGTCCGATTTCTTCATGGGAACTGGGAGGTCCTGGAACAAGAAGAGGATGTGTGGGAGAATATTCATTTCCACTGAGTTTATTCTACCGATCCACAAAATCGGCTTACCCACCCATTTATCTAAGGATTAATTCATTTCAAAGGAACACTCCAGTGGGAAAATATACATTTTTATATACACCCAAAGAAAACATGATTGTAATTATTTTTGCATGTTTTCTTTGTGGGTTTATGCAGTGTACTGCAAGCCCTCGCTCCCTTCCATCTATACAGGAAATATTAGGTGTCACAGCACCCATACAATAATGAGTAGGGTCTATGCTGGGGAATGTCAGACAGATCCTTCACATGGAAAAGCCTTGTGAATCTGCCATGTATGAGTGCGGCTGTATAAAACACTGACTTTTCAGTGAGCTATATTACAGCCTTTTTAAGTCTTTCAAAGGTAGGCACTTTGGGAAAATGCCTGTCCCTAGAGCTTGGCTCCATGAACCCAAACTAGCAGGATTAAAATACTTCCAGACTATTTGATTGACAGTCGGGGAGGTGTATTGGGATGCAATTATAAAAGTGCTGATTTCTAATTAAATCAGCGCTTTTATAGACTGGGAAAAAAGGGACACATTCTTCACATATAGAGCACACTTCTGCTTTGTGTTTCTAGTATTCTTTTATAAAATATGATGTGTGTGTGTGTGTGTGTGTGTGTATATATATATATATAATATAGATAGATAGATATCTTCTGCTTAGGGATATAGAGTATACGTCGCTCCAAATTTACTGCTAACTCGGTGCCTCCCTTGGTATAGGAGAGTGGTCTGGGAGTCCAGTCCATTGTGGTCTTCTGGAGTTGGCAAAACCTTTACTGGCTCTTGTGGTAATTTAGAACTTACATTGTGACTAACATGGATTATTTACTAAATTGAGAATTCAATGTGTGTTTCAAATTTAAGGTGAGAACAGCTGAACTGAAAGCATAGCTGAGTTAGAGAATTTTTCCACTTTGAATTCTCTATTTAATGAATAACCCTGTAAGACTCATGACATATCACTGCATAACTTGTAAGTAGGGTTACTGAACACCATAATCATATATTTTCAATTAATCATAATTATTAAATTATTATTATTAGTCCATTAGATACAGCATAGGAAGGTCACAAAATGGAAGCTAAACACATTTGGTAACAGTTTGCATAAAAATGAATATTATGGTCTATAAAGTGGTATTATGCCATGTTTCTTTGACAGCTGACCTTAATGTGACATGAACACATTTTACAGCCATATACAATCAGTGCCATAGTCCTAGACCAGAGTATGTACCTGGTATGAAGAAACTAAGAATATCTTAACTCATTTTCAGATTGAAGTCATTCTGTGCAGCTGCTGCAAGAGTAGATATACATTATTTAAAGCATATGTAAATTTGGGCTATAAAGAATGAGTGTGCCATGGCCCTTCTGTAGTGCATGTATGCATGGCAGTTAATGGGGCACTATGATGGGCATTGTTTGGATGCAGGGATTAAAGATGACTGTGTGCTATGGCAATCAAATTAGGTCAGTACCTAGGGTCCAGAATGCAATTCCATGGTAACCTGAAACAAGCCTTGTGCTGGATCGTTGGGTATAGATAGGTTAGTGGAGTTCAAGGGCCCACATTACTTGTTTTATTGTGGTGCAGATTAAATGTATTTTTATTGCTTATATAAATCATGGAGGTATTGACAAAGTCCTTTAATAAATATAAATAAATATAGTAATAAATAATAATAGTTTTCCACCTAATCAGTAATTTTGTTTTCTCTATAGCAAACTTTGTTATAGAATGCATGTGATTTAAATGTCATGCTGTTTATAGGGGATTATGAAGAAACCATTAACCCCTAGGGAATAGCTTCCCAAGCATAGCCGTGTGCTATATTTATGTTAATAAAACATTAATCATTGCTAACTAGTACTATTTTAATTAACAATTAAGGACTATTGATCTGATGTAACGCCTCATCTTATTTGCAACAGATTTTTATTAATTTTTATTTTCCTCTGCCATTTTCACAAGCCTGTATAATGGATTAGCATCATTAATCACATTTTGCACAAAGTACCCTTCATTTATGCTGCTGGTATAATTGTATCTAAAATGTTCAACATAGGAAGCTTGTTCACAGTTTGGGCTGTGTAACCTTTAGAGTGCCATCCTTAAGACCAATTCCTTTCTCAGCCTCTTGTACCAAGAAGTTAAACTGCTAATGAGTTTCTCTGTCCTCACTCACAGTACAGCGCCAGCTAATTTAGACAATAGCTATGTTAAAAAATGTTGTGTTAAGTTGTTAGCTCGAAAAAGGTTACAGAAGGCATAGCATCACCATAGTGAAAACACATCAAGATAGTACAAAATGGGGGGAAAAAACAATTACGCTACCCACACTTTTTTTTATATCACAAATGTCAGGATTATACATCGGTTTTGATTTGTGTAAAAAAAAAAAAATTGTAAGCGAAAAGAAAGTAAAATCCTGAGAGTGGGAGGAATAGAGAAGAGATAATATAAATAGATCACAAAAGGGAAGGTAAACTAGAGGGGTTAAGAATAGGAAGGAAGGAGTGAAGGAAGACTTGTGGAACTGTGCACATGAGTGAGGGATGGGAAGGCCAATTGAAATTTGAGCAGATACATTTTTCTGTGTCCAAAGGACCTAGACTTCATTAAATGGGCCGAATGTATCATAAAGCTGGTCAGTCACAATGTATAGTCTGACTGAAAGTAAACAATGCTGTGATGTAACATCAACGTTATTTTAAACAACTACACATGTGGATTCCCAGCTTGGCACTCTCCTATTTTACAACCATTTCTGGGTAACTCTGTACTCTTTAGTTCTGTGTTATTTTAACCTGTAAGATGGCTTGAGTTCTGTCCCTATTTCCTTCGTCTCTCAGGCATTGTCTGTTCTGCCTCTTACATGTTTGGTGAGCATTATCTTTTATTTATTTTTTTGTGTGTTGACATAAAGGAACTTGATTAAATTTGAATTACATAAAAATAACGCAACCAAACATGGGACGCCCTCTGTTTGCCCAGTAGTATTTGATACAATTCCCAGGATGGCATAACTGAGTGGTCTTCATAGCTTGCAAAATAAAAACAAATCAAATTAGGTGTGCATTTACTAAAATGTGAACAAATATTGTCAGCTCTACACACAGGGTATTTCAGAAATGTATTTTTTTTCAAAATAAAGGCATAACCTTTGTTTATTAACCAGATATCTCGAGTTAGATTTTGAAAAATCCTCCTTGGGCACAGAAACTCGATAAATCAAGTTTTCACAACTATCACAGAGTTCCCAGCTTGACATTTAAATGAGCACATTTTCAGCTAGATGAAGTGGTGTTGCCTCAAGTGACCTTTTAATGTCCATTTTATATATATGAACTAGGTGCACCCTTTGCTTGATTTATAGATGTCTTATCCACGTGGCTTTATTTGCAGATATCAGATTTCAAACAACAGCTTCTCATATCAGCTGGTCTCAACCAGGACCGGATTGTTGAGTTCTCTTGTGGTGAGTTGCTCCATATCTATGCTCCAACATATGCTAGTACCTGCTTTTATACCTTACTGTCGTCAAACAAACCTGCATGTGCCTCAGCCAGTAACAACGAAGCTTGCTGGAGTTGTTTCTTATTAGGTGATACATTACTAATCACACTGATCATTGTTCTCCAACTTTAATACTTGTATTATATCTTAGAAACTATCTCATAAAACAACTAACTAATGAGTTTCTTCTGTTTTCAACATTAGGTCATGTGATTCCTCCTGAAAATATACTACCCATAGTGCTGTGCACAGGACCAACCAATCAGCAGCTGGAATTCACTTATCAGAAGAGAGATTTGCCAGAGATGGTAGATGTTATTCCTTCTATAGTTTGTATTCCGCTTACACAACTATTCTTGGGGTTTTTTGTTAATATGAAAAATGTTCAGCCAAGAACATGTCTGAAATAACCAGTAGCTTTTTTTTAACTGGTAACATTAAACCAAGATGTTCCATGATCTGATAATAATTTAAAAATGTTCATCTATAACAGTACAAAAAGTAGGTAAAACTTTACCTAGTTGATAACATACTTGTTATCTTTGTTCATTTTGTGGCTTAACATTTATACTGCTGCTCATTATTTAGCTTTATTTGCAGATCTTTGTTAAAAGGGTTACTCTAATCATCATAACCACTACAACCGCTGTAATAATTATGATGCTAGGAGTACCATATCCCAGTTTGCCCCCTTACCTGGGTCCCTGCTAGATTCTGATGCTGCCTGGAGGTCTATTGATGCACTTCCGGTTTCTGCAAAGCCCTGGAAGCTGCAACTGTCGCTAATGAATGCAATTCTGTGCACTGAAAGTTATGGGCTGTGTGGTGACAGCCAAGTGATGCTGGCATAGTTACACCTTCAGTAGTATTTAAACTCCCTATGTGCAGAGTTTCATAGTGAAACTCTACACATACATACTCAAGGCAACATGACCTTGAACTTCAAATCACCGAAATGAGTCTTTAACTGCTTTATTACTGGGCTCATACATTACAGTACCCATATTCTATGCATACTAGTATTTACAACTGATATTGTTCTATTACTATCTTCCCTACAAGTTATAGTGTAATTTCCCTTCTGCAGATGGATGAGGTTGGTCGAGTCCTGACAAACCTGTGTAATGTGGTCCCAGGAGGGCTTGTCTGCTTTTTCCCTTCCTATGAGTACCAGAAGCGTGTTCAGGATCACTGGGAGAAGACTGGGGTCATAAAACGTCTGGGACTAAAGAAAAAGGTAGTTGTTTCATGAATGTGTGTGTTCCACCAATTTCTCCAGTTTCAGGTTTTTGCAGGTTTATGTTTAGCCCTTTCCTACAAAAGGATGGATATATAAATATTTGATGTGAAATGAAAGCCCTGTTTCTCCTGAACTAAATGATACATAATAAGTGTGGGTGCACTAAATATGAAAGTGGTGAATTTATGATTGAACAAACATATAGCGCAAATTCCTGGTTTTGTTTTGGTTTAGAACTTGTATAATTGTCTCCGTCCTTAAAGTATTAATGGAAGTATGAACTTGGTAAGAATGAGATGTTGAGTGACTTACAATGGTACCTATAAAGCTGTAGCATGGTTGGAATTGAATAAGGTGTTTTGGGAGTATCTACTATTCGGTGATTGCTGAGATAAAAATGGAAAAAAACAAACATGGACTGGACATTATGGAGTAGAACATTGGGCTGGAAGGGGCTTTTTTTCTGCTGCAGCTTAACCTGTAGTTTATATCCATAACAGATATTCCAGGAACCAAAGAAGGCAAATCAAGTGGACCAGGTTCTAGCTGAGTATTCCAAATGCATCAAGGTAAGAAATAAGACACAGACGGTGGTAAGCTCCTGGAATTTTAAAAAGGCAGAGAGAGAGTGAAAGTAATATGTCATCTCAGTGATCATTAGAGATGGGAGATGGGGGGGAGAGGGGCTTGTTTTCTGCTTGTTTTACCAAGAAGTGTTATGTGTCTTAAAGGACCTCTCTAGGCACCCAGACCACTTCAGCTTAATGAAGTGGTCTGGGTGCCAGGTCCCTCTAGGATTAACCCCCTTTTTTTTTTATAAACATAGCAGTTTCAGAGAAACTGCTATGTTTATAAATGGGTTAATCCAGCCTCCAAATCCTCTAGAGGCTGTCTCATTGACAGCCGCTAGAGGCGCTTGCGTGCTTCTCACTATGAAAATCACAGTGAGAACACGCAAGCGTCCATAGGAAAGCATTGTAAATTCAGCATGCGCATTCAGCCGAAGAGAAGGATCGGAGGCGGAGAGGAGAAGGAGAGCTCCCCTCCCGGCGCTGGAAAAAAGGTAAGATTTAACCCTTTCCTCTCCCCAGAGCCCGGCGGGAGGGGGACCCTGAGGGTGGGGGCACCCTCAGGGCACTATAGTGCCAGGAAAACGAGTATTTTTTCCTGGCACTATAGTGGTCCTTTAAGAGTAAGGTAGATTTATTATTATAGTAAAACTTTATTTTGAAAAGTTATTTTTTCTTTTGTGCTGCACTTTTCAGCAAATGTTTCTGACAGAATGGCTGGGTCTGTCTCTAAATCACCTCCCAGTCCCTTCACAGATTACAGCTGAGGACAGAGAGATGTGTGAGTTTATTGCAACGTGTTCCCACCACAGGACATATTTACTTACTAATAATATTGGCTGAAAAAAAAGAATCAAGTCAATCTAGTCCAGCCTCTTACTCATCTCTGTTGCTGCTGTTGATGCAAAAGAAGAAGAAAACGTTGGAAGCCGTTTTTCTATTTTGCTACAAAGTGGGGGGAAATTCCAGCCACATCAACAAACTGTTACCCCACGTACAGGAAAATATGAGAAGGAAACTCTTTAGGCATTAAACCACTTCCAGTAAATGTAAATTTATTTGGAGGCAAACACGTGCTAGTGCCTGGCTATATAGCATGGGAAATGTTAACCAATGTCTGCAATGCTAAAGCGTGCCATCATTCTGTATTATTTTAGGATATTAACGTGTGCAGTAGTGTGGAATAGTGTCTATCTGTATTCAGTGTATTGTGAATACTGAGTGGCCATTTGTTTGTCCCGATAGCACAGTTGCCAGTCTGGGGGACTTCTGACAGGTGCGCTGCTATTTTCTGTAGTTGGAGGAAAGATGAGCGAAGGGATTAACTTTTCGGATGACTTGGGCAGGTATGTCATATTGAATCTGCTGGAGGCCCATCACAGGTTCTATTTCTAATAAGTGTTTACCAGAAGAGATCAGTGCCTTCATTAACCACTCACAACTTGGACTAGTGTTTCTGCTCTCCTAATTATTGTCTCTCCCTGCTACAGGTGTGTTGTAATGGTAGGCATGCCATATCCCAATATACGATCCCCAGAACTTCAGGAAAAGATGTCGTATCTGGATCACACTCTGGTAATAGGAATCAGAGTCTCTTGTTGGGTGTAATGGGTTTAACTTTCCTTTCTGCTCACTATCCAATTTATATACAAATGTACATAATAGGGGTTTCCTGCATCCCAGTTTGTATCAACCTCTGTCTCAGGATTACCGGTAACTTGCAGCACTCTTGCTCTAAATCTTATTGGGTTTAGAATGCATGATGGGACCTTATTTTCCATCATAGTACTTCATTAAGATATGTTATCTTTACATGTTCACTTTCACAGCCTAAGACAAATGGTGTGTCCCCAGGAAAAATCCTGATTGAAAACCTATGCATGAAAGCTGTGAATCAGTCCATTGGTAAGTTCACATTCTGCACAGATTTGAATTTAAGGGCCACTCGAAGCACCAAAACCTATGCTGTCCCTTTTCTGTTACACTGTAAAATGTTGTGAAAACAGAGGGCTACACACGGACGTGCATAAATTGAGTGCTGCTAGGGCTAATTCATACAATACATAAGACCCAGCACACTCACTCGTCCACTAAACAGCAACTTCAAAGCTCAAATTTTTATTTTTATTTTTTTAAAACATTTTTAAAATGCCCAACCTAGATAAAAAATAATGGGGGTTTAGTTACATCATATGATCATACATTACATAAGCCACAACGCCAATAAAATATTTGGCAGGTCCTACACTAACAGTCTAATGTCTGCTCTTGTGAAATTAACCCACTTACTTGGGGAAAATATTTTCATCTGGGGCTCTCTGCAGTACCAAGTTAAATAGGGCACTGGAATGAGGCACCTTTTTGTGTAGATTAGGTTGTTGTTGTTTTTTTAACTAATAAAGTCTGTGAGCTTTGAAGTTGCTGTTTAGTGGATAAGTGAGTGATTTGGATTTTGTACACTGTAAAATGTTGTAATTTCTGAGAAAGTGCTACAAAAAAGCCTTACATTTTCAAAGGTCCTCCTGTTCAGTATTCTTAAAAGCCTAATCCCACCAAATTATGCTAATGATTAATATTGTTTTGCATCACCTGCATATACCAAATTGGACTTTGAGAAGTTCTTCTTGAGCGTAGAAACTCAATAATTCATGCTTCCACAACTATCACAGCATTCCTTGCTTGACATGCAAATGAGCACAGACAGACATTGTGTTCCAGAAAAAGAAAAAACATTCTGACGTTAAATACATTCATTTTTAACGTTGAAAGTATTCCTTTAAACACTAAGCTAAGTAAAAAAAAAAAAATTCCAATAGGAGACAATGTTGGCATTTCAGAGGTTCATTCAACTTCTTAACATCTACTTTTTATTTAAAGTTACTTTGGAACCTTAACTATGGATTTTTAGAAAAATTAAACACTATGCACATTTAGTGTTTACAAACAGTGCAATGTTTAAGCAAGATTGTGCTCTTAGCAAGAGAACCTGAGCAGCAGAAAGCGAATGAAGAATGCGTGTGCACATTTCAATAAATTGCTAAAACCATGACCTGCATGCGTAGATAGAGAAACAAAGGCAACATATCTGTTTCCTCTCCAACATATGGACTTTTTTACTTTTTAAAAGGCATGTGATTTCAAATGATACATTTGTCTGAATATGGTAACTGACCTGAAATGCACCTGCTAACTTAGCTTGGCTATAACTCTGGATTAAACTAAGCTTGAGAAACCTAAGCACCAGGCAGAGACGTAACTAAAAACCACGGGGCCCCAATGCGAAAATTGCCCTGTGGCACCCCCATTCATCTACCTCCTACCCCACACGTCCCCGCAACCCCCCACACATGCAGACAAACAGATGCACAATCATGCAGACACATACAGACATATACACACGTACACACACACAAATTATTAATATTAAATGTCCACCCAGCCTCCCTACCTGGAGAGCTAGCGTAGATCTGTCCCTGGGGTTCCATGGGTTTCCTGTCAGCTGCATCTGACAGGAACTCTGCTGCCCGCCAGGGGGTCCATTAGGTGGCAAGTGGGCCACCTCTTGGGCCCCCCTATGACAGGGGGAACACTGAGGGGGCGGCATCTTGGCGGCCCACGGTCACAGGGGTCTTACCTGATTTTTAAATATAAACTTTCTGCATTTCACATTGAAACCACCTCTAGATGATGTAGGTGTGGGTTGGGAACAAAGAGGCAAGGAGGTGACCTCACTGGCTTGCAGATTATTGCAAGTATATGTAATCAATTTCAGCTAGTGCTTTTCTATATGTGCCTATGAAGGTTTACAATAATCTTTCTTTAGGGAGGGCAATCCGACACAGTGGAGATTATGCCAGTATTGTGTTATTAGACCACAGATACTCCCGTCCTGCAATCCTCGGCAAATTGCCCCAGTGGATCCGCAGCAGCACAGAAGTGAAGACTTCATTTGGAGCAGCTTTCGCAACAATACGGAAGGTTTGCTTTTTATTTTATTGTACCTGTCTGTATGTGCAGTTTAACGACTTGTTTTTCTCTTTTGCACTAAATTTCCAGGCATTGATCATTTTACATTGATGTCCTCTTAAACCAGTAAATAGCTGAGATCACTGAGCCAACCCAGATTTTTTGTTTCAGGAAAATACATATGGGTGTTAATTGACAAATATAATTACCAATATGGATACCGCACTCTCCTGGATCCCAGGGTGCAACTGGGCCTGAGGTTGGCCAATCCTCACTCACAGTGTGATTTGCAAAAAAAAAGTAATTATGGTCCAGGCATTCAAGTTTAATCCAGTGGGCAGACAAAGGCCCTGTTGTAGGCAGAAACCTTGTTTCTACTTTGCTCTAATAAATCTAGAAAGATAAGTCCTGCGCTCACTCCCATCACCCCTGGGCGGCAGCAATGACTACAGTACACATCAGCCCCAATATATATATATATATAGTAAAAACCAAATAAAGACAAATTACCTGCGCTCTCTCCTTAATCCCTATGTATATTTTAACAAATAAATCTGCCCACTGGATTGAATTTGAGTGCCTGGATCATCATTACTTTTTTTTAAATTTACAAATATAGTCACTTGTTCTTTAAATAAATAAAAAGAATGCTTGTGCAAGCAAATAGGGGCATAATACCCTTAGCATTCTTGCTCATTTGATGCCTGGCGGGTCCTTTAAATTCCTCCCATATCCAAACTATTCTGTAATGTATCGGCTCCCGATGTTTTTGCTTGACCTGCCTGATTCTGTATGGTCACTGAATCTCTTTCTTTTATGCCTGCAGTTTTTTCAGCAGAAGAAATTGATTTCGGAGTCCATTTCCTGAGCAGTTTTGAATCACTGGAGGAGCTTTGGTCGCCGTCAGAAAGCAAAACCTTGTGTACATAGTTCTAGACATGTTTGTTTAAAGTTATATTTAAAGTTACAATTTGTATTAAAACTATTTCTTACAAACTTGAAGCCAGCATCCGGTTTGCATTACTTCTAATTTCTGCAACATACTTCATATACATGAAATGGCATGGATCTAAATCAATAAACTTTGGTCATTACCTTCTCCTTAATAGGAGATACAATATATAATGCTATGGAACAGGACTATTTTTGCTTTTATTGGTCCAGTAAGTATGTAATTTATAGCAGATGCTGGGGTTGCCATGAATGTTTTCTCATTTGACATTTATTGTCGGAGATCAAGGTTTAGCTGTAGGATTTTTTTTTTTTTTTTCACCTATGAAATCAGGCAGCGGTTCATGAAACAATCTTCACAAATGTGAAAACTAAGATAAAATTAGCTGATCTGGAATTTTTTTCCAAAATCTACTATAGTCACATCTTGGCTATTTTTGTCTCCACTTAAAAATACCTCGCAAAAAAATGGGAGTTTAGTAAATAACAATGTCACTAGGTTTTTTTCACAGTCTGGTAACACATCTAAACTTTGTCTGCAGATCCCTTAAAATACCCCTTCGTATAGGGGTATTACCCTTTTAAGCAGATTTCACATTCAGAGTTGGTAATGCACATTTTATCTGTATTGATATACCTAGTCTAGAAACCGTTTACTAGCATAAATGGACAGACGCCATCTAGAAACCAGTTACCAGTTTACTAGCACAAATGGACAGACGCTGTCTGGAAACCAGTTACCAGTTTACTGGCACAAATGGACAGACGCCGTCTGGAAACCAGTTACCAGTTTACTGGCACAAATGGACAGATGCCGTCTAGAAACCAGTTACCAGTTTACTGGCACAAATGGACAGACGCTGTCAAAATGCTCCCAGTCAATCCCTGTCGTGGCTTCAAATGAGTTAACTGCAACATTCAAAGACTTCCTGCTTCTATTTAAATTATACTTTGTGTAATCAGAATTTGATATATTTTTTGGTTTGTCATTTTAAAGAGCAATTATAGTTAGATCAGGAGAATGAAGCACCACTTCTTGTCAGTTTTCACAGTGAGGGTACTTAGGGCTTCCATCATGCTCCCTTACAGTCTTTATCAGAAGTTTTTTATTTTGTTATAGCATTTCTGTGTAAAATTTTTGTAGAAAAGGGACTTAAAAGCATTATGGGAATGCAGAGCATAAAGTAATCCGTATATAAAGTGAGAATAATCGTAGGAAAAGGATTAGTGATAAAGAAAAAGGTGTTTAGAGTTGAGCGCTTCCCCATGACATTGTGTAGCCCCATAAGCAAATTAGTTAATACAGTGGCACATAATCACACTTGGTAACTTACATATTCCATTTCTCCAGAGAACTCCCCTATTTTCCTCTTATTTCAGCACACCTTAAGGTACTCCTTGCCCGTCCTCTAGATTCTATATTCACTAGTGCAGCAACTTTTGCACCTCTTGTTTCTGTCCACCTTAAATGTTTTGTTTTATAGAGTTTACCTTATTAGAGTATGATCATTGGAAGGGGACAATCTCATCGCCAGAATTAGGGCTGGCTGATGGAAAGACGGTGGGGCTTCTAATTTCTGAGTATGTAATAGGCAGAGCAACACTGTTTCCAGATATCAGAATTATTAAATGGACTAAAACAAAGGGTGAGTTAGAAGCCGACCGCCTCCCTCCCCCCCCTTTTTTTTTCTTCATTAACACATTTCCAGGCAATTCTGTTGGCACAATACATAGATAAACGTAGCTTAGACCAAAACAAATTTTGTCCATTTATAAATACATATAAATACAGTGAGGGAAAAAAAGTGAATCTAGGGATCTCACTCACATTTACCAGAGGCCCCTTCACCTCTGGCACTGCGTTTAAACAAATACATTTCAGAGGGAATATGTCCCACGTATTTAAAAAAAACTATTAGAACTGCTTACTTTGCAAGTGGTGAGTTTCCTACTAAGATAACCCACAATATTGCGAGGTACAGCTGTCTGTAGTCAAACACATTAAGTTCCTTCTGGGTTCTGAGGTTCCAGATCACGTGATGTCTACTGTGGTGCGCTTCCGCCTTCCTCACCACTTATTTATAATTAAGTCTGATATTATGCCACTGGGTTTCTGGTCACTCTTGTTCTCCCCTTGTCGAAGAGCAGAAGATAGCTATGTTGTGTAGCTGAATACCCTGCAATATGTGGGACATATTCCCTCACAATTGGTGCGGCTTAAACAGAGTCAAGGGTGAAGGGTCTCTGGTATATGTGTGTGAGATCCCTTGATTCACTTTTTTCCCCACTGTATTTATATTATATAGGTTACAGATGGTCTTCTATACTTTATTACTTTTCACAGATCATAATTTTATGAAGATTAGTAAGTATATTTCTGATCGCACCACTGTTGTATTAGGTATTTTATTTTTTGGGGCGAGTGCTGCTGGATTGCATACACATTATGTTTTTGTGCATAGTTCTTTGATTTTGAGCACCTGCCACTTTTTTCGTTTTTTGGAATTTCCATTCAACCAAATGTAATGCAGCAAGTGATGGCAATTCGTTTTGTTTTTGAAAGCGGATAAGTCCCTAGTTTGGGTACACTTATGTAAGATTGCCGTATTATTATTATTATTATTGCCATTTATATAGCGCCAACAGATTCCGTAGCGCTTTACAGTATTTTGAGAGGGGGGATGTAACAATAAATAGGACAATTACAAGAAAACTTACAGGAACAATAGGTTGAAGAGGACCCTGCTCAAATGAGCTTACAGACTATAGATAAAGGGTATTATATTAGGGAGGTAGCTATGTTTAGTAGATAGCTCCCTATTTTGGAATTTTTAAATATGCTAATCTCGCATAAGGATATCAAATTAGGAAAATATATAGTAAGCAACAGATCAAAATTAAGATTTAATTTATTTTTGCTCTTTCAGCGGTTTAGTGGTTAGTAGATAGTTCCCTAAGTAAATTTAGTATTGCTCTATGTAGGATACCAAATTAGGGAGCTTTTTAGTAGATATAGCTGCATTAGGAAGCTAAAGATAACAGCTCCCTAAATTGGTAGTGGAACCCTTTAATATGGATTGGTAATACCACATAGAATACCAATTTTACATGAATGAGCGAATCAAATAAAAACTTGTTTTAATGAATTAGTGCATTCCTCCATTGTGGAAGTTGGACAAATAGACAAGACAATTTTCATCTGAATTGCGATTTTTTTTTTTTTTTTTTTTTCAACCCCCAAAAAAAACTAAAGTCTAGTTTGTAATGCTCTACTTTATTTTGAATGGAATCTGTTAACTAAACTGTGTTTACAATATAAAGTATACATTATATATTTATTTTATAACTATACAGATCTATGAGCATTTAAAGAAAACAGCAGTGATAGCTGCAGAAGGAAACATGGAAAATAAGTACATTTCTAGACACTATCAAGTAGAACCTGTAATAATTACATTTATCTTTTGTTTATCATTTAGCAAATGTGCATTTTTAATAATTGCAAACAATAGTTCTACCCTAAAACCCCCCCCCCCAAAAAAAAACCTTAATCTCAGCCCACTTGTATCACATAATGGTTTCGAAAATCTGTCATTTCAAGATCTTTACACAGAAAAACTAACATTCTTTAAGTAGAAACGCAGTCGAACATTTTGCAGCTTGTAGATAAAAAATAAAATAAAAATAATAATAATAATTTGCTTTAGCCGGATTCATGCAAAGAAAAAAATAGCTGTGCTGCTGCTACCAACTTTTTTGAAACAAAAGCTATATTCAAATTAAATGTTGCCTCTTAATATGAAATAAATGTATTTTAAAAGAAAAATGCAGCCGAATCGCTTTGTAGTGCTAAAACAAAAAGATCAAAACTACACAATACGAGATTTCTTATTACTTGTTGCTGTCCTTCTAAAACAGACAAACTGTCATATTAGGCAAGTTGGGCGAAACATGTTTAGCTGCAGTAAGAGAAATAAATACTGATTGACAGCTTGGATACAGCCAGAAGCTCTAGAACCACAGGAGAAAAGTATTATTCCTGGTATGTAATTGAAAACTGTATCTGTGTGACCTGAGCTTTACTAATCACCTTAGGCACAAAATGAAATAGACGAATGTCAGGAAAGGGAAAAAATATATATTTTTTGCACATCAGATAGGAGATATAGCGTTGATGGGCCCACATAACACCCTCACTCTCCACCTTAATTCAGTGTTAATACAGTCCTGCACTGCCAGCTTGTTTGTTGAGAAGCTGCCGAAGGGCAGATACCCAAGTGAAATGCCTTGAAGTAATACTGCAAGGTCAGGGCTATGAGTCCCAGTCATCCTCATCGCCATCGACCGAGGCAGGCTGTGGCACGGGTAGAGGTGGGATTGTATCAGAAATTCGTGCAAATGCCCCAGTCGTAGCATCTCCACTTCCGTCTCCAGCAGCTGGACCCTTTCCAGAAATACCTGCAAACAAGCAAATTTGAACATTTCACTTTACATGTATATTAAAAATATTTTGATTATAAATAAAACTGGTTTATCGAATTTGGACTTTTTACCTGGAGGATTCATACTTCGGTTTCCTAGGTGGGGAAGATACCACCTAAGCCACTGATGGCGAACCGGTGGCACAGCAACGCTTCACACAGCATCGTTGGAGGACAGGAGAGCTGCAGGACCTGTCCTACATACTTACCACCACCGGACCACCAGGGATGGCTGTGTTTCTTCTCCCCCCTTCAGTTTTTTATATATCTTCAACCACCTCAACACAGCATCCCTACCCCTCCCAACACAGCACCCCGCACCCCTACCCCCCACAAACAGCACTCCTACCCCCCCACACACACACAGCACCCCTACTCCCCCCACACACACACACACACACAGCAACCCTACTCCCCCCACACACACACAGCACCCCTACCCCCCACACACACAAAGCACCCCTACACCCCCACACACACACAAAGCACCCCTACACAGCACCGCTACCTCCCCACATACAGCATCCCTCACACACACACATGCACACAGCATCCCTCAAAGCAGTATATGTGTGTGTGTATTCAGCAGACTGTGTATGTTTGTGTGTGTGTATTTAGCAGACTGTGTGTATGTTTGTATGTGTGTTTAGCGGACTGTGTGTATGTTTGTATGTGTGTGTGTGTATTTAGCGGACTGTGTGTATGTTTGTGTGTGTGTGTATTTAGCGGACTGTGTGTATGTTTGTGTGTGTGTGTATTTAGTGGACTGTGTGTATGTTTGTGTGTGTGTGTATTTAGCGGACTGTGTGTATTAAGCAGTCAGTGTGTGAATGCATTGCATTTGTTAGAGATACTAATAAATATAAGCTTAATTTTATCTATATCATTATTTAAAATTTGTATCATTGAACTCTCTGTTGTGTTTTTCTTTTAAAACAAAAGATGTTAACTAGTTCGGACAACTGTACGAATTGTTTTTTTCTAAACTTAATCCTCAGTATTCAGGTTTAATTGCTGTGATGGCACTTTGAGGGAAAAAAAGTTGGCATGTATTGCAGTTTGGGCACTCGAGCTCAAAAAGGTTCGCCATCACTGACCTAAGCTATATAGGATTAGCATAACTTTACTGTGCTATCTTCAGTTTTTATTTTCATGTTATACGCTGGTGAACACTCACTGTGATAAAAAGGCATATTGAAAGAGACCACTTCTACGAACACTGACCGGCCAAAGGTTACCTTTCCACATAAGAGTAAGACAGAGACCAAGATCATAAACAGGGATTGTAACGTCCAAGTGGATATATCTGGAGCCGATTTCAAGTTCCAGAAGATTGTAAGAACATTTTCTCTCTTTTTTTTTCTATAATCACCAGCATCAAAAATACTACATCATATTCAGTCTTATTTGCCCTCTTGTTTTGCATATTGTTCCATCATTATTTGGGGTGAAGGCACTTGTAAAGGCGCTGCCTCCCTGCATTCCCTTTCTATATCTACATACAGGGCTGGGGCAAGGATTTTTGCCGCCCTAGTCAAAAGAAAAATTTGCAGCCTACCATGTGACATCACAATGCCCCACCCATATGATGTGCCATATGAACCGCCATATGAACTAATGCCAGTGCTGCACACAGTGTGTGTTTACATTAAAAAGCCTGCAGGGACAGGCTATAGACACTAGAACCACTACATTAAGCTGCAGTGGTTCTGGGGGACTATAGTGTTTAATGTGAGGTAAATTAGAGATTAGTGTCACTAATAATATACTAGATTGCCTATTTACAACCACATGAGGATGGTGATGGGCTCTGGCTGCAGTTTGGCTCCACTGGTCTGGTGCAGAACAGGCTCTCTGGAGGCGGTTTGTAACTGTTGTCACAAAATTCAATGTTCTGGGAGAACGGGAACAGCTCCATTTTTTGGGGCCCCTTACACAGCTCAAGGTCTGGGCCCCAGGGCCTGACGGTGAGTATGCCCATAAGGCCCACCCATAAGTCCACCTACATGTTCCACCCATGAGTTTGCTCACAGGGAGTGGAGTGTGTAGGGGATGTGTTATGAGTTATTGTAGTGGATCTAATGTGTGTGCTTATGGAATGTAGTGTATAGGGATACCAGTTTGTGTAGGCAATGCAGTGTGTGTGTGTAGTGGATGCAGTGTGTTTTTTGTTTAAGGGATAGAAAGCATTGTGTTTGTGTGTAGTTGATGTATTGTGTGTAAGGGATGCATTGTGTGTATCTGTGTTTGTATGTGAAAGGGATGCAAGGAGTGTTTCTGTGTATGTAAGGGATGCAGTGTGTGTGTGTCTGTAAGGGGTGCATTGATTGTGTGCACAAGGGATGCATTGTCTGTGTTTAATGGAAGCATTATGTGTTTCTCTGTGTTTAAGGGAAGCAGGGTGTTTCTGTGTATTTATAGGGATGCATTGTGTGTGTCTTTAAGGGGTGCATTGATTGTGTCTAAGGGATGCATTGTTTTTGTGTTTAATGGATGCATTGTGTGTTTCTCTGTGTGTAAGGGAAGCATGGTGTTTCTGTGTATTTATAGGGATGCGTTTGTGTGTGTATTGTGAAAGAGTTTGTGGGGTAGGTTAAGGGCTGAGAGGGGAGCAGCTCTTTATTTTTACTATATTTATTTTGTTAATATAATTTATTACATCCCTCTTTAGTGTATCTCTTACAAGCCCCTTATGTCTCTAATCCCCCCTCTTTGTATGCCTCCTACATCTTCACTTCCTCGTGTGTCCTACTCCCCACAGCCCTTTTGTGTGTCTCCCTCCCGAGCCCCTCTGTGTGTCTTTGTCCAGCCCCTTTGTGCTTCTCTTTACCCCCTTCCTTAGCGTCTGTGTGTCTTCCACTCCCCTGTCCCTTAATAATCTCTTTCACTCCCCCCGTTCCTTGGTGGTCTCCTTTCCTCCCCCTGTCCCTTAGAGCTCACTCCTACCCCCCATCACTTAGTGCTCTCTCCTACCTGCCCTTAGAGCTCTCCCCAGTCCCTAGTGATCTCTCCCTCCCCTGTTTAATGGTCTCTGCTCTCTCTGCCCCCTCGTGGTCTCTCCTTTCCTTTCCCTACCCTCGTAGTGGCTTCTCCTTTCCCTCCTCTAGTGGTCTCTCCTGCCCCTCCTCTCTCCCTAGTGGTTTCTTCCTCCCCCCTAACCCAGTGGTTTCTCCTCTCACCCCTTATCCTAGTGGTCTCTCCTCTCACTCCCTTGCCCTAGTGGTCACTTCTCCTACTCCCCCTCCCTCCTAGGTGGTCTCTCCTCTTATGCCCCCTCCCCAGGTGGTCTCTCCTTTCCCTTCCCTCCCAGGTGTGCCTCCTACCTCTAATGTAGTGTAGCCGAGCTCCTCTCTGGTTCACAGTACAGGAGCTTTGGTTTCCTGTTCCCGGACTGACAGGAAGTGCTCACTGATCCTGTTCATCTGTTTTTGTACTGGCCGGGTATAGGAAAAGGATGCTCCTGTACTGCAAACCGGAGCAGAGCTCGGCCACGCTACACTGAGGGACTGACAGGAGGGAGCGCTGTGTGCCGCCAGGCCGGTGCGCCCTAATGGATCTTGCGCCCCCGGGCAGTGCTGCAGCTGAAGCCCTCTATAGCGCGCTCAAGCAGCTGCAGCATTTAAGGGGCCGGCGCTCCTGGCGTCGCCCCTTCCCAAGGGCTACCCTAGGCGGCTTCCTAAGTCGCCTATAGGAAGCGCCGGCCCTGTCTACATACGGCTAGAAGGAAGACAATCTGATTTGGGAAGTCAGAGCTGCCAAATTGACTTTGAACAAGCGCAAGAACAATACAGAATCTCTCAATTTTTCATCTCCCTGCAACTGTTTCATCTGCATCCGTTCCTTATGCCTCACTTCACACACCCAGAAACAAGGAATACTGAATTTCTCCATTTCTCATGTCCATGCAATCTCCAGGTACAGACTGAGGATTGGAAGATATTCCCCCTCATTTACTCTTACATTGTTACCATATTATAATTTGTTACTATTTATATCTGTTTGCCACTGTTATTGTCATTTAAGGCATTCAGGTACAGTTATTAATATTGTGGCTGATAGAATTTGGTTGGTAAACTGTTTAATGGTATACAACAAATGTTTACTCTACCCTCCCTTAATTTCTTTTCTTTGCTCCTCCTGGTTCTAAATACCTTCATATAAAGATTTTATCTCCAGCTCTTTTCTTTAGGCCCCACCTCACACTCCCAGAAACAACAATACCGCATCTCTCCATTTTTCTCAGCATTTTACCATATTCCGTTTTATTTTGTGCTCTTATTTTCCATATCACTCCAACATTAACTGGCTTGAGAACATTAGTGAAGACGCTGTTTCCTTACAACCCTTTTCCATATCTACCTATAGCCTGAAGGTAGTTTGAAATGCTACATATACACTAAACAAGTAAATACCATATTTTTATCCATATGTCTTGGACGGCTCCTCCTCTCTATTAATGTTGAGAAAGCTTTTGACCGGGTGGACTGGACATTTATGTATTTGATGTTACAACCCATTGGAGTCTGGGGTAGCTTTTGTGAGTGGGCCTTAGCCCTCTACACTATCTTTAATGCTAGGGTCCGAATGAACATGGCCCTTACAACTACCATATACAGAAATGGTACGTGTTGCCTTTGCTGTTTATATTGGCCCTTTAACCACTACCTTATGCTTTTAGGGATAATCAAAGCATTAACAGTTTTTACTACAAAAGTTAGGAACATACGATTTCAGCCTACTCTTTTATGTTGAGCAGCCCACTATCTCACTACCAAATATTATCACAGAATTCAACCGATATGGGGAAGGGAGTAAACTGAAATTAAATCTTGAAAAACCAAAATTGCTAAACATCACTATTCCGTTCCAGATGGTGTCTCGGTTAGACCTATTTGTTTATCATTGGCATTTACATAGCGCCAACAAATTTCGTAGCACTTTACAATATTATAAGAGGGGGAAATTTAACAATAAATATGACAATTGCAAAAAAGAAAATGCTTACAGGAACAATAGGTTGAAGAGAACCCTGCTCAAACAAGCTTACAGTCTATGGGGCTAATTTCCTTTCCGATAGTGTACGGACCAAACTATACCATAACTATAAACTATACCAATACAATTTCCTTCAGTTCTAGATAAGGCCGATGTGAATAACGCCCTCAAGCTAACTCCAATACCGAATCAACTGCATTCCCCCGGTTCGGTACTTTTGGTTAACCAAACTGCCATTTACAGATTATGGCGGCCATTTTATTTTCCTGAACACCTGACCTCGAACTGTCCGGAACTATGGAACTAATTTCGGACACTTCACCCTCAGTTTTATCCTCTTATGAGACGGCGCTATGAAAGCATTGTCGCTGCCAAATAAATTCAGTCAAGATTAATGTCCTGCACTTCCAAGCCATTTCCATACACCTCCCTCAAGCTCTTTTCTCCTCTCTAAACTCAGCCCTCATCCACTACGTGTGGAAGGGTCACCAACCTAGAATTAAGAAAATTAGCCCAGCTAATTCTCGCCAAAAAGATGGGTGGCCTAGGTCTTCTCTAAGTTTTATCAAGCATTAGCTGTCCCGGATAGTAGAATGGCATCATGTCATACTCTGAAACATTGACCTAAATTAGAACACAGTGTGGCAGCTTAAAGAACGGTTTCATATAACCATTTCATCTGCATCTGTTCCTTAGGCCTCACTTCACACACCCAGGAACAAGCAATACTGAATCTCTCCATTTCTCATCTCCATGCAGATAGTAACTGAAGCTTGGAAGATACCCCTTCATTTATCCTTATTTTTACTATTACCATTTATACCTGTAATTACTTGAATTTTCTGTGCATGCGGTTAAAAAAAAAAAATATATATATATTGAATGTATTCCACAAATATGGCAGGTACATATATAATTTTGGATGGCTGAATTTGGTGGGCAAACTTTTCAATGGTATACATTAATGTTTGCTTTACCAACCCCCTCTTTCCTTTGCCCCTCCTAGCTGTAAATACATTCATATAACGGTTTAATCTGCATCTGTTCCTTAGGTTTCACTTCACACACCCAGAAACAACCAATACTGAATCTCCACTTTGTTCTCAGCACTCCCCACCCACCCAGGTCCCTACTAAATGTATAGCATGCTGCTCCAGCTGTCAGAGTCTCTCTCAATTACCTACTTATTTCCTTTATATTTTAAGTTAACTTTCTTTAGCCATCACTTCCAATTTCCCCATGCTACCCCTTGCCACAAATCCCCATTACATCCTTTAGTTAGAGAGCCTGTGAGCTTACAATCTAAAGACATTGTATAAAAGAGCTTCAATGTCTAGATCTCAGCTTAGCGTCAGGGTCCTCTTTGCCTTTTGTATTTATCTGTGTATATTGTATGTTCTCTAATTGTACAGTGCTGCGGAATATGTTGGTGCTTTATAAATGCCAGTAATAACTAAAAATAGAATCCCAGCTGTTACATGACTGGAAAGACAGCCCACAGTATTTGAGGTCTAAAGAAAAATTACCTGCGCACTACCCCAAATCTCTGTGCATATTTAGACAAATGGAGATTTTTTAGTTTCATTCCAATGGCCACAAGTGAAGCAAAAAAAACTAAATTTGTGTAAATATGCATAGGGATTTGGGGTAGTGCACAGGTAACTCTTTTCTTTGGTTTTTATTGTATGTATTGGGGCTTATGTGTACTATGTCTATTGCTGCCACGTAGGAGTAGTGTGAGTTTGAGCACAAGACTTATTTTCGTGTATTAGTATTTGATGTCTGTTGTATGTGCACTGAGCCTCTACCTAGGCACATATGTGCTTTATATTAACTACTACTACAGGGGATGCAAATTCCCCCACCTAAATGTATGTCTCACCGGTATAAAATATTGGTCCTGTCCCATCAAAGGGCACATGGTTGCAGGAGATTAATTTCAAAATATTAACAAATTGGTTTGATACACCACAGAATAAATCCCTAGACCCCAAAGCGGTAGGAAGACTGCTGCACATCTATCCTGCAAACATACTGCTTAATCACACCAGGTTACCAATATCCCAAAAAAAGAAAAACACTCTCTAAACACCAGCTCACTGTGGCTAGGTCCCTGATTTCTGCCCACTGGATGCAACAACATGAGCCTATGCATCAAAGATGGCTGACACGCGTGGAACAGATCTGCCAGATAGAGGAGAAGGTCTGAAAAATCCTGCTGTCTGTTATTGGAGTAATTATTTTCTATCTCTTTATTCATTTCTACATGCAAACTGAATATGAACGTACTCTATAGCAATGTACAGATTGGTACTGTAATTTCACCAGTCATTATTGAACAGTGAGTACAATCATTCAAACATGTAGCACGGTCTGTTACTGCTACGCTTAAAAGAGGATATGACAGACCTCCTAGTGTCTTACATTACCTCACTGTGTCCTTTTCACCTCTCAGGAGATGTTTGGACAGGGATGACATGATGGGAGGCTCAGCAAGCTGACAGTGCAAATCAATGAATCTTGGCAACTTGTCACAGCATTTATCCTTCAACTTATCACCAGCTTTCCATGTCTGGCATTAGTTTGCAGGGCTTTGTGTACCAGTATATCACATAAATGAAGACACCGATGAGCCACAGTGTACACATTTGTTTCACAAATGGGAAAAATGTATTGTACAGATTTTTTTTCCCCCCAAGGTGAATATTTTTTCCAGCAGGAAGATCTACATATAAGAGATTTGCAGAGTTTTCTAACTGCAGGCTTTTTTGTTAACAGACAGGTGTCTGATAAATATTGTCCACTAAACAAAGAGAAGCTCAAAACCTTCTGCTGTCTCATTTCAGCTCTGCAAACTCCAGTGGAGAATGAATGTGAATAACTGCTGTAAGGGGGTTGGCTTGGCCCTGCTCCATTGAGAGCATTTAGCAGGAAAAGCCTGGTTAACCAGTTCCTTGCCACAAATGTGTACACATGATTGTCAGACACATTTACAAATTCCCAAAATCAATTTTCAATTTAAATTTATGAAGCCATCATGCCAACTACTCTTGCACGGATTGCACAATATGTGTGCATCTGACATGATACGTGATAGAATTTGATTTATGACTCGTTAACAAAGAGTTAAAATAATAATAATCTGATGGAGGGAGGGGGAAAAAGTAAAATCAGTGGTTCCCAAACTGTGTGGTGCTGCGACGTGCACATGGGGTGCCGTGGAATGTTTCCCCGGTGCAATGATTGTAGCACTGGATAGGGGCTCGGTCGAGTGCCGTGGTCCTTTAAGACTTTGACTGGATCCCTGTAATGTCGGCAGGGTGGGAGGAAGGCAGACGCGTGGGAAGAGGAGCACTGCAGGAGCTGCTCAAGATTCACACTAAATGTAAAAACAGAAAGTTATAGGTAGCACCACACAAATAATATGGTATAATAACAAACAGTAAAAAACAATGAGTACTTGCATAAAACGTATAAGGGAAAACAGAGTCCTGAGTAAAATAATATGTATAAAAAAGAAATAGTCCAAGTTGATTGAATGAATATGTTGAATCGTATGGGTTCCGAGATAATCCAATGTCCAGATGACGTAGAGGCATGTGAATGAGAGGACAATCCAATAGTGTAAGACTGCACACCATAGGCAGAGTATAATAGTGGTGATGGTAACTCCTACTCACCCAGTCGAGAGCTAAAGCCAGCTCAGGTGTAAACCGCATTCAGTGGCGTTGATCCTCCATTGGTAGGATATTGGTGTTGGTATGGAGGCGAAGATCCTCAATATATAGAAGAGAAAGATAAAAAACCCAATAGTGCTCTCTGTATACAATGAGAGTTGGTGATATAGTTTGTGTGTGTATATATATATATATATTTTTTATATATATATTTTTTTTAAATATTTTTTTTTAATATACCTGGTCATTCTATACTCTGGAATTCCCACTCACCCAAGTATCCTAGGTGGGGATTATACCATCCATGCTGTTAAAGTGAGCAGCATATCCTGCTCACTCGCATGTGAGTATTATACCTTTTATATCACCAACTGCCATTGTATACAGAGAGCACTATTGGGTTTTTTATCTTTCTTTTCTATATATTGAGGATCTTCGCCTCCCTACCAACACCGATATCCTACCAGTGGGGGATCAACGCCACTGAATGCGGTTTACACCTGAGCTGGCTTTAGCTCTCGATTAGGTGAGTAGGAGTTACCATCACCACTATTATACTCTGCCTATGGTGTGCAGTCTTACACTATTGGATTGTCCTCTCATTCACATGCCTCTACGTCATCTGGACATTGGATTATCTCAGAACCCATAAGATTCAACATATTCATTCAATCAACTTGGACTATTTCTTTTTTATCCATATTATTTTACTCAGGACTCTGTTTTCCCTTATACGTTTTATGTAAGTACTCATTGTTTTTTACCGTTTGTTATTATACCATATTATTTGTGTGGCGCGACCTATTACTTTCTATTTTTACATTTTATATATATATGTCAGTGTGCTTCTGTGTCAGTGTGTGTGTGTACACATCTGTGTATGTGCATCTCTGTCAGGGTGTGTGTATGTATCAATGTTTGTGTGTGTAGGTGTCTATATGAATTTGTGTGTATGTGTCGTAGTTTTTATATGTATCTGTGTGTTAATGTGCATGAATAGCTGTGAACGTTTGTATGTAAGTGGTAGTGTATGTGCATACATCCAAGCAGTCAAACACCAGCACAACATACAAGTACACTCCTGCAATCTTACACAAATATTACATACAAATACACCCCTGCAGTCAAACCGCAAAGGAAATACACACACACACAAACACCTTAAACCCCTTAAGGACACATGACATGTGTGACATGTCATGATTCCCTTTTATTCCAGACGTTATTAAGGGGTTAATAAAAAACAAATACTTCACACAAGTGTACATCCGCATTTAAAAGTGAACATTACATTCAGACACAATCCTGCAATCAAACTTAAACATTACATACAAATACACCCCTGTACTAAAACTATATACAAGCACACCTTCAAACACCAACACTGTACGTTACACTATAGCACCAGCAGCAGCGCTGTACAGATATAAAGCCTAGAAATTTTGACTTGGGGTGCCTTGGAACAATATTGAAATATTAAGGGCCCCTTGAACCTAAAAAGTTTGGAAACCACTGAGTCAAATGATGATGGGATTTGAACATACTTGTTTTAGTTCTAATGAGTCAACAGAAAGTAGGCAAATTTCAGGCCCGTTATATTGATTTATTGGAATTGTTAGTGCACTTCCTCCACTCCCCCCCAAAGTGTTTACATTAGTGCCTAGGGACACCTCTAGTGGCAGTCACTCATACGGCCACTAGAGGCGCTTCCTGGATCAGTGCTGCACTGTAGTATTCCTTTAAAAGACATCTCAAGCACCATATCTTCCTATGCTCTTTGAATTAGTTATTGCACGTGCAGTACATATATGCAGAACACATATTGGTTCAGATGTCTACCTTTTCTTAGTGGGGTGCTGTTGCTTAACATAATTTTTAAAGAAACCCTCAATTTTTTAAAATGTATTTACACGTTTTATTATATATACACTTCCATGCATGTATTTTTTCTGAATGTTTTCTTTGGGGGGTAAGGCAGAAACAGCTTGCAAAAGCTGCATATCTGCTGTCAGCAGTCTTTGCAGACCCTTCCATTTCAGCCTAGACTTTGTGTACACCAGGGGATACCCAAGAGACTTCTCATTGAGAAACATGCAATCAGGACTTTCCTATGCTTCTCAATAATCTATATTACAGCTCAGTGAGATGGGGAAGGCGGGTGTGCACTAGTCCAGAGTGCCTGCCTCATCCACTAGATCTAAATATTTCAACTAAAGTGCACCAAGGCAGGGGGGATAAACCTCTGCTATGCCTGTGAACTCAAAGTCGTGTTCCTGAGCAGACTTATTGGTCTCAAGTTTAAAACAACATTTCAACTCTGCTATCGAGGCTTTATCCGACTTGAAATGGGTTATGATGCCAATTGCTAAAAATGGTATACAAATTTAAAAGAAAATGGAGCATCTCATGAGCAAAAAAGTGAATACAAGTTAGAAATCAGTTTCAATGGTTTATGCAATGGTGTAAATTCCTTTAAGTGTGCTATGAAAAACATTAAAAAAAGCTATTTACACAGTAAGGTCATTCATGTATTTTCATGAAGGAACAACTGCTGAGCACGGAGATAGATAGATAGATATAGATATATCTATCTCATAATGGGATTTAGGAGAGTCACTTCCTTGTCTGGAAGTCAGAGCTCACTGCAGAAGCTGAATATCCTCATGATGTGCAGGAAACACAAGTTTGAGTTGATTTATTTTTAATCTTTCATGCTTTTTTCCTTTCATTTAGCAGGCTTTTATTCACTCTCTATAGAATTAACTAAACTTGGAAAGACCCTATCATATCTACCATTGTGTATATTAAATATAGATACTTGTGATCTAAAGACACAGTTTGCAAAAGCAAGGTTACATTTTGCAATAAACATATTTTCAAAAGAAGTGAATGCATCAACTGGTATGTAAAACAGGAAGGTTTAAGGAGACAAGTCCACAGATTTATGAAGAACATTGCTCTATATTTTGTTTCATTTAGGTTTAATTGATCTTATCCCAGAATATTTATTGCCTAGGGAGACACTCACCACATGTGGAACAAGGTGCCCCTTCACCACAGAAACCAGTGTTATATCGGTCCTGTCTTCAAAACTACATACCTGCATATAGCTAAAATAATCGATGGGAGCTAGGTGTGAATGCTCCTCAAAAGAGCGGCACGAGAACACCCTTCCTATATCATTTAAGCCCTGAAACCTCTGAATGCTCGCATCTACAATTCCTCAGACACAAGGAGCTGCCATAGGGAATATCCTATTTTGTAGAACTGGAGATGGCATTGTTAAAGAGTCAGGTAGCAGCCATGTCCCACATCAACAAGTCTTTAAAGTGATGCTATAGTCATCAGAACAACTACAGCTTATTGAATTTGTTCTGGTGAGTAGACTCATTACCTTCAGGCCTTTTGCTGTAAACAGTGTCTTTTCAGAGTAAATGCAGTGTTTACATTACAGCCTAGTGATAACTCTACTGGCCACTCCTCAGATGGCTGCTAGAAATGCTTCATGAGGCAGTGCTGCACAGTGAGCAGCACTGCCATTCAGTGTCTCCACACTCTGCATGCAGACACTGAACTTTCCTCATAGAGATGCATTTATTCATGAGGAGATGCTGATTAGCCAGGGCTGTTTTTGACTTACTGGCTCTGCCCCTGATCTGCCTCCTTGACAGTCTCAGCCAATCCTATGGGGATGCATTGTAATTGTCTCAGACCACTACTTCTGATGATGTCAGCAGATAGCAAGGAGGTTAGAGGCAGAGCCAGTAGCTGCAGACTTGAATACAAGTACACTTTTACTATATTTATAGAGGAAAGAGGGGACAAGGGGGGCTAGATTGTGGTTTAAACACTATAGGGTCAGGACTATAGGGCATTTAACTCACAGAGGCAGTCTTAAGGGTGTGGGTAGCCATGTAATAAATTGTAGCAAATCCAGGCATGTAAGACCTGATTCTACAATACCCAACTTTGAACCCCAAGAGGTACATGCCACAATGGACCTATTCCAGACTGGCAGTATAGCAGTTGATTTGAGTATGAGGCAGTCCCTGCCTGCTTCCTACCTTATTTTTATGTAGAGCATATTTTATTAACTTTAGTCTCTTTCCACAACATACAAAATAATTTACAGTGTTTTGTAGGTCTCTTAATTCTAGCTGGTAAATTTCCCTAAGTATGATCTGAAAAATAGTAAAATTATTCATTTCATATAAAATGGAACATTAAATGCTTGCACGTTACATAATGTGTAAGGCAAGGCTCAAAGTTTTCACTTTTCACTACCCAACAGCAAATGAAAATGTATCTCTGGAAACTAAAAACTCACCCCTGATGAATATGCTATGGCTTACAGTGGCAAGTAACATTTGTGATTTGGATAGTAGAGTCAATTAATAAATGCGATCTCTTGGCTTGACACCAAAATGAAAATAAAAGGAGAAGAACATTTGCAAATTCATTATAGCCTACCTTTTTGGCCTTAAATGATAATGGTCATCAAGTTTTCGCTTTTTTACTTTAATTAAACTTGAAAAGGATCTGTCACTTTTTTTGATGTTGGCATGTTCTAAAACCTCCCCCCTTAGTTGTCCTGTTTTTTGTTTTCGAAATAATGCTTTTCTTTATTTGTAACCTGGGAGTTTGCAAAACTTGACAAAGTGTGGAGTTTAGTTGACAAAGATCCACAGCCTTTGTCAACTTTGTCAATGGCTGTGTTCACCTCCTCCCAGCGTAGTAATCTCTGGCATTCTGTATTGATTCTCACACAATTGCAAGAGTTAACACATGTACATTGGAGGTCTTGTGAACACAAAGATGGCATTGCCATGACAGAAGACTGGTGTCACTGGGATAGCATTGGAAAAGGTAAGTTGCACTGGTCCCAAGGCCTGAATTGGTTGTGTTGTAGGGTGGACAGGGGGGCCAGACCATGAAAAATTGCATTTGCTTTATTGAGAGTTTTGTAAATGAGGTTGTATTGAGTTAGGGTTAGCAGCTGTTAGTCAGATTTGAGTAGTGTAAAAAGTTACAAGTTTCTAAAATAAATAAACTAAATGTAATAAACTTTAAAAAAAATTAAAACTGAAAAGGATATTCTGCCTCCCCTCCCCTTCAATAAACCTCTTAATTACAAAAAATTAAAACAGAAATTCACTTTGAATTTCTTGCAAATCTCATTTTACTGAATAACCCCGACACTTCATGAGCCACAGTTTCCAACATATGCTGAAAGATGGTCTCTACGAAGAAAACCAGATGTCTTGCAATAAGAAAATAAATCATAAAATCAAGAATGCATTACATTAGAGACTTCAGTGGTTTATACTGGGAATATTAGGCAAATAAATCCCAATACAGAGGGCATGACATTTATGCCTGCTGTCTGGAACTGGTAAACTTTAAAGAAGTCTCTTACAAAATGCATTGGGACTGGTTCCAGAGCTTCTGTCTCAATCACTCTGATTTTATCATTCGGCTCCATTTCCCTCTGTAAATCCGAACACTCATCACATATGGTACACTATGTCACTTATGGGCTCCTTACTCCAATACCTGCTCTGGGTAATGGGCATTTTAGCCTATTTTAAACCTGTAAGTGTATTGAAATGTCTAATCATTTTTGTAACAATACCCCTTGCTAGTCAAAGTCTCTGCAACCCTTGGTTTTTTATGGTATATATAGAGAGTAGCCATGTGCCTCATATCTTGACACCACATACTTCCTGCACAGCTCTCTTACAATTATCTCGGATATGAAGAACAATGATCAATGTAAGTTTGCATACCTTTGCGTCTCATTTGTAGCTTGTTAAAGAGATCAGACATTAAGTCACCGCCTCCTACTGTAGCTTGAACTGTAAAGAAGAGGACAAAAAAAAACACAAACATTTACTTTACACCATGAACTGAAAGGAAGGTAACCAGTCAGACTTGTTTATTTATCAGCATAGGAGTTGCAGTCTAATAACATACCTTAGTACAAGTCATTTGGCAGCTCATTATTAAACTATAATGGGAGTGGCCAAATATACTCTCACATCAGTTGTAGGGGGCTACAACTACCATAATGCTTGTCCAGCCTTAAGGACGACAAAGCATAATATGAGTTGTAGAAAAAAAAAAATACACACACAATAAATACACCAAAACTGTTATTTAGCAGGAAGCCATAACTTTGCATCAATCAACCCTGGCCTATGAACCCTAGCATCAACTATCTGGTTTGCTATAAAATCTCTTACGCGCTCTCACCCAGGTTTAGTGCATACACCCTACTTCTAAGCAACAACTAAACACAAAAAAAACACTACTAGCTAAAGAAGACTACAAAACTTGGAAGAACCCAGAGTTTCTTATAAATGGCATACCCATGAAATTCTTTGAGCTGTTTTCGAAGATTTATGTATTGTATTATAAGGCCCCGTTTGCCAAGCCCATATGACATCCATATATATTTACAAACCATGGTTGACAGCGATTTGGCTGGATAGTGACATCTTTGTAAACAGGGATACAATGCGACAGTATGGAGTATGAACATAAAAGGTGTACAATACTATAAATTCCTCCAGCATTGAATGTGTTAGTATACCCATTAATTCCTCTTCTATCCATACCAACAATCACATGCCTTTACAGTAAAGAAACCCTGACTAATGACATGCAGAGCGTCAGTCAGATGTGTAATGCAGTTAATTCACAGCAGATAAGAGTATTGCTTTGAACTCATCATAGAGCATCTGAATTATCAGCAGCAAGCAGATGTTGCTTAAATCATGGACCTCTGCCAGATACAAGCAGAGAGTGATGGGAGATGCTGTCTGAGTGCAACTCACTTGCTCTGACAGGTGCTGACTAAATTTGCTCATCACCCAGATTAGGCACCCATTCTGACTGCCCATAGAAGATAGTTCTGCCTTGCCCCTTCACTATCCTGTGAGCACCTTGTTCTTTTTCCTTCATCTTCTTTTTCTCCAGTTTCTTCTCTTTGACACTGCGCAATTTAGCTTTCCCAATTCCACCCGCCTGACGGATGGACTCCAGCAATGATGCCCGTCCAGTAGAGGGATCAACCACTTCCTTAGGAGCTCTTCTTACAGCAGCTGGGAGGGCAAAGGGAAAATATGCAGATTTACACATAAAGGTTCTATAAGGCTGTATACTGGCAGTAAACAGGAAACTGATGTCAGAAGAACAGTGAGCTGGTGATAAGATATGAACTGGGGCCAGTGTAAAGCATGGATGGTGAGTAAGTAGATCTGCTGCACAGAGAAGGAAAACAGAACAATGCAAAATGCTATGAGCAACAGGAAATGGCAGGTTTAGAAATTGTGTTGCCTGGACAATCATAAAAGAAGACGTTATCTCCAAAGTCCACTGCTAACTGCTATGCAGTTAAATAAGTTATGGTGCATACATTGATGGTAAGCATGGAACTGAAGCTAGGACCCCTTATAATGGTGCAGAAAGGAACACAGTGTAAGCTCTGGATGTACAAGGAAGGTCAGTGTAAGGTGGGATATTGCCTGGGAGGCAGGCAGAGGAACAGTATGCACCCAGGGGGAAAAAAAACCCTGCAAAACATCACATAAATTGCCATTAAATATATAAAACCACATATGAAACAAACTTTCCACCAATTCTTCCTTCACTAGTTGTTTGATGGTGTTCTTGTGGGTTAGTACTTAAATCAGCAAGTGCTAGCTGCACCCCAACATGACAATATGAATTCAAGGCTCTTGCTAAATAGGGAATACAAGTTTATATTCTATATCCATTTAGAATCATATATAGCATTCCCACCAAAAATACATTTATATTTCTAGTGTGGGGGTTTATTGAATCACTTCTTATGTCATGGTCACACTCAATTTATCAAATGTTATGATGAAAGGAAAATATATTTTTTTTTACCTGGGTCTTCACTCTCAGCTCTGTCTCTTGCACTTGGAGTAACAGAAATCGGTGGGGGCTGAGGAGGTGCAGGTGGTACAAAGACCTCTGGTCCAGGAGGTGGTGGTGGTGGCGGCGGTGGTGGTGGAGGAGGTGGTGGTGGTGGCAGTAGTTGCCCATCATGTGTATCTACAAACAAACATTAGATTTTTCCATAAGACTATACGTTGATATTGCTCTCACTAGTATCTAGCCAATGCCACCTAATCAAAATTATTTTCCAAAACCTTGATTTGCCACCCACCCCTTTCCTGCTCCTCCCACACCTAAAATACTGCAGGTGTTCAATGTGGACTCTTACTCATGTCCATCTACCAGTACTAGAAATATTTTGGGGGGGGAAAATGAAAAGGAAAAGAAATATTATTAACTTGTTTTTGTTAATTGCTATACATCTTTATTCAGTGGTCCCCAGAGATTAAATTGTACCTGGTCTCAAAGGTTCAATAGTTTCCTCTGTATTGAAGGTCGGAAGTTCAGGAATAGGACCACTTGGAGCTGAAGGAGCAATACCTGGTCCAAGGTCTGCACTGTACATGAGATCATCAGCTACCCCAGGCAGATCTGGCAAGTAGTAGGGAACATCTATCTCAGGAACTTGCCCCAAATCTGGTACGTAAAAGTAATTCTCTGCAGTCTGCAAAAAGAGATACTCTTATAATAGTTGTAGATAGGAGAGCTCACAACAATCCAGTTTCCAGTGGCTCCTATAATAATAAAAAAATAAAAGCTGAAAAACTGGTGTAAGATAAAATATATCTGACTGGGACTGAATCACATAACACGTCTCTCCTGATCCCCTCACCTGCCGCTCCAACTGCTCTCGTTTGCTGATTGAGAAAGGTGCATCAAAGAGTTTCTCCTCATCCTCTCCTTCCAAAGCTGGGTTAGTCCGACTCACAACACCAGCTAGCGGATCCAGAAATACATACTTCCGATATCTGGAGAAAAAAATAAATACATTTTAAATGTAAGAAGTTGTAAGAAAATTGTTTCATTGTGAATTCCACAATTATACTAAGCAAACTAGACATGTTTTTTCAGGCACTGCATAAATTGCACATACAGGGAAAAGTATATGCATTCATATATATCAATTATTTTACCAATTTCCTGCACTCCCAGAGAAACCTCTCTTCTCTTCGTCCAAAAGCAACAATAGAAAATAACTCTTGTCAATGCAAAAAATACTGTAGCCACTATTGTACATGATGTAAAAAACGATAAAACGGAAAAAACACAACACAGGCAAATAAATTCCCTTCACACATTAAAAAAGCACTGATAAAATCAAGTAAAAATTCAGCTTTTACATTAACCCCCCCACACAAAAAAAAAAACCACACACAGTTCACGGTTTTAATGTAAAGGCTGAATTTTCACTTGATTTATCAGTGCTTTTTTTAATGTGTGAGGGGAATTTGCCTATGGAATAAAATTACATATTTACACAATTTTATGCTATGAGCAGCTTTTAAATTTAGTTTATTTAGCTCCAATATAGTGCTATAAGTAAGGAGTCTTCCTGTGCCTTGCTACTTCTTACTTCCCCATATCTTTGCCTCCCATATTGTTTTCTACAGCATAAATGGCTACAATATTTTTAGTATTTACAAGGGCCAAATGTAAAGTATCCCACAAGGACCTGTCTTACAACTGGTAATGAAAATTCCTCGTTTTCCTGTAGGCCGAGTAGTTGAAATGTCTTGAAGGCTGTAATTGCTCAACCAGATATTCAGAATATGGTGTAATAATATAATGTAATATTGCTTTGAGTAAAAAGCTCATTTATTTATAGAACACTCAGCATAAAGGAGTCAGGGGATTGTGGCTTTCTTCTATTTTCCATCTCCATAGCACACTTACAGGTTCTCATTTGTGTTGAAGAGAAGCAGAGCGCTGACCGAATTGATGTTCCGAGGCAGGCTTCCTAAACCATCCTCTGCACTTTCCTCTTCTTTAGCTTTTGTGTTAACATACAGTGGGTGATATTTCAGCTTCTCCTGGAGAACAAAAATAAAAAACAAAGAATGATGGTAAAGATGAACTCTCATCTCCAAATATCATGATCCCTATTTAGATAGTATCTATCTAGATGCATGTGAACATTTGTGAGAGTGCCTGATTTTGCTTCTAGAAACGTTAAACTATAATGTAAGAAGGTTGCGTGTATTCCTACAAAATAGATTTTCTCTCCTGTCATCAACCATTATGGTCCGTGAAATAGTTTCTACTGGAAATGTTCCAGTAGATTTGTTTCAATAAGTAAACCAAGCTTGATGAGAACGGTCATCCAGATTTTCACACAAACATTGATTGTGCTGAATGAACAGTGATCCAAGAGATTTCAAGTATCTCACACTTTTTATATTTTTTTTAATTTTTTTTTTCTGAAAGTTTCCTTAACCCCTTAAGGACACAACTTCTAGAATAAAAAGGAATCATGACGGAATATTTCCTTCATGTGCCCTTAAGGGGTTAATGCCATCTATAATGGGGCTGTTACTTAGTACTCCTAATGATCCCAGCGATGGCTGCAGGGTGAAACGTGTTGAGTGAAGACCTTAGGTATTACTGGTTGGAGGATTTTTCCTGGACGCAATACCTCAAATTGTTTGACTTTGTTGTTTGACACCCCAATCATTGGATTTATATGGGCTCCTGACATGGAGGGAACATGTGCCGGCTGTAAAATAAATAGGGACTAGAAATCTTTCCTTTATTTTCAGACAAGTGCAGGGAACAGCCGACATATGCACCTTCCCTGTCATACCTCAAAACGAATACTATGTTACAAAGGCTAATCTGATTAAATACAGTAGGAGATTGATACTTTATATGTCATTGTTCTAAACGTTTGGTTATTTCTTTAGATACAATTATCCCTGGCACATGATCAATTTATTAACCCGATATAGTTGTGGACTTTCATAATATATTTGAATGGAACGCACCCTTTTCTCATTATAAAATCGTACATCTATTACTATGCAAGAGTGAACCTTTAAACTGTTAGTTTTTTGAACCTATACTAATTTACTGGATACATAGGGTTTGTTTTTAACCCTCCAGCTTTTTTATATATATATATATATATATATATATATATATATATATATATATATATATATATATATATATATATATATATATATATATATATATATCTCCTTGTTTTTGATCATTTTAAGGGTTACAATAAAAGTTAGATTTTATATCTTAATATTGGCGTGTTTCACCATATCCAAACAGTTTTATCACAACTTAAAGTTGCAATTATTGTGAGGGCATAAAAATATCATAACCCTGATTTATATTCATAGCTTCTGATTAATACACACAAACACTGAAGAAGAATTAAAATATTGTAAGAGTATTGCAGAGGAGCATTTGCCATGAAAATAAAGAGCATTAGAAGGACATTTGCCATCAACGAATATTCAGTAACACTGGAACATAAATCTACTGCTGGCTTAGCAACCAACCAGAAATCCAAAAAGATTAAAAGAACCTAGTGGCAAATTTCCATGGATTAGAAAGATAATCACAGTCGCTTTCACTCATAAGAAAAAAAACAAAAACAGACAAAATAGGCATTATTAAACCATTTTAAAACAGTTAAATAGACCGTACTTTTACTACTTTAATATATTTACTAGGGCTGAGGAAAGCACACGGCCTATATTTCTAAGATACACCATTTCAATCTCTAACAAAGCTAGCTTTTCTATTAAAGTAGCAAAATGTGTAAAATAAAGTGTAATAGTTATTTTAAAAGAAAGCTTGTGAGATAGATTATATGTTGTTTTATATTAAAAGGGACACTTTAGTCACCAGAACAACAACAGCTTAACATAGTTCTTCTGGTGAGTCTTGTCAGTCCTTGCAGGCTTTTTAAATATAAACATTGCCTTTTCAGAGAAAAGGCAGGGCTTACATTACAGCCTATGAACACCTCTAGTGTGCAGCACTAATGTTTAGCATCTCCACACTTTGCATGGTAACGCTGAACGCTCCCCATAAAGATGTATCTGTATGAAAAAATGCTGATTGGCTAGGGTGGCATTTGGCCCCACCCCTCCTTCCTATGGAAAAACATTGTGATTGGCTGGGATCATCAATTCTGATAAAGTCAGCCAAGGAGGCAGATCAGGGGTGGGGCCAGACCCGAGCGGCGCTGGAAAAAAGGTGAGATTTCTAGTCATTTAAGGTGGGGCTAAGGACCCTGTATGTGTTTTTAACAATATAGGGTCAGGAATACATGTTTGTATTCCTAACCCTATAGTGTTCCTTGAAAATAGTCATTTTGAAATGGTGCAGAGCAGTAGCATCCTAACCACATACATACTGTAAGGAGAGGAGGAGGATCGGAGGTGGAGAGCTCCCCGCCCAGCGCTGGAGAAAGGTAAGTTTTAACCCCTTTCCTCTCCCCAGAACCCGGCGGGAGGGGGACCCTGAGGGTGGGGGCACCCTCAGGGCACTATAGTGCCAGGAAAACGAGTATATAAAATGTAATAATAACTCGCCTTATTTCCAGAACCGCACTGTGCAGCATTGACCCAGGAAGCACCTCTAGTGGCTGTCCGAGTAGAGGTCACTGGAGGTGTCCCTAGGCAGCAATGTAATCACTTAAGCACTGTAAGCAACATTGTAAACCCTGCCTTTTTTTCTGAAAGGGCAGTGTTTACATAAAAAATGTGCCATAGACATCAGAACAATTACATTAAGCTGTAGTTGTTCTGGTGACTATAGTGTCCCTTTAATATGTTGAAGAGACTTGCAGCTGGCTCATTTACAAAGTTCCCAGGTGAGGATATCCATGAGATAGAATCCCAGGGGTCATACTCACCAACATGGCCTGCTCATCCAGGGGCCGGTGCTTAGTCTGTATCTTGTGTCGAGCTCTCTTCTCTGTCCATAAATCCTCAGCACCAGCAAATATGGAGCTATACTCTTGAAGCCGTTCTGGAGCAGGGTATTTGGCACTTGAGAACACCTAGGAGTAACAATAAAGGTAAGTTGGGTGAAGGAGAAGAAGGTGACTGAATGAATTCACTTAATTATTAGAGAGTTGCAAGATTTAGGGCAGTGGTGGTTTAACCATGGCACTGTGGATGCATGTAGACTAAATTTCCTAAGATGTGCCTCCAAACATCTGCAATGATAAGGTGGCCATCAGAGAATTAGATCTTCTACAAACCCACTTAATTTACTGTCAATTGCCCAAAACTAGCATTGTAGCCCTACAAAAAAAAAAAAAAAAGGTTGGGAGGGAGGAAATAAAAGAGCAAAAAAAAAAATTATAATAAATGAAAGAGGTGTAGAGTGCATGTAAACATGGAGCAAGCAGAGAAATTATATCTGCAAAAATGTGTTTGTTGCCCTGATTTAAAGGGACACTATAGTCACCAGAACAACTACAGCTTATTGAATTTGTTCTGGTGAGTATAATCATTACCTTCAGGCTTTTTGCTGTAAAAACTGTCTTTTCAGAGAAAATGCAGTGTTTACATTACAGCCTAGTGTTAATTTCACTGGCCCCTCCTCAGATGGCTGTTAGAGATCCTTCCTGGGTCATGGCTGCCTAAAATGCATCCAAACATTCAGTATCTCCTCCCTCTGCATGCAGACACTGAACTTTCCACATTCATTGATTCAATTCATCTCTATGAGGAGATGCTGATTGGCCAGGGCTGTGTTTGAATTGTGCTGGCTTTGCCCCAGATCTGCCTCTTAGTCAGTCTTAGCCAATCTTATGGGGAAGCATTGTGATAGAATCATACAACCACCAGGTCTAAAGGAAACAGGCACAAAGCATGCAGCTGCAGACTTGAATACAAGTAAGATTTACTATATTTAGGGAGGCATGAGGGAGGGTGGCTAGATGGTGGTTTTAACCCTATAGGGTCAGGAATACATGTTTGTGTTCCTGACCCTATAGTGCTCCTTTAATGAAATATTGTCAACCTACAACACTAATATATATATATATATATATATATATTTATTTTTTAAAAACATTTTTTATAAATATAAAACTAAATAAAAATAAACACTTTACCAACTTGCACAGAGCATCTTTTTTCCACTTCACTTTGTCTGTTTGACTGTTCACTTGACTTATAGTTGAAGCTTTAGATCTAGTTTCATAACTGGTTAGGAGGTTTGATTAGTAACCAAAATATTTTGAGCTCACCTTTATAGCTTTCTTGCTACCTTTAATTCGCTCTATCTTTGCCTGGGCTAGGTTCACTCGTTCATTTATTGCCCGCAGTTGGTGCTGGTTGGTTTCCACCCGCTGTACAATCCTGTGGAGAAATAACGATCTTACTACACATAAGGCTTCAGGAAACACAAACATAGCTCTGCCAAATTAGATACATTAAGTGGTTCCCAAGCCAGTCCTAAAGACTCCCCTAACAGGATTTGGGGATTACCCAGTTGTGTCTAAGGTGTATTTTTAGAGAAAACCAAATATCACAATACCTTAGACACAACTCGGTAATCCCTAAATTCTGGACGGGTAGGGGTGCCTTGAGGACTGGCTTGGGAACCACTGCATTCACCTATGAAAATACCAATAAAATACCACTTAGCTAAACACAGAAAGACAGGAATAGCCACACCTCTTCTTCACAGATATAAAGTGTTGATTACACAACAAAAGGGTGTCTTTCTTAAGACAGGACATCTTCTCTGACCACATTATTGTTCCCCACTAGTGTGTGGTGTACAGTGGCGGAACTACTGTGGTCGCAGCTGCAACCCGGCCCGCCACACCAGGGGGTCCGGCCACACTGTGGACCCCTGCGACCGAGTGCCCACCACCATGTGTTGCGGTAGAACAGCTGGAGCTGCACGTTCAGGGGCCAATTGGGTGGCCAATGCTGTTAGGGCCAACCGATGGCAAAATATTAACAGGGTCCGGTCAGCGCTGTGGTGCTTTAGCAGTGAGACCGGGCCCCCTGTCATGACATCAGAGCTGGGAGGATGTGACTGCCCCGGTCACTCCTCCCAGCTTCCATACAGAGCTGCGCAGGAGGAAGGAGAGGAGGGAGTCAGTATGTGTTTGGATAGGTGTCTGTCTGTGTGTCTGTATGTATGTGTATCTATTTGTCTGTGTATGCCCTGTGTGTATGTGTGTGTGTGTCACTGTTTGTATCTATATAAGTGTCATTCTGTGTATTTGAATGTTTGTCCATCTGCATGTATGTCTGTGTGTATATGTATATAGTGTATATATGTATATATATATATGACAGTGTGTGTGGTGGGGTGACAGTTACACAGACACACCCCTGCATACGCTGACACACATGCAGATAAACAAACACATACTGACATACATGCAGATACACACTATATAACACATACATATACACACAAACTAACACAAAGATACATATATATGTGTATCTTTGTGTTAGTTTGTGTGTATATGTATGTGTTATATATACACACATATATATATATATATATATATATATATATATACACACACACACACACACAAACTAACACAAAGATACATACATATACATATATATATATATATATATATATATGTATCTTTGTGTTAGTTTGTGTGTATATGTATGTGTTATATATACACACATATATATATATATATATATACACACACACACACACACACACACAAACTAACACAAAGATACATACATATACATATATACATATACATATATATATATATATATATATATATATGTATCTTTGTGTTAGTTTGTGTGCATATGTATGTGTTATATAGTGTGTATCTGCATGTATGTCAGTATGTGTTTATCTGCATGTGTGTCAGCGTATGCACGGGTGTGTCTGTGTAACTGTCACCCCACCACACACACTATATACATATACACACAGACATACATGCAGATGGACAAACATTCAAATACACAGAATGACACTTATATAGATACAAACAGTGACACACACACACATACACACAGGGCATACGCAGACAAATAGATACACATACATACAGACACACACTATATAACACATACATATACACACCAACTAACACAAAGATACACACATATATATATATATATATATATGTATCTTTGTGTTAGTTGGTGTGTATATGTATGTGTTATATAGTGTGTATCTGCATTTATGTCAGTATGTGTTTGTTTATCTGCATGTGTGTCAGCGTATGCACGGGTGTGTCTGTGTAACTGTCACCCCACCACACACACTGTCATCCCCCCCTTCACCCTGCCACACTCACAATAACTCCACCAATCCAGTCACTCACCCATGCCATACTCACCTCCCATCGCTCTGCCATATTCACCCTATTACACTCACCTTCGCTCTTACTGTCACCCCCCCCTACAATCATGTAATCCCCCTCCACCCTATCTCATTAGCCGCTCCAATCCAGTCATAATCATGTCACACTAACCCTGTGGGGCGTGAATGAGACACATGGAGGGGCTAAGGGGCTGGGGGTGGCAGGGCAATTTTCACACCGGGGCCCCATGGTTTCTAGTTACACCTCTGGTGGTGTATATAACTAAACATCAGCGCTGTACTGTAATGAAATTAATTTGCATATACAATCAATTTGTTGGCTTTATGTTTAGGCTCTTAGTTTTACAAGATCAGGAATCCCTGGCTTTAGGGAGGTCTTCCTTGTTTCTTTTGTTTCTTCTATTCTTTCATCTTTCTTGACTTTCCTCCACTTATTCCCACAAATAAGTCTGAATATGTCTCTTATTTCCAGCTCATTCTCCTAACCCATCCCCTTCTTGTAATGAGAGAAAAAAAAATGATAATATTGAGGCAGAAGGTTGTCTTCCCCTGTCATTTTAAACAGGTTTGCTACCAACAAACAAACAATGTTTATACGAGCAATGTACTTCATCTTATGTGTAATGGCTCAATTGCTATTGTTGCTATATAGAAGCATCTTAATGCCATTCAAAGTGGGATTAATGGTACTAGGATGGGTATAGTTACATAGATATTCCTCGAGCAGTCCTGCACCCCAAACCCCAGAGCACACCTTCAAGTACACTCCCGAAAGCAAAACTGCCCCTCTTTACAATATGACGTTGAAAGAAATGGCCTACACACTGCCTTAGCCACGCTAAATGGTGCCAATGCACACACAAACAGTGCTCCCTGCATGGTCAATTCACAGACAACTACTATGCTCCCCACAAGGTATTTCAGGTATTTCCTGTCCTATGAGTACAACGACAATCAGGTACTATGCCTATAGGTAAAGTAGGCTTTCACTGTCTTCCTGGTATCTTAGAAACACAGTAATATTGCTCCCCAGGGCATAACTACACTGCAGGTACGGGTACTCAAACATATGCAAACCTGTTTGCTACCATTTCATCAATCACTGCAAATCTGCTCATTGACAGGAAGACTTATAACTGCAAGTTACAATCCCCAAAATGTCTGAAGTGGTTTCAAGCACAGAATCAATAATTCTCCCCAATGCACAACCTGTTTTCACATACACACGTGAGATTTTAGTCAGGTTAATAAGTACTGTGGGACTGGGGAATCCCTTCACTCATCCCAGGCTTTTAAAACTTATTAATAAGGAGGAAGGAAATGGCAACAGAAAGACATCTTCCTAAACAACAAAGATCACCTGCTGAAGATATCATTGGCTACACTCTGCAAATGCTGCAGTGTATCCGTAATCTGCTGGATGGTCTCTTCTCTTTGAAGATCTGGCTGGATAAGTGGAACGGAGAAGGGATGAATCTCCTGGGAAGACTTCTGAGGCATCGTGACAGCGCCCCCTGCAGATAGAGCAGGCATTCCAAGTTACTGCACTTCTAACACCTGCAAAAATAGTACATTAAACAGAGCTGTAAAGGTGTAATATTCTGCTATAAATAGGAGCATTCCCCAAGGCCAAGGAAATGAGATGCAATTAGAAGCAAGTAATCAGATCTAGAGCCAGAACACTTAACGACTACAGCTGATTATTGGGAGGTGAGCAAAAACGTGATGAGGAGAAGAATGATTTGCGAGGGGGTGGATTTTATGAGGTGCAGAATGAAGGGGGGGTATGACATGATACCTGACAGAAATAGTAAAACAAGTTGATTATAGTCAAGTTGAAAGAGTACAGACCGTTTCAGACTCGTAATAGAAATAATGAATACATTAAATATTAAAAGCAAGCACGCACACACTTATTAGTGGTATTCTTAAAGCACTGACAGAGATACAAGATTATGTAATGATTGTGAGTACTGACTATAAGTAGTAAACATAACAGACAAACATTTAATTTAGGCCATTTCATCATGAAGAGGTTGATGCGGAAGAGGCTGTGCTATATATTGTACAGTATAGAACACCTTTGTTGTGTATGTCATGCACAATGGATGTGAAGAAATGCCAGCATGCACACAATACCTTATGTATAGCAGATATGCATTCATGTGGGATGGACAATGCCGCTTCTGGATAATTGTCCTTACACATAACTGTAAGCCAACACTGCTGTCCTAGTGTAAGTGTGGTGCAGTTGCACAGAACGCAAATGTCTGACCTGGCTTGTTCACTGATATTGTGTATTTCTAATGTGTGTCTCATTTACATTTGCTTGTTTGCAGATACTCTTTCTTCACCATGATATCTGATAACTAATATAAACTAATGAGCTCCTTTGGCTTTCAATATCACTTCTGCACAAGGGACATGCAAATCTGTCTTGTCCCAATCTCTCTCCATCCCTCCTGAATCGTGTTTCCGACAGCAAGCTTGTTTGAGCAGGGACCTCAGCACCTTCTGTTACTGTACATCCACCTTGTGTTGTTGCAAATACTGATTTGTTAGTTAACTTATTGTACAGTATTGCAGAATTTGTTGGCACTTATAAATAATAACACACTTGGTTATGGCCAGAAATTCAAAGAACAAGTAACATATCTTATCTGCTGTTTCACCTTTACTAACAAGGTCATAGTCAGTATCTAATAAGCTAGACCCCAGAAATGACTTGTACGTGGTTACACAGATTATGAAGCTTCACTACCCTCCGTGAACTTGGACAGGCCATTACCACGAGACTTCTTACTCTTTACTGACCCCAATTCCACAACCCCAACAGGGCTATCCACTAAAGAGAATTTTTGGAATTTAAAGTGATAAATTCTCCAAGTCAACTATACTTCCAGTTTGGCTATTTTGGCCTTAAATGAACTCTATGGTGTTAGGAACACAAACATGTATTCCTAACACTATAGTGCTAAACTACCTATTTAGTTAGGTATTTAAATGACCTTTTCTTTATCGCCACGCTTGTCTCTCCACAGCTGCTCTTGCCTCCATGGCTAAGATCAATCTTGATGAGAGGCTCTTGCGTATGTACAGCAAAAAACAATTCTGTGACAATCAGAGACATTCATTGAATCAATGTCTCCATGTAGAGCCGCTGAACCTAACCCAGGAAGTCCCTTCTAGTGGCTGTCTGAGTCATAGCCACTAGATGTGTTACTCAGCAGCAATTGAGAGTGCCGAGTATGCAGGGAAATGCTATAGACACCAGAACCGCTACATTAAGCTGTAGTTGTTCTGGTGTCTATAGTGTCCTTTTATATTTGAAATTTACTTTGAATTCCCAGCAGTCCTGCTCAAACAGAAACAAAGTAATTTAACTCCTAACTGGCAGTGAATTGAGCAGTGAAACGTCAGAGGCACGATCAATATACCAAAACTGCTTCATTACTCTAAACTTGTTTTGGAGACTATAGTGTCCCTTTAACTAATATATCTACTTATAAGTCTTCCAGCAGTCATCTGTGAATGGCTGACTCTAGGAATTTTGCTCATGTATGCAGGATCTTCCATTATTATTACGAGGGGAAGGGCGGGCGATGACGAGGGGAAGAGGGGTCATGGGGGAGACTAAATACCTTAATTCCCTGGTGGTCCAATGGCCATAATATCCGGTCTGCAGCTCCACAGAGTTGCAAACCATGAATTTTGCGAGACACAGTCAGAACGTGGTAACCCGCGGCAACGCTCGGGTTGATGAGATCTCGCGAGACACATTGTCTGCAGCTCTGCACACTGTGGAGCTGCAGACCAGTGTCTGCGATGGGAGCAGGAGGGGCATCTCAACGGCTTCATATCGAGCAAGCCGCCGGGCCCCCTCCTGGTGTCGGGTCCTCAGGCAGTGACCCAGGACCCTACACAGTCTGCCCCGGGCACCCCCCTAGTGTGTGGCACCCGGGGCGGACCACCCCCCCACCAGCAGCAGCAGTAAGCCTATCAGATTCCAAGTAAAGCAGATACATCAAGTTAGTGTTTAAAGGGACGCTATAGTGTTATAATGCTATAGTGTCCCTACTATTATTTAGTTCCCACCCCCTCCAGGTGGATGAAAATTTTAATAAATAAAAGACTTACTTTTTTCCCAGTGCCAGAACTCTCTTGGTGCTGATTACATATCCTCCTCCTGTGATGTCATGTAGGAGGCATGGCCTCCTCTGCCGATGTCCAAACCAATGCTCTTCAGAGGCAAGCACAGCTTGAGCATTCAAACATCCCCATAAGAAAGCACTGAGTTTTACGCAGTCATTACTGTGGAAGCAAGTCTAGATGTGCTCTTAAAGAAACACTAAAGCATTAGGAATACATATGTGTATTCCTTCAACTACAGGGCTCTAGTCAACATTTACGTGAACTGGTCCTGCTGCATTTTCAGGGCTAAAACAGTGATTTTATTTACCTTTTCTCCCCCTCAGTGCTAGTCTCTGGCGTTCTGCTCCACCTCTTTGGATAATTTTAACCTAATGCTTCCTGTAGAACAGCAATGGTTTCAGCTGCATGGTTGAAACATGGCATCCAGACAGCTTTGTTGAGATGGGAAGAGTACAGTGGTCATGGTGATAGGAATCTGTATGTACAGCTTTTCTGAGCCCTCCTGCCATCAATATACTTTTTTAAAGTTTTTTTTCTCCTGCCCTCCGTCCTCATACCTTCCCTTCCTCTGCATGCACTCTGAGTCTGTGATTGGACTGCATGAGGCACCTTGGTAAAAACAGGTGGAGGCGTGGATGACAGCTCCAGGAGCTTCACCTGGAGCTGCATTCCAGGTAAGTAAAGAACTTATTTTGCAATAATTTAAAAGGACAAGGACACTGCATCCACACCACTTTATTGAGATGAAGTGTTCTGAGTGATCATGTCCCTTTAAAGCAGGAGTGTCCAGCCTGCAGTCCACATGTGGCCCAGTTGCCGCCTGAGCTCCTGGACGGTGAGGGAGCCCATTACTTATTGTGCTCTTTTTGCATAGCTTCCTTGTGAGAGACCTATGCAGGATTAGCACAGTGATCCCATCACCGCAGAGGATGCACTTCAGCCCTCACAGTGCAAGGTAGGTAGGTGTATTAATGTAATTCTTGTTTGTGCATGCCAGTAATGTGTTTATGTAAATGTCTGCCTGTTACAGCGAGTAAGTGTATAAGTCTGTGATTGTGTGTATGTATATCTATGGTTATAGGGGTGTGTGTGTGTGTGTGTGTCCCTGGTTCGGTATCATTAAATATGGCGATCCCATATGGGGTTAACAAATGAGGGAGTTATTTACGAAACAAATGAAATATCAAAACTAAAAAAGGTATTTTGAAGCTATATTATATTAATTACAGTATATATTTTACGTGTGGCCCAAGATAAATCCTCTTCGCTCAATTACCTTAAAAGGGACCAATCTGTGCACCCAAAATACCAATAACAAGCCAAATTGCAATTTTCTAAACTTTGTTAAATGTGAATACACATTTAAAGATTATTAAATAAAACCCTTTTTATAATGAATATCTACATTCATGCACCAGTTTAACATGCTGCGCCAATAAATAACAATATAATAACATTTATATATATTATATGTAACAATATACAACTTGCATAGAAGTTCATACAATTTGGATATCATTCTTACACTCATTTTCAGTAGCCAAGGAAGACATGTGAGTATTCTCATTTTAGTCACTAGTGACTATTGTAAACATTCTTAACTTAACGATTATTCCTGTAGGGAAAATAAACAGTGGCCATTAAGAAGAGAATATGATATAGTGATAGGAGATTGCATGCCTTCTTGTAAACAGAGTACATGATTTTTCAATACACAGGCAATAGCTGGACCAGTCTATATAAATAATATACTGCTGCTACTACTAATAAAATGCTGTTCATATATATATATATATATATAAAAAAAAAGTCACTTCCTCCTGGGTCTGATACAATGTAACAGTACATCTCAAGGTAGGAAGGAACACTCACCTCCTCAAAGCTCCATGATATCCTTATCACGTGACTAACGTCATATGATCACAGTTTGCTTCCGCTCAGCCAATGACCACGCCCCGTGTAAGATTGACAGAACTCTGTGCTGTTCGTTTGGAACACAAGTCATATAGTCCTATACTTGGGCAGATCTGGTGGTCCCTCGCTCCCCCCATCCCCGAATTCATTATTTTTAACGTCCCTAAGCTACTTATTATCAGCCTGATCCGCATGTAGTCTTTATTATATTGTGGATAAGTGTACCCAGAGCAAGCAATATCATTTTAATGCCCACTCTTGTTTGTGGCATAGATCAAGCAGGAATTTTTTCAACACATTAATCCTTTACTAGTGAGGGTCTTGGTTTCCATGGTGATTGCTCCTCATTTACCACTTTGTGTCAGATTAGCAGTTAGTAAATTTGTCCCTTAGTACTTGCCAATACTAATAAAGTAGTAGAATCAAAAGTGACAATGTTACCTGGTTTATTTACTAAATGAATCATTTTAATGAAATAAATGGAAGAGTATTCGTCAATATGGATAGGTAATGTTCCTTTAAAATGTACTGAATGTTGAAGAATATATGTCTAATTTAAAAGTTGTTTTTATTTAGTGGAGAAATGGCAAGTATATGTCTTCTTTCATTTTCCAAGTTTGTATAAATTAAGAGATGCAGATGCAGTTAAACTTTGTGATGGCTGCCAGGAGCAAATTAATTACGTTACAGTAGGGATAGTCACCACAGCTCCATGTAGGTCATCCTCTGTTCCAGCTACGTTCTCCTTTTCATTAATGAATTTAAATAAAATGTAATGAATTACAGTTCCTTATTCTAAACCTGCATTTACCAAGGAGAACCCATTGGTTTGTCCTTTCTTACATAAAAGGCCATGTTTTATCCATAATAAACTAGTTAATTATTTGCTTTACTGTAAGCTAGTCTCATCTTTGTACACTGTGGTCCTTTTTTTTTAAATTTTTTATAATAGAAGTGATCATGTAATAAATTATGAAATGTTTTACGGGCTGTCATTTTTTTGGTATTTACACATTTTAAAGCACCCCTATAGGCAGGGGCGTACCTAGAGCATTTGGCACCCGGGGCGGATCCTGTGCTTGGCACCCCCACCCCACCCCAAAAAAAAAAAAAAAAAAAACCTGTAAAAAATGTTAAAGGTTTTCTTTAATTAATCCACACTCCTTAATTAAACAATACCCCTTAATTAATCCATACCCCTTAATTAAGCCACACTAATTCATCAACACACCCTTAATTAATCCACCCCCCTTAATTGATACCCACACTAATTAATCCACCCCCTTAATTAATCCACTCCCCCATAATTAATCCACCCCCATAATTAATCCACACTAATAAATCCACCCCCATAATTAATCCATCCCCCCTTAATTAATCCACCCCACTTAATTAATACACCCCCATAATTAATCCACCCCCCTTAATTAACCCATAATTAATTCCCCTTAATTAATCCACCCCATAATTAATCCACCCCGTAATTAATCCCCATAATTAATACACCCCATAATTAATACACCCCCCATATCCACTCCAATCCACCCCATAATTAATTCACCCCCATAATTAATTCACCCCCCACAATTAATTCACCCCCTATAATTAATATACACCACCCCCATAATTAATACTCCCCCATAATTAATACACCCCCATAATTACTATACACCCCCCATAATTAATACTCTCCCATAATACACCCCCCATAATTGATACACCCCCATTATTAATACACCCCCCCATAATTAATATACCCCCCATAGATTAATACACCCCCCAATTAATATCCCCTCCTTTCTCTCACCCCATTTCTCTCTCACACCTTTTCAACCTCCTTTCCCCCTTTCTCCTCTTTCTCACCCCCTTTCTCCTCTTTCTCACCCCCCTCTCCCTCTTTCTCACCCCCTTCTCCTCTTTCTCACCCCCTTCTCTCTCTTTCTCACCCCCCCCTTCTCCTCTTTCTCACCCCCCCCCTTTCTCCTCTTTCTCACCCCCCCTTTCTCCTCTTTCTCATCCCCCCCTCCTTTCTCTTTCTCATCCCCCCTACCTTTGCTGTAGCGTGGCCGAGCCCAGTATAGCTTTTGTTTCCTGTACCCGGCTGGACTAACAGGAAGTGCACACACTGTGTGCACTTCCTGTTAGTCCGGCCGGGTACAGGAGACAGATGCTCCCTGTACCCGCCGACTATACAGGGCTCGGCCACGCTACAGGGAAGGAGTGACAGGAGGGAGCGCTTCCCTCCTGTCAGCCCCTCTCCTCAGGTTGCGCCCGGGCGGTGCGGTCCGCCCTCATGGACGCACCGCCCGGGCAAAGATGCAGCCGCCTGAGGCTCTCTACAGAGCGCTCGGGCGGCTGCAGCATGGGGGGGCCGGCAGGGCTGGCCATGGCACCCCCCACCCTGGTGGCACCCGGGGCGGACCGCCCCCTCCACCCCCCCCTTAGTACGCCACTGCCTATAGGCACCCAGACCACTTCAGCTCAATGAAATGGTCTGAGTGCCAGGTCCATCTAGGGTTAACCCTGCAGCTGTAAACATAGCAGTTTTAGAGAAAACGCCAGCGTCCATAGGAAAGCATTGAAACATTGAAAACACATACTGCATTGAGGGGCGCAGTGTATGTGTTTGTTTGTAAGGGTGTGGAGTGTGGGAGGGGTGCTGTGTGTGGGGGAGGAGTGCTGTGTGTGTGTGTGGGGGGGTAAGTGCTGTGTGTGGAAGTGGGGATACTGTGTGTGTGTGTGGGTGAAGGTAAGGGGTGCTGTGTGGGGGATAAGGGTGATGTGTGGGGGGTAAGGGAGTGTGTATGTGTGTTAGTGGTAAGGGTGCTCTGGGGAGGTAGAGAGTGTGTGTTGTGTGTGTGTGTGTGGTAGGGTAGGGGTGCTAGCACTGTGTGTGTGTGGGGGTAGGGGTCTTGATGTGAAGGGGTAGGAGTGTGTGTGTGAGGGGGTACTTGATTACTGTGGACCAATGTGGAGGGTAGGGGTGCTAATGTGTGTGTGTGTGTGTGTGGGGGTGGGTAGGAATATACTGTGTGTGGGGGTAATGGTGCTGTGTGTGTGTGGGGGTAGGGGTGCCTAATGTGTGTGTGTGGGGGTGCTGTGGGGGTGGGGGTAGGGGTGCTGTTTGTGGGGGTTGTTGTGTGTGTGGGAGGGTAGGGGTGCTGGGGGTGCTGTGGGGGTGGGGGGATTGGGGGTAGGGGTGCTGTTTGTGGGGTTGTTGTGTGTGGGAGGGTAGGGGTGCTGTGTGTGCTGGGGTGGGGGTGGGGGTAGGGGTGCTGTTTGTGGGGGTTGTTGTGTGTGGGGTAGGGGTGCTGTGTGTGCTGGGATAAGGATGAGGTGCGTGGGGGGGTAGTGGTGCTGTGAGTGCTGGGGGGTAGGGATGAGGTGCGTGGGGGGGTAGGGATGCTGTGTGTGGAAGGGGTAGGGGTGCTGTGTGTGGGGGGTAGGGATAAAGATACATAAAAAAATAAAATAAAAAAAAAGCTATATTAAGTGGAGGAGGGGGGACAGAGCCATCCCTGGTGGTTGGCTGGTGGTAAGTATGTGTCTGGGAAGCAGCTTTCCTGTCCTCCCGCGCAATGCTGTGTGGATCATTGCCATGGTATTGTGTATTGGTTAAAGAGTGCCAGGAAAATTAGTTTGTTTTCCTGGCACTATAGTGGTCCTTTAATAAAACATTGAAAATCACCTACAACCCGTTTTTACTTTTTTTCTCAAACAATGCTTTATTTTCTTTAAATGTATATTAAAGCTTTAGTAAATGTCATAATAATCCAACTGGGGGTAAGGGAATGCTATTAATGCAGTAAATACATTAAAGGGACACTATAGTCACCCAGCTCAATGAAGTGGTCTGGGTGGCAGGTCCCTCAGGTTTTTACCCTTTACATGTAAACATAGCAGTTTCAGAGAAACTGCTATGTTTACATAGCAGGGTTAATCCAACCTCTAGTGGCATCTGCGATGCTGGATGCGAAATTCACATCCAGTGTGCAGAACGTCCATAGGAAAGCATTGACTAATGCTTTCCTATGGACTGATGGATGTGCGCGCGGCACTTGCTACACATGTGCATTCCGCTCCACTCGGGAGCTGACGTCGGCGGGGGAGGAGAGGTCACCAGCGCCGAAGGAGCCCGGCGCTGGATAAAGGTAAGCTGCTCAGGGCTGCCATCAAGGTCTGGGCCCCCCCGGTCTGGGCCCCCCCGGTGCCTGCACCCGAGTCCGCCCAAAGTGCTGCCCCCCCCCCGAGTCCGCCCACAGGAATGCAGTGTCTGCAGGGCCGGTGAAAGGATTTTTGCCGCCCTAGGCAAAAGTAAAGTTTGCCGCCCCCCCTTGTGACATCACAATGCCCCACTCATATGATCTGCCATGTTAACTAACACCAGTGCTGCAGTGCCGCCGTGTTTACATTAAAAGGCCTGCAGGGACAGGCTAGACACCAGAACCACTACATTAAGCTGTAGTGGTTCTGGGGACTATAGTGTCCCTTTAATGTGAGGTAAATTAGAGATTAGTGCCACGAATAATGTACTAGATTGCCTACTTACAACCAGATGAAGATGATGATGGGCTCTAGCTGTCGTCTGGCTCCACTGGTCTGGTGTAGAACAGGCTCTCTGGAGGCGGTTTGTAACTTTGGTCACACAAATCAATGTTCTGGGATCAACGGGAAGCAGCTCCATTTTTTTGAGGTCTGGGTCCCAGGGTCCACCTTCATGTTCCACCAATGAGTTTGTTCACAGTGGGTGTGTGGATCTGTGTGTGTGTGTGGTGGGTGTATGTATGGGATGCAGTGTGTGCATCTGTAAGGGATGCATTGAGTGTGTTTAAGGGGTGCATTGTGTGTTGCTGTGTGTAAGGGATGCATTGCTTGTGTATGTGTGTTTGTGTGTAATGCATTGTGTGTTTTTCTGTGTGCAAGGGGTGCATTGTGTGTGTGTGTGATGGATGTCAATCTCTCCCCCTACCCCCGTCAATTTTCTTCTCCCCCCCCCCAATTTCCTTCTTCTCCCCCTCTCTCCAATTTCCTTCTTCTCCCCCCTCTCTCAAATTTCCTTCTTCTCCCCCCTCTCCAATTTCCTTCTTCTCCCCCTCCCTCTCATTGCCTTCTCCCCCCTACAATTTCCTTCTTCTCCCCCTCCCTCTCATTTCCTTCTTCTCCCCCTCCCTCTCATTTCCTTCTTCTCCCCCTCCCTCTCATTTCCTTCCTTCTCCCCCCCTCCAATTTCCTTCCTCCCCCCTCCAATTTCCTTTCTCTCCCCCTCCCTCAAATTTCCTTCCTCTCCCCCTCCCTCCCCTCAAATTCCTTCCCTCTCCCCCCCTCTCCCAGATTTCCTTCCTCCCCCCCTCCCATAGAACTCCTACAGCCTCTCCCACCCTCCTCCCGTTTCCTTCCCACTCTCCCCTCCCTTCCTCTCCCTCCTCAAATTTCCTTCCTCCCCCTCCCTCCCTCCCTCAAATTTCCTTCCTCTCCCCCTGACACCCGGCGGGCAGGCGGGTGCGCGAAGGAGCACTCTCCCTGGCTGAGTGCTTCCTCTTCAGCTCCCTCACGCGCCGCGTACTGATGCCGGCGCTGGAAGATGACGTCATCTTCCGGCTCCGGCATCAGTGCGGTGCGTGAGGGAGCTGAAGAGGAAGCACACAGAGGAGAGTGCTCCCTCGCGCACCCGCGCGCAGGGTGTCAGCAGGGCCAGGCTGCTGGGCCCCCCAGGAGAAGAGGCTGGCCCAGTGGGTACATACCGGGGTCGCAGGGCCCCCTGCGACCCGGTATGTACCCACTGAATGTGGGGCCCGGACGACCTGAGCAGTCCGGGCTCCCCAGGACCGCTGGGCCCATGACAACCGTTATGGTTGTCATGCCCTGATGGCGGCCCTGGTGCCAGGTCCCTCTAGTTTTAACCCTGCAGCTGAAAACATAGCAGTTTCAGAGAAACTGCTATGTTTCACTGAGGGTTAATCCAGCCTCTAGTGGCTGTCTCATTGACAGCCGCTAGAGGAGCTTCTGCGATTCTCACTGTGAAAATCACAGTGAGAAGACGCTGAACATTGAGTAATGCTTTCCTATGGGCGGTTTGAATGCGCGCGCGGCTCTTGCCACGCACGCGCATTCAGAGCTGAGTGGCGGATCGGGGCGGAGAGATCTCCAGCGCCAAGGGAGTCCGGCGCTGGAGAAAGGTAAGTGCTTAAGACACACACACACACACACTCTCATGAACAGACGCATACACACTAGCTAACAGACACACACATTTACTGACAGACACACACTCAGTGACTGACATACACACACACTCCCTAACAGACGCACAAAAACCTAAACACACAGTAACACACTCACTGACACACTCTAACACTAACACACACACTCTAACACAAACACACACAGACACTCTAACACTAACACACTCACACACACACACACACTTTAAAAAAAAAAATGTAATCCCCCCAGCCTCCCTACCTTTGGGAGTGCCGAGGGGATTCCCTGGGGTCTAGTGGTGTCACTGGGTGGGCTGGCAGGCTGGCGGGCGCCAGGGAGCACTCTCCCTGGCTGAGTGCTTCCTCTTCAGCTCGCGTACTGATACCGGAGCCGGAAGATGACGTCATCTTCCGGCTCCGGTATCAGTGCGGTGCGCGAGGGATCTCCCCTCAGCCAGGGAGAGTGCTCCCTCGCGCGCCCGCAGGACCGGCCAGCTGGGTGACACTAGGGCCAGCCTCGGGGGGCCCTGAGGTGGCCGGCTCCTGGGCCCTCCCAGGAGCAGAGGCTGGCCACAGTGGGTACATACCTGGTCGCAGGGCGGCCGGGCACCCTGGTGGGCCGGGCCCGGTCGCAGCCACGACCCCTGCGACCCTGGTATGTACGCCACTGAATACAAATATGTATTCCTAACGCTATAGAGCCCTATTTACCGTTTGGTTACTTTAAATGGTTACCATAATCCATTTTACCTTAATCCAGCGCCGGCTCCTTCGGCACTGGTGACCTCTCCTCTTCCATAGAAGTCAGCTTCCGAGTGGAGCCGAATGTGCATGCGCAGCCTGAGGCACGCGCGCATTCAAACCCGCCCATAGGAAAGCATTACTCAATGCTTTCCCATGGGGATCTTTTTTAACGCTGGACTCCGTGAGGACGTTCAGGGTTAAATAAGTACGATTTACTCCATGTAAATCGCGGAAGCGGCTGTCATGGAGACAGCCACTAGAGGCTGGATTAACCCTGCAGTGTAAACATTTTCAGCTGCAGGGTTAAAACTAGGGGGACCTGGCACCAAGATCACTAAATTGAGCTGAAATGGTCTGGGTGCCTATAGTGATCCTTTAAGCACCACTCGTTTCCAAACAAGGCCAAATCAAGCTCCCCATAATAAAAAGGAGTCAAAGTTTATTGGTGTTTTGAAAATAAGCACATGGTACAAAAAGAAGGGAACTGAGTAATTTAAGGCACACTATAGACACCACCGCTGCTTCATCTCATTGAAATGGTTACAGTGTCTGGAGTTCCCTGATGCCAGTAGCGTACATATAGGGGTCGCAGCTGCAACCAGGCCCATCTCTCCAGGGGGCTTGGCCGCCCTGCATACCCCCGCGACCTGGTACCAACCGCCATTTCTTGCGGCCCCGACCTGTTCGGCAAACCGCCCGTTCAAGGGGCCCATCGGATGGCCCAGGCTGTTAGGGCCACCCGATGAGTATGGATTTCCAGGGGGCCCCAGTCAGTGCTGCAGCGTTTTAACAGTGCGACCGGGCCCTCTGATGATATCACTGCTGGTAGGAAGTGACTGACTCGGTCACTCTTCCCAGCTATCAGACAGAGCCGCGCGTGAGGAAGGAGAGGGAGTCAGAGTGGGAACTCTGACTCCCATCAACCTGAGCCACCACTGGACCCCAGGGAAAGTCACCTTCCTGCACCTAAAAGGTAGGAAACAGGAGGGTGACAAACGTGTGTGTGTGTGTGTATATATGTGTCTGTCAGTATGTGTGTATGTCTGTATGTACGTGTGCCTGTCTGTTTGTATGTATGTATATGTCTTTGTATGCATGTGTGTCTTGTGTGTGTGTATGTCTGTCTGTATGCATGTATGTCTGTATGTATGTGTCTGTTTGTATGTGTTTGTGTGTGTTTCTGTCTGTGTGTATGTATGTATATGTGTGTGTCTGTATGCATGTATGTGTCTTTGTGTGTCTTGTGTGTGTGTGTATGTATCTGCCTGTGTGTCTCTATGTATGTATGTATGTATGTGTGTCTGTATGTACGTGGGTCTGTATGTATGTGTTTGTGTCGGGGGGTGGTGGGTGAGAGGGGGGAAGAGGCAGTGGGGGGGCAAGGATCAGTTTCGCACTGGGGCCCCATGGATTGTGTGTATGCCACTGCCTGATGCCATATATCTATTCAGTGCTAATCTGTTTTTAATGTTTTAGTGCTAGATGAGAGTGCTACAGGAGCAAATAATTCCTAATTTTATAACAAGACACGGAGGCTCATATTGCATATCCCTTTCTTTACTGTCCACCAATGGCAGCAAAGAATACAAACAGAATGAAAAAATAATGAACATGCAGTAACATAGGCCCCTCCCCGCTCAGGTCCCAGTATAACAGGCAGCACTTCCCTTCCATTTCCCTCTTTCTTTGCTGCTCCACACAAAGATAAGTACATGTCATTTTTTCTCTTCATATTTTCTTATTATACTGTTTTTTTTCTCATTGATATTTTCTGTCAGTCTGCTTACCACTTAAACCTGGTAGCATTCTATAGTTTTTCCTACCATATTTACCTTACATTTATTTGTATTTATTGTATTTATGTATTTATTTATTCATTTTACTTATATTTATTTCATTTTTATTTTATATTACAATTATTTAGTACTTTGTCTCATTGTACCTCTATGTCTTTATCTGTTTTTCTGTTAGTCTTAGGGGCCCAGACCTACCCTGTCAATGGTGTCTTGTCTCCTGTCTGTCTGTTGCCCTGGCGCCATTTTTGCTCACGTTCTCTCCCCGGCCGTGTATGCGCGCGAATTGAGCCTATTCGGCTGCTTCGCCGCACACACATCTCATTCCCCATTCGGCGAACAGAGCATTCGCATGTTTGCCGCATTCAAATTTTTTATGCGAACGGTACGTTCGCCTACTCTTTATTCCCTTATACTTACCCATCTGGTTCCCGAATTCACCTTATTTTACCGAACGTTCGGTAGTTTTTGCCGCGAATCTCGCGGGTGCCGCGAATCCCGCGAGATTACCGGCGGCCATTTTCAGACTTCCTGTCTCCTACATCTTAGTGTGTCACTGGTCTGGGCCCTGGTGAGAGCGTTTTTAGCTTTGTCTAGCTGTTTGGGTGACTAACCCATACCTTTTTCTCTTACCTATTATTCCCTGCTAATTTTCTCAGCATGACTAAACCCAGACTACCCGCTGGGTCCACTCCCTCTGGGGAGTCTGATACCCCACTCATTAGGAGTGAGGTTCCTGTCACCTCAGACAACTCGCCTACTATGGCTGATGGAACTACCCACTCTGATGGGGCACAGTTCCTAGCGCTGCAGCGCTCAGTGACAGACGCCATTATGGCGGCCATGGGGTCTATGTCCTCCACCCTCTCCCACACCATTTCACAGGCCCTCTTGCCACGTCCTTCAGATGAGCAGCTTTCGGGCCTCTCGACGCCTTTACCGCGTCCCTCTGTGAAACCCCAGGGAGAGGTGTTTAAAGAGGTGTTTAAAAAGGCTACCCATAAGTCCAAGCACCCCTCTGCCTCCAGAAACACCATGATTGGCGTACCTTCGGTCGCCCCAGAAAGCGTGTCCCATCCACGCAAAAGAGCCTTTCCGCACCAGGCAGAACGGGTGCGACTATGGAAATGTGCCAGAGCACAGATAGAGAGCGACACCGACTCAGAAATCGGGTCAAATGAGGAGGCTAAGAGTGAGTCGGATACTGACTCTGATGCGGATGCCGCTGATGCTGGTCTTGACCTCCTTTCCTCTGCTCAGGCAGAGATGCCCGGAGGCGAGATAGGGATCAGGAACCCCGCGGCTGCGGGGTCCACCCTTGTGGATCCTTCGGGTGTCCCACTCTTAGACCCGGATGATCTACACCATCCGAGGTCGGCAGAGTAGCTCCCGGCTGACCACGTTGCCACATACCTGGAAAATTGGGTCAGAAGACCCTTAAGTAAAGCGGCCCGCAACAAATTGAGGGCAGAGTGTCCTAGGCCTGTGGTGCCTAACAAAGTTTGCGACACTCCGGAGGTAGACCCCAAGATGACCCAGTTCCTCACTAAAATGGTCTGGAATCCCCATAAAGGACTGGAGTCGGCATTGAAATCATGCCAGGACAAACACCTGGACATATTCGGCCCCTTGGCCAAATTATTTGACTTGGCGGAAGACGCCAGAGCGGAGAACCGCATGGTTGACCCCGAAGACCTTAGAGGTTGGGTCCAGAGAGCAATATGCATTGCTGGGAGTGTAAATACCTCCCTTACTATAGAAAGGCGTAAGGCCATATTATTAAAAATTGAGCCCAAACTTGCCAACCTCGCCCTTACGGAAGCGGGTAAAGACGCCCAAGGACTTCTCTTCGGAGATTCCTTCATAAAAGATTTAGGGCGCTTCGTTGGAGCATTCACAGCTCGAGACAAGGCCCAAGCCTCCATGAGGCGAGTATTCCAGGGGCGGGTCTCTACCAGGGCTGGCAGATTCAGGAGCCGTCTGTCCGGCCGCAGTTACCCCCAATCCCGTGGCATGGGAAGAGGCTCCTTCCAGCACCGTAACCAGTACCAGGATGCCACCTCCCGCCCCACATTTTTTCCATCCCGCGGACGTCCATGGCGATCCAGAGGCTTTCGGGGTAACCCAAGCTCAAGACGACCATACGGTGAGTTACCTCATACCACACATTTCTTCTCCGGGTTACGTAGGGGGCAGACTCCAACATTTCTTCCCAGCCTGGTCACAAATCACTTCAGACCCCTGGGTACTGACCACTATTCGGGGTTTCAGTATAGAACTCACCAATCATCTCATACACATTCCCCCTCCTTCTTTTCCCTCCAGGACCGCAGACGGATCGACGAGGAACTCTCCTTATCAAAGGGGCTATAGAACAAGCACCCCTCAACCCCGCAGGTGTCATAAGCAATATCTTCCTGGTGGAAAAGAAGGGCGGCCAATTGAGACCCGTCATAAATTTGCGCCCCCTCAATGCCATAGTTAGGTACCGCCATTTCAAGATGGAAGGTATTCACCTACTAAGAGATCTCCTCCTCCACGGAGACTGGGTAGCGAAGCTAGACCTAAAAGACGCGTACCTGACAGTGCCGATAGCGGCGGCATCTCGAGACCTCCTACGCTTTTACTGGCGGCACGAGACATGGCGGTTCACCTGCCTACCATTTGGCCTCTCCTCAGCACCGTGGTGCTTCACGAAGCTTTTACGGCCTGTGATGGCCTGGCTACGCAGTCGAGGAGTTCGACTAATCGTCTACCTAGACGATATTCTCCTCATGGCTCAGGAGCGTTCCACCCTCCTCACACATCTACGGCTGACCATAAACCTCCTTTCACGCTTGGGTTTCATAATCAACTGGGAGAAGTCATGCCTGACCCCCGCCACTCGCATGGAATTCTTAGGATTCCTGGTGGATTCGGGGGCAGCAACGCTGAGCCTCCCGATATCCAAAATTCGATCCATCCGCAAAGAGTTACGCAGGGCCATCATCCGGCCCCAGCTCACCTTACGGCAACTTGCACGACTCATAGGCCTGCTGGCCTCCTCGATACAGGCCGTGTTCCCAGGTCCACTCCACTACCGAGCGCTACAGCGCCTAAAGATCGCTCACCTAAGATCCGGGGCATCCTACGCGGATCTGGTATCATTGGACAGCGAGACGAAAGACGAGTTGCGATGGTGGATTCTCAACCTGTCCACATGGAATGGCAAAGCCATCTTCGGCTCAATGCCAGAATTCACGATTGACTCAGACGCGAGTCTCCACGGCTGGGGAGCCCACTGCGAGGGAGTCTCCGAATCCCGACTGCACATCAACGCCCTGGAACTCCTGGCAGGCTCCTTCGCCATTCGCAGCTTCGCCAGGGACCGAGCCTTATCATGTATTCGGCTCCGCATGGACAATGTTTCGGCGGTGAGATATGTCAACCACCTGGGTGGTACACAGTCGGCAGTCCTGGCCAGACTGGCGAAAGACTTTTGTGAATTCTGCCTGGAACGGAACCTGATGGTCTACGCGGAATACCTACCTGGTCTGCACAATGTCCAGGCGGACTGGGGTTCACGTTATCTCTCAGACACCAGCGACTGGAGATTGGCCAAGGAGGTGTTCTCCAATATATTGTATCTCTGGGGACCGTTTACCATAGACCTTTTCGCTTCCCGGCTCAACGCCCAACTCCCACGCTTCTTCAGCTGGAGGCCAGATCCAATGGCGGAGGCAGTGGACGCCTTCCTACAAGACTGGAACGGAGGCCTCCTATATGCCTTTCTCCCCGTTTTCCATGACCCCGCGCTCACTCCTACAGACCCGCAAACACCGGGCAGAAGTGGTCATGGTCACCCCATTTTGGGAAACGCAGTCGTGGTTCCCCCAAATGCTCGAGATGACGTTAGACTATCCCCGACTACTACCGGGACACCACAACTTACTGCAGGACCCGACGGGACGATATCACCCCCTCCGGTTAGAAGGCTCTCTCCCACTCCTGGCATGGCGGATCTCCGGGGACCCTGGGAAATCCTAGGAGTTTCGGACATGACTAGACGTCTATTGGCAGCAGCATGGGCTCCCGGCACTAGACGGGCATATGGGTCAGCTTGGCGAGCTTGGGCTGCCTGGTGCATGGCTAGGAACGCGGATCCTGTTTCGGCCTCTGTAACAATGGTCCTGCAGTTCCTCTTCGAGGCTGGAAAGGCTTACAGGACTATCAACCTTTACCGATCTGCTATATCGGCGATTCACCAAGGCATCAGCCTCTTCTATGATGTCGGCAGGCGCACGCCTGGAAGACATTATGAGGACGGCTGACTGGTCTAGGGAGTCTACATTCCGAGAATTTTACTTTCGGCCGGCCCCACATACATTCGCTGCGGTAATGGATCAGCTTTAAACTTGCAATATGAGCCTCCGTGTCTTGTTAGAAAATTACATGATTTTGCTATTACATGACGAAAAGTCATGATTTTATTAAAGACACGGAGGCGAGTATTGTCCCACCCTTTTTCGTTCTTACACAGTTGTAATAATAATAATTTCCATCCCAGAATTACTCATACTACAATACACCGCATATTATGGTTCAGTACGGTAAGTGGGGCCATACTTAGACAATGATGTTTCTGTAATGCTGGGTATATCAGTTGTTTTGTGGGACCGTGCATATGTGGGTTATTTTCTCACCCGTATAACCTTGAAACTAGTTACAAGTATCGACTTTAACCTGTCGGCTCCTGTTCCTTTATGTTTTCACAGCTTAATACGGCAAGACGGCAAGCAGTGGTTTGGCTTAGAAGGACTCCTCCCGCTGTTATCCGATAGTCCCATGACTCCTATGGTCAAGCTTCCCAGTTATTGATGTTCTACCCTCTTCAGTTTTAAGTTATTGCCTTGGGACTTTGTTCTCACACTACTCTCGTTCTGGACATTTTACCTTGGTCGCATCTTCAGAAAGAGGGAAATGGAAGGGAAGTGCTGCCTGTTATACTGGGACCTGAGCAGGGAGGGGCCTATGTTACTGCATGTTCATTATTTTTTCATTCTGTTTGTATTCTTTGCTGCTATTGGTGGACAGTAAAGAAAGGGATATGCAATACTCGCCTCCGTGTCTTTAATAAAATCATGACTTTTTGTCATGTAATAGCAAAATCATGTAATTTGCTCAAGTATTAGCCTGAACAGCATTAACCTCAGCAGCAATAGGCAGCTGTGGTTGGCTGAAAGTGTCAGCTGATTACTTTCAACCTATTATTCTGTAGTGTACACTGCTAGAATTATTCTGTATGTTTAGAAGGAAGTGTGTAATGTCTGCCTTCCAGTGGAGGCAGGGCTATGGGAAGGCAGGGACCCATGAACAGTGTTAAACCGCTCAAAAGTGGTTGGATGGACAGTGCCTGGGCGTGCCTACAACATTGTAATCACTAGTCAATGGTTAGTGAAAATTTTAGCCCCTGTCAGTGTGATATGGACCCTGCAGGTTTGCAGTAGCAAATAACGTTTAAAGCCTGGCTTGTGGCATAGTACTTGATATTTTCCTGGAATCTAATAGAGTTTGACTCTGTTAAACGAAGTTGGATGTCCTCATGCTCTGCAGCTGCCCTGTGGGCCCCGCTATTTGTGCAGCCCCCATGGACCAGGCGGTGTGGCTGCAGAGAGCCGCACCGTCCCACACACTAAGGTGGCCTGCCAGGTGGCCCATACACTACGGGCCACCCGGTGGGCTTATGTCAGCAGGGGCCTGGTCAGACATACTGACACACACACTGACAGACAGATGTATTGACACACACATAGACATACTGGCACACACACAAATATGTGTCAGTATGTGTGTGTGTGTCAATACGTCTGTAAGTGTATGTGTCTGTTTCAGTATTTCTGGTAGTATATGTCTGTGTGTGTGTCAATATACTTAAAAAGGATTAGCTGACTAGCCAAGGAGGCGGGCCAGCTTCAGAGAGAGCACTGAGGCATGGGATAAGAGGTAAGTAAACACTTTTTTGCTCCTTAGAGGGGGTAACAGTCAACTATACGGTGACTAAAACACTGTAGCGTTATGAATACACATTTGTATTCCTAGTGCCATAGTGTTCCTTTAAGGACTATCATATCCAAAGATTGGGCAATAACCCTGAGTGGTGTGAGATCTAAATAGTCCCAATTTAGTATATTTTACTGCACTGAAAAACCCTAATGCATATGCTCATACCCAGTGCATGACATTGCAAGGAAGGCATGCCTACAAGCCACTAGCATACAGAGTTGTGGGCTGCTGCCTCACATCACCATGCCTCTGCAGATTGTCATTGACAACAATGACATCATGAAAACAGTCATGGAAAACACTGGTTCTCTTAGGCATGCACAGATATCTGTGAATTCTCTCTCAAGCTGTTCAGGTAATACTGCTGGAAGTTGCAGGGATACAGGGATATATGAAGTCACACCACACAACTCCAGCAGTTTTCATCTTTCAAATACATAAATTGCATGTGCTCCATTTGTTGGACCAACTACACAGACATTTGTGAATTTTGAGCTCAAGAAAGACCATTCATTTGAACATTTTTTCCCTAGGCTAGAAGTTGCCATCCCTCTCCTGGCACCCTAGTTTCCGAATAGTAGAAATTAAGTTAATTCACAATTCAACTACATAGCAAGACAGCATATCTGTGAGCAGTGCAGGAAGAATGGTGGTGACATGAGGAGTCTTGGTCACTGTGACGAGACCAATCTCGCCACATTGCATTGGAGAAGCCTGTTTGCTCGCCTGCTGCCTTTGGATTATGGCCCCATGTTAAAAGACATCTTTTTCCCTGCAGGAAAGACTTATTCGTGCTTTTCTGCCCGTTGTTCGGTAGATTCAATCTACCGAACAACCGCACAAATGACTAGACCACCTGGGAGCTGGAGTGTGCTGGCAATTAGCCTCCCAGAAGCTGCGGTTAACCGCAGCTTAATTGACGAATACTGGGTGGCCGCCATTTGTATCACGAACACGAGGTCGCGGCCATTTTAAACCCGCGAACGCACAGCGGTGTTCGACGCTCAATTCATGGAGCTAAAATCGGACACAGTTTTGCGCGAACACCGCTGAAGCCGCCGACCTCCCTTCTTGTTCGATGAAAGTGCACGAACGGCCCGGTGTTCGGTAGTTTTACTTGACTATGTTAAACCCCAGATAGGAATCCCATGGAGCCCATTCGCATGAGAACTGACTGTGTAAAGACTTTGGCTCCATGGCGATTACACTGTATTCGTGTGGTCTGAGCGCCATTCGCTTAATAATGTGCGCTCAGACCTGAGCTATCTGGGGACATGTTAAATGTATAGTTTTATTGTAACTTGTGTCATACTTGCTTTTCCTATTCGTCTGCTAGCAGCAATTCGTATGGTTCCAGTTCATGTGTTTGGAGTGCTATATTGTATGCCGTTCGGGAGTTTGGAGCATTCCCTTATTTGCGGTTCGGGAGTTTAGTGTTCTACAGTGGCTGTGCCTGCATCTCTGAAAGAGGACGATCACCTAAACGGTTTTTACCCCTTGTGTGCAAAACGGTCCGTTACAGTCACATGTTTAGTATTCATGAAACACATTCAGTTGCACAAAAAGCTAAATACCTGTCAAACATTTTACAGGTGTAACAC